AGTTGGAAGGCAACTGTCTTGGCTTGCCAAGGACCTTGTTAAAACTGAAAAGCCCCTGGGAGTGGAGAGGTGGTTCAGCAGTTATGAGCGAGCGAGGAAGTGCTGGGCTTTCAGAGGACCTGTGTTAGGCAGCCCAAGACCACTTAACTCCAACTGCAGGGGATCCAATATCTCTGGCTTTTGTGGGCACTTGCACTCATGTGCACATGCACGTGCACACACAAATACATACATCACACATAATGAAAAATAAAATAGGGAGGTGGAGGAATGGCTCAGCAGTTCAGAGCACTTACTTGAGTGTGGTTCCTGGCACCAGAGTTACAACCACTAGTTGCAGGAGATTCCATGTCCCATGCCCCGCCCACGTGGGCCTGTGCTCATACACATACACACACACACACACACACACACACACACACACACACACACACACACACCCCAAGTGATCTTTTAAAGCATTTAAAAAAAAAAAAAAAAACAAAGCTGGGCGCTGGTGGTGCATGCCTCTAATCCCAGCACTCGGGAGGCAGAGGCAGGTGGATCTCTGTGAGTTCTAGGCCAGCCTGGTCTACAGTGCAGGTTCCAGGACAGGCTCCAAAGCTACATAGAGTAACCCTGTCTCGAAAAACCAAAAATGAAAAAAAAAAAAAAAAAAAAAAGAAGAAGAAGAAGAAAGAAAGACCCTCATCTGTAGAAACCTTTAACCTTGGGGAACCAAACTGATTGGCCACCCTGCCAGGGGTTGATCCTAGCAAAACAGTGCTCATCATAATGGAGAGTGCTCCTAGGTGACACTGTCCTCAAGTGTAGCCCACATGTCTGCTATTTTGAAGCATAAAGCAAAATATTGACTCATTCGTTTATCCCATTCAATAGCTGTTTGTTAGGACCTTCTACAGGCAGCTGGGAGGCATAGTTCTGGAGCCTGGAGATTTAATGGTGAAAGAAACAGATGCAAGCCTTATTTGCTGAAAGTTCTATTTAAATGAGAGAGAGTGAGTGAGAGAGAGAGAGAGAGAGAAATGATAAACTCTTGTAATACACAGATGTTTCATACGAGCTGTTAATGAACACTAAGGAAAAATAGCTCATGGCTGGAGAGACATAAATGGACAGGGACTGCTATTTTAGGGTCACCAGCATTCTCTCCATGAGGCAGAATCTGAACAGATAGGGATAGAGTGAAGGAACAGATTATACCAGTATCTGGTGAAGTGGGTGACAACAAGAAACAGCAGGTCCAAAGGCTTTTGGGGGTGGGGAGATGCTGAGCTTAGGAGACCCTGTAGAGACCCAGTGTCTGGCATGGAACGAGCCAGGTGGCCATGATAGGAGAAGGGGGAGAGGAGTCCCAGGGGGACTTGATCACCCGGTATAGATGACGTCCATAGATGTAACAAGGGCACATTCACAAGGACTATCTGGAAGCCACTCAGTAATTATCCCCCAGAGACTGAAGGTCTGTAGTACCAAGGAAAATTAACCTTTTTCTATCATTTCTTCTGATCATTACTTTTTAAAAGCTAGTTATGGTGTCAAATAACTTATAATCATTTTTAAATAATTGATAAAACTTAAAATTGTAGCCAGGGGGGTCTATGGCTCGGCAGGTATATGCATACTGTCCTCTGGCTTGCATACACACACACACACACACACACACACACACATTAATTTCCTAATTGCCCCCAGGGTGCTGTTAGAAAAAAGCCCCTCTGGCTCATTTGTGTTGGGACACCCTGGTAATGACAGCTGTCTGTGCAGGAAGACCTGAGCTGTAGGGTGGAAGTGGCTTCTGAGAAACAGAAACCTAGAAAAAGGACTCACCACCAGGATGAGAGCCTTTGCCTGGCTCCTCGGAGGTCAGGAAGATGGTGATCTGGAGAGTGATGGAAAGAACACGTAGTGGCAGGCTCATCTCAGATCTTTGAAACTGAAACATTTGCCAAATTGGCCAGCTTTCTCTTCCAGGTTACACACAGAGAAACACACACACACACACACACACACACACACACACACACACACACACACGAGTGGGTAAAACTTCAGCTCTTCTCCCCAACAATAGGATCTGCTGTCTCAGTTGGGGAACACAAACCCAAAGTGAATTTGCAGCAGGCAGATCTCCTCCTAGAGAAAAATGAGGATTTAAGGCAAGCTGGGTGTCACCCTCCCAATAATACCAGCTCAGGGGAGGTTGAAGCAGGAAGATTGAGAGTTCAAAGCTTGGCTTACACAGATAGACCCTGTCTGGTTAAGTAATTAAATGGAAAGAAAAAGAAAGTGAGTTTCTGTGTTGGATGGTGTGTGCAGTGGGGAGAGACTGTGAACATGGAAATAAAAGATTCGAACTGGGCCCAGCAAACATTAGGGGTTAACCTGCCCCTTCAATTTACACAGTGGTTCTCAACCTTCCTAAGGCTGTGACCCTTTAGTACAGTTCCTCATGCTGTGGTGACCCCCAACCATAAAGTTATTTTCATTGCAACTCCATAACTGTAATTTTGCTAGTTATGAATCATAATGTAAATGCCTGTGTTTTCCGATGCTCTTAGTGACCTCTATGAAAGGGTCAACCCTCCCACACACAGGGTCATGACCTACAGGTTGGGAAACACTAGATTAAGAGAATACCAATGGCTAATTGCTCCCTAAAATGGTGAAGGAACTTTCCATGAGGGCTGCTATCTCCACCTGCACTTTTAGTCCCTAAATTCATCTTTCAGTTTTCCATTGCTGTTATTGGCAAATGCCCCAACATTTGGCTCTAGGCAGCTTTTATAAAGAGAGGAATGGCATGAAGCCCTTTAGACCTTAGCCCCGGCTATGCAGAGACAGTTGTGCAGTCTCCTGAACTCTCCCTGTGGGTTGTTCCATAGAAACCAAACCATGAAAATCCATGCTGTATTCTGCAGCCCTCAATGTCTGGAGGGCTTGCCTTCCCTTCCCCTGGGAGCTTCTCCCTGCCTGCTGGGAGTGTGGTCCCTGAGATTCTGTTTTCTAATGCTCCATGAAGGAGAAGGCAGGGGTAGGGCTCTGTCATAGAGGCCTCACGTGCCCCTGCCCCTGGGTGCTGTATATATCACAAAGAAGAGAGGGAAGATGTACTAGTGCTGGCTGGCTGTGTTCACAGCAGGCACACACAGAAGTGTGCCTATGACACTCCAACCACATTTCCCTCTTCTCAGGAAAAGATAACTCAAATTTTCCACACTGAGGTGTCTGGCTGCCTTTTAAAATAGTGGGTGTATATAAAGATAGATACAGAGAGAGTTTTACTCCCATTGATGATAGCTGGGGAGATAGCTCCGTGGGTAAGAGCACTTGATGAGGACCTGAGTGCTGGTCCTCATCACCCATGTAACCTGGACGAAGTCATGGGCACTTGTGGGGTGGTGCAGGAGGCGTCAGGATCTCTGGGGCTAACTATAAAGCTCCAGGCTCAGCAAGAGACCCTGTTTCAAGGGAATAAGGCAGAGATGGAGACAAGAAGACAAGAGACATACTTCTCTAGCTGATGTCCATGTGTGCACAGAATTAAAATGGCATCATGAAACCCATCTCGTTTGTTTGTTTGTTTGTTTGTTTGTTTGTTTGTTTGTTTTGAGTCAGGGTTTCTCTGTGGCTTTGGAGGCTGTCCTGGAACTAGCTCTTGTAGGCCAGGCAGGTCTTGAACTCACATACAAATAATAATAAATATAATAATTTTTGAAACAGGATCTTGATGTGTTATTAAGGAGGCCCTTGAATTCATGGCCTTCCTGCTTCACCCTCCTGGGAAGCTTCAGTACCACCAAATCGTACAGTGCAATACAAGGAACTCTGTTTGTTTGATTATTTGTTTTGTTGGGCTGGCAGAGCCTTGTGCATGCTAAGCAAATGTTCTCCCACTAAGCTACAGCCAGCACTCCAGAATCCCTGTGCAAGCCGGAAATGCCAGCTAACAAATAAATGTGGGTGAACAGTGTACAGAGCCCACAGATTCCAATCTTCATTTTTGCTTCTATTGCAGCCACTGCCAGATTATCAAGGTAAATGCAAGAGCAGGAGGCAGCTAGTCACACTGCACTGAGTCAGGAACCAGCAAGGATGCTTGAGCTCAGTTTTATGTCTCCTTTGTATCTAGGACACCTATGGAATGACACTGTACATGTTTATGGTGTGTCTCCTCCCTTCGATTAACCTTATCTAGATAGTCCTTGGCAAACAAGCCAAAGACTTGTCTCATCGGTGATTTTAGATCCTGTCAAATCGGCCATAAATTTTAATCATTGCACACAGTCAGAATCCAAGATAGGAAAAAGGCTGGAACTGAAGAATCTTCAGGGATGCTAGTGTCACACAGAAGCCTCAAGCTAGTGAGAGATGGACATGAGCCAGGCTGTCATCACGTTGTCTTTGTGGTGTTCCTGCCTCCCCTGCAAGGCCCTGGACTGATGAGAACAAAATGCCCACACAGGATATAAGCAGATAGCAAATCAGGGCAAGGCCACCAGATCCTGGGGACAAAACTCTTATCCCTGATAAGGAAGGCACGTCTTCTCTGCTTCTTGGCAGCCAAAACAGGCAGCAACTGAGGATTGGAAGTCACAGAATGTTCATAGGCTAGGTGACAAGTAAGTAGCTGTTAACAACCACAAGGGCTGGGTAGGCTTATGTCCCTGTGACATGGCTGTCTAACACTGTCTCTCTGAATGTGAGTTTCTACGACCCTCTACCATGCAAGACACTTTTAGATCTTACACATTCTTTCCCGGACACCAAACAACATGTGAGGGCACACATCTGTGTGCATACAAGGTGAAACAGCTGGCTCAGTGAAGCTCAGAAAGGGCACTTGGCTGGCTGCTGACAAGAATGCTTCTGGGGTGGGATGGGATGTGCAGGCACACAGCTGTGAGGCTGGAGGACCTGAGTCCTGAAGAAGACCAGCGTGTGCAGGAAGGGCGCTGGCCCCTGGGTGCTCACTGGGTACTTCATGTTTTTCTCCACAGGAAGCAGTGTCTCATTGCCCGGAAGAAGGCCAGCTGGCCCGAATCCAGAATGTTATCCAGGAGCTTCCCCCGCCCCATTATAGGTAAGAAAGTAACACTCAGATTCAGTGTGGTAAAACATCAAGGAGATGAGGATGAGCAGGTGTTCCTTCAACCAGGGACATTGGCAGCCAAGGGCAACCTGTCTCCATTTACAGGGCACTCAACAGAGTCCCGAAGGAAGTCAACCCTGTCACATAGACCATCCTCATGGTGACATCCTTGGTTCATAACCAGAATAATACTATAAACAAACCTTTGGTATCCAAGATGGCCTTAAAGCTAAGCTGCAGGTGACTCTGACTCTGGAGCATTATTATCTGCTGGCTCCTTAAAGTTAGCCCTGATATCGTCCCCAGGTACTAACTTTCCCAGTGTACCTACATCTGCCCTCCTTTCAAAGGGTTTATGTGGTGTTAAAATTGTGGTCAACAAATATTTGTCTGTGAAAGGAGTCTGTAACAAGAACCAAGTTCATCTGTAGCTACAGGGTTGTCCTCTAAGAAAAGAGATGAGAACCTCTTTGAGGAGTGTCCCAGAGTAGAAAAGAAGCAAGTTGTTCACTAACAGCTCAGGGTGTGTGGTCTACGAATCCCTGTCACTGTCTATGGATCTGCTCCAGAGGCTTCAGGTGACATCTGACAACACTGACACCTGTCCCCATCCTGAGTCAGTGACCCCGCAGTCAAGAGAGCTACTTTCATGAATCTTGATCTCTTCCCACTATTCCTTCAAAACTCATAATATAGGGTGTCTTAAACCCCAACTTGGATGTGACCTTCAAGTGACAGATATCACATGGGTACTGTGACATTTCTTACTTTACCCAAAATCCAACCAACAAATGAACCATTTCAGGACCTTGGAATACCTGATTCGACACCTGGCCCACATCGCCTCATTCAGCAGCAAGACCAACATGCACGCCAGGAACCTGGCCCTGGTGTGGGCCCCAAACCTCCTCAGGTAACTACTACCCCATGGGCTCAGATCAGCCCACACTACTCTAAGTAGAAACAAAGCCTGGCTGCTTCACAGTTAAAGCCCCAGAAGAAAAACCTATGGCTCAGGGATCTTTCTGTAGCACATATGAATTAAATGTGCCTTTAAAAACTTAAGCTCTTGGCCTGCCTGCTTGGAAACTCTGGTTCCAAAGGCTCTTTTTGGCTATAATCCCAATGTGGCTAAAGTTATGGGTCTGTATGTTACCAATTCTTGAAAATGCCTTTTTTTTTTTTTTTTTTTGGTCTCTGGGACTCATTGGCTCTTGGCTTTGCTGAGGTCACTGATGCCTGTAACTTCAATCAGCTGCTTCATGGGACAGCTGGATAAAGGTGGAAGGGAGTCCCAGGAAACAAAAAGAAGTCAGCCCTGTTCATTTATGAACAGTGTTTATAGTCTTGTAATGTAGACCATGTGACAGTGATCTCTATTCAGTGGGTTGGGAGACTCTCTCTAATCTGTCACGAAAGGTTAAAACATGTGGCCTGGACAAAAAGCCCACCACCCATGCTTGCTGCCTCCTATTATAAGGCAGAGTCATTCTGGGTGTGTTTCTTCCATGCAGGTGTAAAAAAATCGAAGCCACTATATACAATGGAGACGCAGCCTTTCTGGCAGTCCGGGTCCAGCAGGTGGTGATTGAATTCATACTGAACCACGCCGATCAAATCTTCAACAGTGGTGCTCAAGGGCCTCTGCAGCAGGATGGTAATGGTTCTCCCAGGGAATATGCCCCACACACCTAACCTCCCTTATTGCGCTAATCCCAGAGCCCCCAAATAAGTGAGTATGAAAGTGGAGGCAGGAAAAGCTGGCACTCCAGATCAGGCTTGGCTAATAGAGAGTTCAAGGCCAGTCTGCACTGTTCTATGAGGCTGTCTCAAACAAATACTAATAAGTGAGGGTGGGCTTGGCTTTCGTTCTGATTGAATATTGTATTGCGTGCCGGATGCTGTGTGTTGTTATCTGTGATGACTCACTGTTATAGTGCTGCAGTTACTGGTTGCCATGATGGTGTTAGATATGTACCTGTATGATACGGCAATGGTTGCATTTGCATGTGGATTTAGCAGGTCTCTGGTCAGGTGCATACATGGCCTCTCCCTGGAACGTAGTGTGGTGATAGAATGGGGACAATGTTCTCTTTCTAGTGAATTCTTTACTGTTTAAAGGTATGGGCAACATTCTTCTCCTTTGTGGCTTTCACCATGTGTAAAAGAGCCTTATGCCTTCGCCTTGAAGTCATAAGTGAGCAGAGGCCGTGTCCATGCTCATATGTAGATTTGGAACGCATTCTCTATGCAACCATTTCTCAAGTACTTTATCCTCTCCTGTATCAGGCACGAAGCATTCAAAAACATGGGTGTTGATGTCCTGCTAATAATGGTATAATGAACCCTCGGAGTGAACTAATCTATGCTGTTTGAACTTCTATGAGCTTCATTGATATATTTTAAAAAATCAGGAATCCTAGTCAATCAAAATTGTCTCAGCGACCATTTGTCACAAGATGATGGGCTTGTGGGGACCAGATTACTGTGCTTCATCTCTAGTCTTCCTGGTCTAAACAGTCTAGAATGTGGCTTTTTTTTTAATGCACTTCTAAGATGTCCCCCTGTGAGATCAATGCTGTTCATGAGAGTCCACACGGGGAGGGTATCCTCATGTGCTTTCTATTGCTGTGATAAACACGGTGACCATGGCAGCTTGGGGAGGAGAGGGTTAATTTCATCCTAAGACACACTATCCTTCATCAAGGGAAGTCAGGGCAGGAATGCAAGGCAGGAACCTGGAGGCAGGAGCTGAAGCAGAGACCATGGGGGTGGGGGTGTGCTGCTTACTGGCTTGCACCCCAAGGCTGTCCCAGCTTGCCTTTTTATACTCAAAACTGCCTAGGGGTGGCACCATCCACAATGGGCTGGGCCCTCCCAGGCCAATCATTAATCAAGAAAGTGCCCCAGATACCAGATACCAGTAGCTCTTTCACATACATTTATGATAATCAAAAATGTCTTCAGAGGGTGCCGGAGAGGTTGCTCAGTGGTTAGCAGCACTTGCTGCTCTTCCAAAGGACTGGAGTTGGTGTCCAGCAGCCCACAACTGCCTGTAACTCCAGCTCTGGCCTCTGAGTCCATACACTCCCACAGACACCTACATATAAACAACTTTTAATCAAGAAGAAGAAGAGAACATCTGCCAAGCCAGGCATGGTGGCTCACACCTGTAGTCATAGCCCTGGAGAGGTGGGTGCAGAAGGATCACGAGTTCAAAGTCAGCTTTGGTTACACAGCAAAATCAAGGCCAGTCTGGGTCACATAAGATCCTATCTCAAGAAAAAACAAAGTAAAATAAAGTGTCTCCAGATGTTGCCAGATGCCTTTGGGTAGAGTGAGGGGAGGGCTTGTAAAAATGCCTCGAGTTAAGAACCGTTGGCAAAGAAGGGAGAACCTTGTACATCGGCCATGCCTTGGTCTCTTCTACCCTAAAAGGAACACCCCAGAGGAGGAACCACTGGCTATAATATAAACACTCCAAGACAAGCAAGAGCTGAAGAAAGAGCCACCTCTCTCGGGGAATATATATACGATATATAAATGATCTGTCTGTCTAGAAACAGATGCCTAGGGAAAGTAGACTCCAGACATCCATGGCCTTAGACAATGTGTTCCTCAGCTGTGGGGGGAGGGGCAGCCACCTACTCCACCTCAGTCAAGCCACGTCCCTCACTGACCAAAGCACTTAGCAGAGTTTTCAGAATTAAAGACCCATGGCTGTACATCACAGTAATGCTCAGTAAACATTTGTGTGTGAATGAATGAGTCTATGAACAGACACTCCATGGGAAGAAAGTACAGAAAGCAGTTACCTCCAGATGCCCTTCTTTGCCCTCCACCTGTGCTGAGCAGGAAAGCTGACAGTTTCCTGTGTACAATCTCTGCCCTAGACTCCCCTGTGCCAAAGAAAGGCTGCCATTGGCATGCAGGCCCATCAAGGAGTTCAAGTGGAAGGCTATAGAGGAGATATCTGACTAGGCCTGGAGTTCAGACCTGCTCCCAAGCTGAACTCTGTTTTGGTTTGTTTGCTTTGTTTACAGAAGGCCGTATCATCACAAAGAGCCTGACGCTGCCAGCCCTGTCCTTGCCCATGAAGTTGGTAAGCCTGGAGGAGGCTCAGGCCCGAAGCCTGGCGACAAACCACCCTGCTCGAAAGGAAAGACGAGAGAACAGCCTGCCTGAGATCGTCCCTCCCATGGGCACCCTCTTCCACACAGTCCTTGAGTTACCAGACAGCAAGTAATTGGCCTTCTTACGGAATTCTGAAGGATTTGTGGGTGGAGGGGGACGAAGGAGGTGAGGCGTCCAGTCTCAGGGCCGTGAGTGATAGCAGTACGAGTTGGAGTGAAGCCCAGGTGGGGTACAAAGGGATGTTCTAGAAGAGAAGGGGGCTAGTGATGCCTTCACCCACTGTCCCTGAGTTAGCGTAAACTCTGGTCTCCTGCCAAAGACCCAGAGACCAGAGGCACCAAGTGAGTCATGAGTCTCTTCTACCATAGAGCAGACAAAACAGGCCTGGAGTTTACAGCAGTGTGTTGCCAGAGTAAGTACTTGCCTGCCTCCCCGTGACCTACATGGTAGCACTGGAAAGGCATAGGGATGAGCCTACGACAGAGTACAGGTTGACAGATGAGGCCACTCTAGTCAGGGAGTTCTTGGCAGCAGCACTTGGGGATGGCATTTCTGACTTCCTTGCTTCTTCTCAACCTGCCAGAGAACACCCTCCCCCACTTTCTGAGCCTGTCTAGATGCACTCTTGGATGTGTTCCTGCAGACATGTGTGGCAGGTGTGCAGGTGTGTGCAGGCCTGGGAACAGCTTGTACCTCAGACACTGCCTCCCGTTTTTATTTTTTATTTATTTATTTATTTATTTATTTTTCCTTTTGTGAAACATGGTCCATCACTGGCCTGGGGCTCGTGGAGTAGGCTAGTCTGGCTAGTTCATGAGTCCAAAAGATTCACCTGTCTTTGCCTTCCAGGCACTGAGATTATAAGCATGTACCCCCATATTCAGCTTTTTGACTTGGGATTTCAGATCCAACTCAGGTCTTCACACTAAGTGGCAAGCACTTTATTGAGTGAGCCATTTCCCTGATTTCAAAACAAATCATCATTGGTACCCATAAGGCATCTTCTTTCCTTGTTTCTCTGCCTACTCATTGTACCCCGCCATGGAAGGAGGCAGTGATTGGAGCCAGAGCTGTATACTGGCAGCAGGCAGTCGGGTGAATGCACCTTTTTATTAGCCAGTGTCATCCTTTCTGTTTCATGAGCCAGTTCCTTCCCCAAGATAGCAACCTGATTAGAGAAGACACAATCTGCCACCCTGGGTAACTAGAGGAAATTTGTACTGTAGGAATGACATACCTCAACTTTGCTGGGAAAACACTGGATCCTAGAGAGGACAGATTGTACCCCCCTTAGAACTAAGTGCGCAGCACCTTTCTAAATCAATACAGAATAAGACCCCCTCCCGGGGGTGAGGAAGGGGGGCTCAGAGGGACCATCTCCTGCATTTTCTCTACTTTTAGCCACAGTGCCATACCAGCCTAATATATGCTGCTCTATACTATACACCTCAAGGCTAAGTGCTCAGGCATCAAGCCAAGTCAGAGAGAAACCAACAAGTATGCAAACTCGTCTCTGACCGATCCTGAATACCTACTAAAGCAGAGACCCAGTGCTTGGTGGAGAGCCCTGTAAAGAAAGGGTTCCTTGTGAGAACCCCAAGTTCTGCTCTTCCCTCCAGCTTGGTGGACCTGAAGCAGGACTTGCCTCTGTGGTGACCCTTGGTGGTACCAGGTTCACAGGGGCCAGCCCAGTGCTGTGTTACCTACCCACATCCCCATCCCCAAGTAGCCTGGTAGGAGGCTGAGCAGGATGTACACTGACCTTTGTGCAGTTCTTTACAAAGACCACTGACCCAAGCTGGCAAGCCACAGTTTCTCCCCCTCCCCCCAGCAGCATCAGAACACATTCTTCTTCTGGCCTACTTTGTCGTCCCTTCATTTTGAGTTGTCAGCCCTCACCTCACCTGTGCATATCCTAGCCATATGGCCACCAGGCAGAAAGCACAGGACTGGGATCTATGGTCCTAATTGTTTATGTTGCTTGCTTGCTTGCTTGCTTGCTTGCTTGCTTGCTTGCTTGCTTGCTTGCTTGCTTGCTTGCTTGCTTGCTTGCTTGCTTGAGACAGGGTCTCTGTACATAGCCCTGGCTGTCCTGAAACTCACCCTGTAGACCAGGCTGTCCTTGAGCTCACAGAAATCCACCTGCCTCTGCTTTCCTAGTGCTGGGATCAAAGGTGTGTGTCACCACCTCTGGCTTCTTTGCTCCTCCCTACCAGATTTCAGAACTGTGTGTTTGCTTGTGATCCCTGAGTATCCCACTGACTGCTGCCTTTGTTTGCCTCCCATCCCTGCCTTTGATTGACAGCAGACTTTGTCCGAAGAGAAGGGTCTTTGCCCTTTGCCTTAACTTGTTTGAACACCCAGACAGGTTAAAGTCAGGTGCAACTTGGATTTTACAGGGAAATTTCTAGAACTATCAAAGCCATCCATGACTGAGACTATAATTGTAGTGTTCCCTCTCGATTTGCAACCACCGCCCCATGAGAGATTGAGGCAGAAATGATCATGAGCTCAAGCCAGTTTGGGCTACTGAAGACTCTGTCTCAAAACAACTCTGCCTTGAAATGACAAGTTCAACTCACCTGTATGGCTTGGTTATTTTAGGAGAAAGCTTTCCAGTAAATCAAAGTGGAAATCAATATTTAACCTGGGGCGTTCTGGATCAGACTCGAAATCTAAGCTGAGCAGAAATGGGAGTGTGTTCGTGAGAGGACAGAGGCTCTCAGGTGAGGATCATGGCTTCCGACACACCTGTTATTCTTAGTCGGGTTTCATACTTGATCACTTCACATTAACTAGTTTTAAAAAAGTTGAGATTCACTATGTTTTTTTTAAGTTGATTATGAATCAAGTATTCATGAAATCCCCTAATGCTATCATCACAACTGTAAAACCATTGTCAAAACAAAAAAGATAATGTTAATACAATACTATTAACTGGTTGATATAGCTCAGGAATCAGACTTAACCAATTGTTCCACTAATGTATGTTTTCTATTCCAAGTCCAAACCTGGGATTCATACTTCGTTTGGTTGTCATACATCCTTAGTCTTCTCTGAAGTAGAATCATTCTTTAGTTTCTCTCAACATGATGCTTTGGAAGAACACCAGCCCTTATTTTGTAGAATTGTTCCTCCATGTGGGTGTGTTTGAGGTTTTCTCGAAGTTAGATTCAAGTTATGAAATTTTTCAGACAATCTACAAAGGCTGTACTCTGCCTGCCTCTGGGTCATGCCAAGAGGTACATGATGCCAATGCTTTATTGTTTGTAGAGTTGTTTGGGTAACTTGGTTAAAGTTCTTTGTGTTGTGTATTTCAGCAGTACTGGTTAGATCTTGCCTACAACAGTTATTTCAGAATTTTCCCAAATAGCCATTGTTTATTAGTTGGAATTCTGCTATAAAAGATCTGTCGCCCTCGGTGTTGTGATCTTTAAATGGGTTGCTTCCCCATTGGGTTTATTTCTGAGCAAAGAAAAGAAACTGATGAAGGGAGGAATTGAAGGAACTACTACATAGTACAGAATCTAGTCAACCCTTCCTGAGTGTTGTGTCAGAGAAGGCCAAGGAAAACATCTACACTGATGTAGTACAAAGTGTGGATGCAGAAATACGAGAGTCAAATCTTTTCTGGATTCCGGTTTGTTTTTTTGTTTGTTTGTTTTCTTTTAAAAAAAAGCTACAAAGACAATTTTAATGACCAACAGTAAACTGTGAGTAAGCATTAGCTACTAGGTGATTTTGAAGAATTATTACATTTTAGAGTGTGTTAATGGTTCTTAGGAGGTGTATGCTCTAGTTGTACATAATGTGAAATGTCAAATAGCAAGACTCACTTTCAAATGATTTAGAAAGATCAAATACAAAGAATGATGCTAATAACCAACCATTGAAACTAAATGGTAGATTTAGAAGTCTAACTTTTATGAATGCTTGAAATATTCAGTAAGCATTGGGAAGAAATGAACTCCTATAGGGAAAATGAGAGGTAATCTCTAACTTCTTTATTCAGACAGTGATAATTCCAAGACAAAGGACAGAACATAGAATATTAGAAGCCTAAGTCCTGTTTACCTGCTGCATGGACATATGGTGGACAGCAGTCTTAGTGATTTCTACTATAAGAATAAATTTAGTCAGTGACAGAACTGACATTCCAATAGAGAGACGGCTTGGGGGACCTAACAATGGCTGAGTCTCCATTTTATCCTGCCTTCCTCAGCTGTTCTGTCCCCTTTGTGTCACCACCATCCTAGACTGGCGTCCTTGGCTGTGCTAATTTCTGTGTCGTTTCTGGTGGCTTGTTCATCAGGTCTCATCAAATGTCCTGCCTTGAGTCTTGCCTGGTCTCAGTAGCTTTTACTGGATCACAAGACCAGTTCCTGGGACTGATTAACCTGGATTCTGAACCAATCCCTGGTGTGAGGAATGGAAATTAAACCTCAGATGTACAAGAGCTCTGTAAAAAGGTCAAAGGGAACGGGATTCTGGGTAGACATCAGTAACAGTTGTGTGGTAAACACACCTTTCACCAAGTGCAAAACTATTCTAAATCTAAGTGACAAGAACAGAGTGTCACGGCATTCTGAACTGATACAAATAAGAAATTAGGATACTCCATGGACGGTGTTGGGGGAAAAGCAGCTACCAGACAGGAAACTCCTAGTCTTTGATAAGAAATTGCCTAAGCTCATCAAAGAGATGATTTGTTATGAAATGGAAGAGGCCAGAAATAAAAAGACAAAAGCCAAGAAAACAAAACGAACAAAGACGAAATAAATGATGGGCTGTGATCTTGAAGTAGGAAGAGTTCTACTATCCCCAGGTGATTTTTCAGAAGGCACAGATCCACAGTGCCACACCAAATGGTGGTTGATTTTGTGGTGTGTCATGTGCTCAGCAGGGTAGTATCCCGAAGTCACCCAGAGAGCTGTTCACAGCCACAACAGTTTCTCCTTGAGAGGTCTGTGGCAAGGGCTGAGTCTCAGTGATTTTTGAAAAACTCCCTAAGTAGTTCTACCATTCAGCCAGGGTTGAAAACCACTGGGTTAAGCTCTTAGAACCAACTGATTGGAAATGAAGCCAAGCCAGCTGAACCTTGGTGGGATGTAGGAGTAAAATGACATCGGTAAATGTCAATACAAGGGGGTCCTTGAGCGTTGCTAGAGTGACTATTGCTAGAGTGGCTGCTTTAGCCAGGACAGCATGTACAGCTAATGGACAAAATTCATTTGCAGAATCTGCACTCAAGGACAGGCCACAGCAGTCTATAATGTAATCTTCCAGTGTGGTCTCTGTTTGTGGCACAGAGGTTTGCAATACTTTTGTATGTGAATATGAAAGGGGGAAATCAGTGGATTCACATATGGAAACAATATGGTAAAATTCCCATGACAGAGGGTATTTAAATACTTTGTATGCATATGTGGAGTATGTTCCAGTGTGCATACATGTGTGTACAAATACATGTGCCCACAAATTTGGAGGCTAGAGGTTAATGCCAGGTGTGTCTTCCTCTATTGCTATTTGCCATGTTATGTTATGTCATGACGTGGTCTCTAACTGATCGACTTTGGCTAGACTGGATGACAAGAACCCCCCCCAACACACACACACACACACACACACACACACACACACACACACACCTGTCTCTACTCCCAATCACTGGATTACAAACACATGGTGTTAGTCTTGGCTTTTGTGTGGATGCTGGGGATCCAAACTCAGGTCTTCATGTTGCAGAGCCAGCACTTTCCCAAGCTCCCTAAGGACATCTTAAAAATTGATCAACCATGAGTAGTATTGGGAGTTTATTGGGTTGGCAGTAGAGAGCGAGACATGTTCAAGCATATTTTAAAAACTGAACAGATAAGAAAACATTAAAAAAAAGAGAGAGAGAGAGATTGTGACTGAACACAGATGCATAAACTTGGAAGCAAATTCCAGACGCTGGTTTCAATATTTAAATTTTGTTTTATATCAAAATAAACTCCTTTACCTTTGAGTGAAGGAATCATCAAAAGGCACCAAGGCCACAAAGGTTACCAGATGCCTGGGGGTGGGGTGACAGCTGAAGACAAAGCTCAGTAGAGTTCTTATCTGGGATGCAGGAGGCCCAAGGTCCAGGCCTTCAGCACTGCACAAACTTGGCATGGTAGTTCATGCTGTGATCTCAGTGCTCAGGAGGTAGAGGCAGAGTCAGGATCTTAAGGTCATCCTCAGCTGTAGAGTGAGTTCAAAGACAGCATGGTTTATATATGATCCAATTAAAAAGGGGGAGGCTAGTGGGTGGACCTCCAGGAAGCCAGATCAACACCTCCGGCAAAAATACCCTTTAAGTATAGGCATGAGCCAACAGATCCAAACTAAGCTTTTGTTACTGTGGAGAGGGTGCCTTGGAATGCTTGGATAGATGGAGGGGGCTGACTCGGGGTTACTTCATGATTACCTGGTCCTGGCCCTTTAAGGTCAACACATGGAAACCAGAGTCTAGAGACAGAGAGATAGAGGAAACAAAGGCAAAGCGTGTCTCAGAGTACACAGACCGAGGGACGCCAGCCAGGCAGCTTTAGGATGATAAATCAGTTTATGATCCTGCACAAACAAGCGCTCTCGAGGGGTAAAAATCTTGGCATGCTGTTGAAAGTGAGAAGGTTGAAGGCATTTGAGAGCTTGAGTGAAGCAGAGGCCTGTCCTCCCATGTGGCCAAGTCAGAAAATCCCCAACCTGGGGAGGCCAACTGTCTACATCAGAACCTCTTAGAAGAGGAGAGTTTGGATTCAGGGGAGAAAGCGGGGGAGGGATGCAGAGAGGGTTAGAAAGAGGAATAAAAACAGGCATGAGTTATTGCCCAATTTGAGTTAGTGCCAACTCCAACTGCTTCTTGTGGAACAGCCTCCGTTGTCTCCTGTGGTGAGCACTACTGATCATAACAGTCATAAGCAGTATGTTTTGTTTTGTTTTGTAAAACAGATTCCCACCATGTACCCCTAGCTGGTGTGGAACTCACTGTGTGTTATTTTTAATTGAGTATTTATTCTTGTTAGAACAACACAATTTCTTTATATTCATTCCTCATTTAGTCTCAACAACTCTGGTATCTTTTATACATGAAAAAGGTATGATCTGCTGGGCACGGTGCTGAAGGCCTTTAATTCCAGCACTGGGGAGGCAGAGGCAGGTGGATCTCTGTGAGTTTGAGGCCAGAGGTGACTCCAATGGGATCTGTGTAAATCCAGAGTTAATTTAATGACAGTTAGTCCTGCACTCCTTACCTTCCAGGTTCTTGTCTTCCTCTAGCAAGCTTGACCTGGAAGGAATATCAGCCCTAATCCTGTTTCCTTTGCTGTAAGAGAATCCCTGAGGCTGGGTAACTTATGAGGAATAGTAGTTAAAAGTTCTACAGGTTAGGAAGTCTAACAGCATGGCCATGCTGGCATCTTCTTGACTTCTGATGACTTGGATGTGGTGGAAAAAGAATGGAGACACAGAAATGTGGACCAGAGAAGGGACAGACTCTTGCAGCCACTATCCCACTCCATTAAGCCATTAAGCCATGTGTGAGGTCTCTGCCCCCATAACCCAACACCCCCCCCCCAATTCTGATGTACTGAAGAGCTAAGTTTCCAACCTATGAACATTTTGGGATCAAACTCCTACCACAGTGCCTGTTCCTGTGCTGGTGATGGGTTCTTGACTCATTTAAACCAGTAACTTCCCCAAGCCCCATCTATGGTAACTTTCAGTGATGCATAACATACACCAGGTGCATTGTCTGTGTTCAAAGAGATGCCAGTGTGGTAGGGATCTGGTCATTGGGGAGGTTTGTGGGTGAGGAACAACCAGTCTACAAATTCCATGGAGCATACATAGCCTCTGGGGAAAGCTGATGGAAACACTCTAGACCTTTTCTCTTGATATACCAGATCCCTGATGTGCTAGATATGGTTGCAGGCAACAATCATGCCAGACAAGAGAAGTTTCCAGGTTCCTTAGAGTCTACCCCATGAGTTCATCTGGAGTACATTTTTAAAAATATTTTTATCATTTGATGTGTATGGATGTTTGTCTGAATGTATGTCTCTGCACTATGTTCATGCATTGTCCTGGGATGTCAGAAGAGGGCGTCAGATCCCTTAGGACTGGAGGTATAGACAGTTGGCAGATGACATATGGGTGCTGGAAACCAAACCCAGGTCCTCTGAAAGAGCAGAGCTCTTAACCACTAAGCCATTGCTCCAACTCCTTGAGCACTTTTTATGCAATTATACTGGATTCAGGACTTCTCATCTGACAAATTACAATTTACCTTTGTTTGTAAGGTATTAATAAAACCAATCTGTGCCCTCTTGTCAAAAGGTCAGTCCTCATTAGGAAAGTATGGAGATGTAGAATGGATGGGAGGCAATTTTGTAAGGAGATAATATGTTATAGCTACTTGAAAATTTCCTGAAAATTTTTCTCATATGCTTATAGCCTGACCTATTGTGTTCAATGTTTCTGCTTGATATGCATTCATCAGGGGTATTTTTTTTCCTCTTATCTTTAGTGGAAAAGGCTACTATCCGACCAGCTAAAAGCATGGACTCGTTGTGTTCAGTGCCTGTGGAAGGTGAGTGTCTTAAGTTATTATTCTACTGCTGTGAAGAGACACCATGGTCAAGGCAACTGAAAAAGGAAAGCATTTAATTGAGGGCTTGCTTACATTAATTGCTTACAGTTCCAGATAGTCAGTATCATCATGGCAGGGAGCATAATGACATGCAGGCAGATGTGGTGCTGGAAAAATAGCCAAGAGCTTTAACTCCTGATTCGCAGGCAGCAGGCAGAGAGAGAGAGAGAGACGGGGGGGGGGGGGGCTTTTGAAACCTCAAAGCCCACCCCACTTATGTACTTCCCTCATCAAGGCCACACCTGCTAACCCTTCCTAATCAGTCCACCAGCTAGGGACTAAGCATGCAAATATATGAGTCTACATCGGGCATCCTCTTTCAAATCACCACAGTGAGGTTCTACCATTAGTGCCCAGCCACTCACCTGCAGTTCTGTTTATACTGGACCACTTAGCCCCAAACCACTCCCTGGCTCTTCTCAAATAAGACCTAGAACCTTCCTTTCTCCAGCTTTCCTCTAGCTGCAGAGACCACAGGGACTTTTCACTCAAAATTAGACCACATTAAAGGTCAGCAAGCTAAAACTAAGACAGAGGGAACCAAGACAGAAAGAGCCAAACACTGCTTTATTCCCTGTGATTATGTGTCTTGAATTTGTGAGTTTCCTGGCCGTGAGTTTCACACAGCTTCCGTCATCATTTTGAACTGTTGGCTTGTTCGTGCCAGTAAACACTGATGTTCTAGGGTCTTCATTGCTGTGATTAAACACCAGGAAAAAAGCAACCTGGGGAGAAAGGGATGTATATCTTACAACTTTCTCAGAGACGTCAAGACAGGAACTGAAGTAGAGGCCACAGAGGGATGCTGCTTACTGGCTTGCTCAACCTGCTTTCTTATACAACCCAGGATCACCCGTGCAGGGACGGCACCATCCATAGTGAATTGGTCTATCCCACATCAATCACTAAACTATGAAAATGTCCCACAGGCTTGCCTCTAGGCAATGTAATGGAGATATTTTTCTCAATATAAGAGTCACTTTCCCAAATGTGTCTAGGTTTGTGTCAAGCTGACAAAAACCAATCCACTGTAGTTGATTGAGTATTCGCTGCTAGCAGTCCAGGCCTTGGTGGACGAATTGCTCGAATCTCTTCCACTTTTTGTTTAACAACCATCAGGCCCAGGAAAGTGCATTTCCAGGCGTAGTCTGTGCATATCCGGGATGCTAACCACTGCTTGATCTTCTTCACCAGGGAAAGAAAGCAAAGGAAATTTCAATCGTACAGTCACCACTGGTGGATTTTTCATTCCAGCCACAAAAATGCACACGAGCAGCGCTGGCAGTTCCTGTGATCTCAGCAAGGAGAGTGAATGGGGTCAGGAGGGGATGCCTGCTGGGGCTGAGGGGGGCTGTGAGGTGAGCGGTCAGATCCGGCCCCTGCCTGAGCAGCTGAAGGTGTTCCGCCCCATCGGGGACCCTGAAAGTGAACAGTCCGCCCCGAAGCTTCTGGGGATGTTCTACACCTCCAGCGACAGTCCTGGCAAATCCGTCTTCACCAGCAGCTTGTTCCAGATGGAGCCTTCACCGCGCCACCAGCGAAAGGCGCTCAACATCTCGGAGCCCTTCGCAGTGTCCGTGCCACTCCGCGTATCCGCGGTCATCAGCACAAACAGCACTCCGTGCAGAACACCCCCCAAAGAGCTGCAGTCTCTCTCCAGCCTAGAAGAGTTCTCTTTCCAAGGTTCAGAAAGCGGAGGATGGCCAGAAGAGGAGAAGTCCCTGGGAGCTGAGTCTTTTCCAGGTAAAATAAGAGCAGGAGGGTCTCCCTCCATTGCAAAATAGAACACCAGGTTTGAACCGGCTTAATAGGATTTGCTGGACAGTGTGGTGAGGTTATTGGGATGGTGGGCTCTAGGGCCAGAAGGGCTATTGCAGACCCATGCTCTGCCATGGATTTTCACCGAGTTTTCTTAATGTAAAAATGCTGATGTTGATAACTATACCTTCCTTGTAAGTTTGTGTGAACATTTGCTTAACACATGCAAAGATCTCAGAGCAGTGTCCAGTATGTAAGTACTCAGCAAATGTTACTACTTTATTACCATACATGGTGAGAACTCAGGAGAAAAAAGTCATGGGATGCTGAGCTAAAGAGCTGGAATTGATGGACTGGTATTTCTGGGTGTATTTTCTATTCATCCATCCCTCCTAATTTCTATGTTATATCTACAAAGAATAGGGCTAGCAGACCCAGCCATGGGAAAGTACTTCCTTAGGTGTGATCACAGCAATCACAGAGTAAATCTGAGGGTTCTCACACACCAAGGCTGATACTCTCGGAACTGTATCCATGGTGAAGGGAGTTTTGTTGTTGATCCAGGTTTCTTCCCTTGTTGCCAGGCAGGTGGTCTCCAACAAAGAATCCCATTGTCTCAGCCTCCCTAATGCTTGGTACAGGCATGAGCCACTTAGAAAGGATTCTTTTGACCAATGGTCCTAAAATGGTATAGGGAGAACCTCAACAGAAAGGTTTGCTTGCTAACAGTCAAACCAACAGAATGTTCTCTTTCAACCGACATTGATGCATTTCAGTACCTCCTGTGTTGCTGGGCATAATCTAACTGTGCTACGTGTATAATCTCACTTCTCAAGACCAACCCTCTGAGGTATGGGTAATTATTATTTGATAACCTCCATTTGCTTGTAGAGGAATAATTTCCCCTAAAGTTCACAACAAGCAAGTGTGTTGGGGGGGGGGGGGGAGAGACCAAAACATTGCAATTGCAATTCCTAGCACATTAATCTCAAACCTGAACCTGAGTGTGTCAGCCAATATTTGTTGGTGTTGCTTGGCATGACAGCAACACAGTGTTCAGAACCAAGACCGCCATGAAGTTGTGCAATGCAACATGGGAGGGCACTACGAGAAACATCTAAGATTCACTGTCCATTTCATTTTGAATTCATTCTGGCTGCTGTCTATTCCGACACATTTCACTCATACCATGCAGTTACTGCACATTCAGTTACATGACCTCATATTCTGGCACAACCTACAGTTTATACAGTTGGAGGACCACGGTTTCAAGGTCATTTGAGATAATCTGGAATGTATGAGACCCTCTCTCAATAGCTCACTGTGAAGCAGGGCTAGGTGGTGGGACAGAGATGGGAGGGTGCTGCAAGTGCCTTCCTGAAAAGAACGCTTTGTACTGATCCCTCACATCCTCACCGCAGCTTCTGCGGCTAAGACGGCAGCTCCCGAGGACTCCATGCCAGAACCTGAAGCTCTGGCGACAGCGGAATGTAGCCAAGGCCCTCCCCTGGACCCAGGTACCCAAGTGGAGAGGAAACCCTTGGAAATATCCCTGGGATCTCAAGGGATCTCAAGGGCACCAGAGAAGAGGCCGAATGCAGAGACGGTGGTGAAAGAGAGCCTGGGGACTGGGCAGCTGAAGACAACCACTCCACAAGATAGCCTCAAGGCCAGGACCGAAGCAACGCTTCTCCATGACATGGTAAGGTGGACTTTGCCTCTTCCGGCCACAAATGATACGGTTTAAAGCAAATTGTTAAGGGATGTTAAGGGTTTCTGCAAGAAAGACTTATTTCATAAATTTACTTTTTTAAGTTTTTACTTTGTATGTGTGATTACAGCCGCATGTGTGCCACAGGATGTGGAGTTAGAGGACAACTTTGGGGAGTCCGTTCTTGCCTTATTTGTTAAGGCAGTGCCTCTTTTGTATTGCCTCTGCTGCACTATGGACTGCAGGCTGACCAGCCCACCAAGCTTGCAAGCAGTTTCCCTCTTGCTACCTCTTATCTCACCACAGGAGTGCTAGGATTTCAGATGAGCCCCACCATATCATTAAGCTTTTTATGTGGCCTCCTGGGATCAGGCTCAGGTCGTCAGGTTTTCAAGGCTAGCACTTCAATCCACAGAGCCATCTTCCTAGTGTGTGTGCGTGCGTGCGTGTGTGTGTGTGTGTGTGTGTGTGTGTGTGTGTGTGTGTGTGTATCTTTACAAGTCTCACTTATCAGGCAGGAATGCTGGCATACACCTATGAACCCATTACTTGGGAGATGGGAACTGAAGGACCGTGGTTTCAAGGTCATTCGGGATAATCTGGGATGTATGAGACCCCATCTCAAAACAAACAACACAAAAACAAAACTCACTTCTCAGCCTGTGGTTTCTCTGCAGCAGGCTTCTGGGAGGTCCAGGAGAAACCATTCAGCTCAGATTTCCAAGGCAGACACAACTCTGTTTCTGACCCATAAACCACTGACATATTCTTAAAATGTAATGACACTCAAGCCTAGAAGCATCACAATGCCAGCTCCTTATATCCAAGTCCCAGGCATGATGACCATTCATGAACCCCATTCTCTTTTCTCAGTCAGCTTGGTGTTTGTCCGGGCTGTCTATAAAACCTGAGAGGTTTCAAGGTTTCAGTCCGTGTTTGAAGAGAAGTTCAAATCCAACACCAAACCTTATCCATTCTTTAGGGGTAGAGTTTTCCCTGGGTGTTTTTATGGGATGTCTTTACATAAGTGTGAGGAGTTTTTCTGGGGACACCCAAGGAGAAGTCTTGCATTTGTAAGAACTTTGACCAGAGGCATGCGCTGAGAGATAAAGGAAGCCTACAGCATTTTAACTGGCTTCCAGAAGACACCAAGAGGACCATGTGCAGGGAGTTAGGACAAAGCTGAGGTGACATGGTAGCCTCAGGAGGGCTGAGAAAGGGTTCCCATGAAGCTTGTTTCTTTTGAGGTTGAAGTCTTATGAGGAGAGCCCCAATACAAACGACAGTACTTTGAGGAAGATGACATTTGTGCTGTGAGAACTAGGGTAACTTCATTAGCAAGTAAAAGCATCATCGGGTCATTCCTTCACTGAGCACTTGTGCTAAATCCCCACTGGGTGCTAAGTACTCTACTCTCCTGAGCAGTAGGGTCACTACAGTGGCCAAGACTGTCACCACTGTCCTTGCAAGCCTCACAGGGAAAAGTCAGTATCCAGGGTGGAGAGGTGAGGAAACATGACAGGGTTTCTTGGTAACAGATCCATGAATGTAAACGCTGAGCAAAGTAAGGAAACGAGAAAAAGGCTAGTTGGACAAAACAGAACTGTTCACACAGGAATGCAGTGAAGTAAAATTCAATTGCTTTGGCCTAGTAATACTGGAGAGCTTAAAGAAATAAAAGGGAGAATGGGGGCTAGAAGTGTAGCACATGTAACTTCATGTGTGAGATCCTAGATTTAACCATGAGTCCTCTACAACTAGAGCCCGGAAAGAGATGAGAGGTCAGCAACACATCAGACTTTCCCAGAAAGACACACCTCCACTATTGTGTGTGTGTGTGTGTGTGTGTGCGTGTGTGTGTGTGTGTGTGTGTGTGTGTGTGTGTGTGTGTGTGAGAGAGAGAGAGAGAGAGAGAGAGAGAGAGACCCTGAGATGCTTCTCCTTACAACAGAATTGCATCTTGAGACAAGAAAGGCTGGGGACATAGCTCAGTGGCTGAGCACTTGCTGGGTATACAACGCCATGTGCTAATAAACTGGCTGAGAAAAGGAGGTCAGCAATAGATCATGTTCTGCTGTAGAGAGGATTGGATTTCCATTCTGGTCTACTGAATGATGTGGGTCAACGAGCCTAGTAGTTGCTAATATCTCCTAGGGTGTTGAAAAGGTTACACAGGAGACACCTATGGTTACTACTGGGGCTGCCTCCTTCATTGGCCAGAGTACAGCATCACTCCATTCCCTCCCGCTCACTGGACACTTGGCAGATATCGGTACCCAGAGTTCTGGGCTCAGAAGTAACCAGCTTCTTCTTCTTCTTCTTTTTTTTTTTTTTTTTTTTTTTTTTTTTTAGGATGAAGATGACCTAGGTCACACTCTGATCTGGCCTGAGATTCAACAGGAACTGAAAATCATTGAGTCGGAGGAGGAGCTCTCGTCATTGCCACCCCCTGCTCAGAAGACAAGCCCAATCACTGAGTTAGGTCCAGCACCATTTCCCTTCCCAGAGGCATCTGGGAGCTCGCCCTGTAGCTCTACACCTCTGCAGGTGTGTACCAGGGACTCAGCCAATCAGAGCACACAGGGGGCTGCCATTCTTGCCAATAGAGGGAATCTGGAGCCTGTCTGCAGCCTCCCTGAGTCAGAGTCTAAGCAGGGACTCAGCCCAGACCCAGCCAGTCTAGCGCCTCTGCAGATACTTTTGTTTGAGAAGGTGTCTTCTCCAGCTAGGATAGATATGGGAGGCCCAAGAAATCTCTCCCCTCCACTTCCTCCTGCTCCTCCACCTCCAACTCCTCTGGAGGAGGAGCCTCGAGTCTTGCTGTCAAAAGAAGGAGGCCCTGACAGGGAAGATGCATCCATGGATTCCAGGACAGATCCCTACACAGAGCAGCCAAACCCCCAAGTTAACCCTAGCCCCCACCAGAGAGAAGAGGCCATTACAAGCCCCAATGAGAAGCAAAATGCAAAGCCTGCTGCTCCTGAGAGCAAAGGCTCTGGTCTCCCAAGCCCAGCAAAGGAGGCTGAAGTTGCCCCACAAGAAGAGGGGGATCCCCCTCATGCAACACAAGAGCCTTCAGACTGCGACGAAGATGACACTGTGACAGACACTGCTCAGCATGGCCTGGAGATGGTAGAACCCTGGGAGGAGCCCCAGTGGGTGACCAGTCCCCTTCATTCTCCCACCCTGAAAGACGTGCAGGAGTCCCAGGTGCAGTGCCCCCAGGGCCACCGATTGGAGAGGAGACTTTGCCACAGGCCCAGCCTTCGCCAGAGCCATTCTCTGGACAGCAAAAGCAGCGGTAAGAGCCACTGGACTCTTGAGATTCACTTCTCCAGCAGTTGTGCTAATCTTGAAACAGAGAGGAATTATGAGCCTCTGCAGCCCCCGGCAGCCAGGGACAAGAGTGCTGGATGGGAGGGAAAGGCCCTGAAAGCCTTCAGAGAGTTCTCTGGCCTGAAAGGGTTAGAGGTTCTTCCCAGCCAGAAGGGACAACCTGCTACACCACCCAAACCAGTAGAAACCAACTTCATCAGTCTGGCAGAAGGAAAGGAGCAGGGACCACAGCTGGAACTCAGCAACCCTCAGATGAAACACAATGATGTTCCCGGGCCAGAAGGCAGCGTGGAGAGTTCGCCTAGGGCTCAAGACAGCACCTCACCTGGGGAGAACACCCTAAAGTCACAGCCTACGAGCACTGAGTGTGGACCCTCAAAAGGGAAACACAGGCCTTCTTCCCTCAACTTGGACTCTGCCACACCCATCGCTGACCTCTTCCGACTTGAGAATGGGGCTTCGTTTAGTTCACCTGGAATAGAGCTCTCTGAACTAAGAAACATGAAGGTCACCTGGACGACCTCCTCTCCCTGTAAAGTAGCCCCCTGGGGCTCCCAGGACACCCAGGACCTGGACATTGTTGCCCATGCTCTGACAGGCCGCCGGAACTCAGCTCCGGTGAGCGTGTCAGCTGTGAGAACCTCCTTCATGGTCAAAATGTGTCAAGCCAAGGCTGTCCCTGTCATCCCACCCAAGATTCAGTACACACAGATCCCACAGCCCCTGCCCTCTCAGAGCACAGGGGAAGGTGGAATTCCGTCTCCAGAGAGGAACCGTGAACCTGGTTCAGCCACGGAGAGCCCTCAGAAACCCACCAAAGATGATCCTCCCTCTTCCCTGGAAAGCACAGAGGAAGAGCAACCAAAGCAAGAGGCAGGAGCCTTTGCATCCCAGAGGAAGGGCAGCACCACATCCTGCACGTGTGAGGGGTCCCTCTGCTCTCCGGAACCAGGGGCATCCAGTCTGCTCTCCACACAGGACGCAACCGTGCCTTGCAGAAAGCGCACATCAGAGACAGAGCCATCAGGAGACAACCTTCTTTCTTCAAAACTGGAGCGAGCATCTGAGGGTCCTAAGCCTTTCCACAGGTCAAGGCCAGGAAGACCTCAGAGCCTAATCTTATTCCCCATCATGGACCACCTACCCTCCTCATCCACAATGATAGATTCCAAGGTCCTGCTGTCCCCTATCAGAAGCCCCACTCAGACAGTTTCCCCCGGCCTTCTCTGTGGGGATTTGGCAGATAACACATGGGTCACACCAGAAGGGGTTACGCTTAGGAATAAAATGACCATCCCCAAGAATGGCCAAAGACTAGAGACTTCAACAAGCTGTTTTTACCAGCCACAGCGGAGATCGGTGATTCTGGATGGAAGAAGTGGGAGGCAAATAGAATGAGAGCAGTTGCCCTGCTGGTGTCCGCAAAAATGTCAGGTTCATCTGGTAGTCTAGGGCCGACTGGCCATTTTCCAAGCACAAGTTAGCTGACTGGGGCTTACTTTGGCCTCTGACCACCACCTCTCCCCTACTTGTCCCATCTCTCCCTCTGTTTTTGACCATGCGTGAGTTCATTTGCCAGAAGAGTAGTCAAGGCAAGGAATAAAAGGTGAGATTTAATAAGTCCACAGGAGCAAGTTGGGAAGGTTAGGCGAGGGAAGAGGACGGAATGCTTGCCTACAATGGAAATTGGGGCTCGTCTGTAAGTCACATTATTCCTCCGTTACCATTACCTATTACTGTCAGGAGCTGGCTGTGTTAGTATCCCTTGAAAGAAAGGAAAATCCTTTGCCCGAGTCAGAAAAATCTTCCTGTTTCGATAGAAGGCTTCTTCGTGCTTTTTGCTATTGTCTTTATAGCATGTGTTCTTTTACAACAATTTTCTAATTAGCTCTGTAAAAGTGTATTCCCCCTCCCTGCCCCAAAATAGAAGCAGATCTGAAAATGCAAACTAACATGCACTTAAGCTATCCAGGTGGGGGAACTTCCTGGGGTTGCTGCAAACCTGTCTGAGGTGATCCATGAACCACGTAGAAAATCAGAATCAGTACTCCAGAGCAAAGCCCCAGATAGGCACCACCCACGAACAATTCCTGGCGCTGGCCTTATTGTGACCCAACCTTCCACTGTGCTGAGCTCTGATTAACAAATCCATCAGCTAGGCAGACTGAGGACTGTGCTAGGACTGGGAAGTCATATAGGTATGCAGGAGAATTGTGTTGCGCTTCCTTAAACGTACCAGAATCCAAGTGTCGTTACATGTCCTAGAGAAAGGCCTCACAGGAAGGCACAACTTCATTATAGACCTGATGTGTCTAAGTTGGTCAGGTATTAGGGAGAAACATTCTAGAAACTCTCCATCACTAGGCTGTCTGGGCCTAGTGGGACAGAAGAGGAGGCAGGGAGGAGCCCCGGCAGAGTGGCTTCCCTTCTTCTCTCACCATTACTCAAAGGCAGATTTAAGAAACTCTCTGTGTCCTAAGTCCCCCTATCCACTGTCCACCTAAGCCCTGATTTGCTCTTTGACATTGTCTAGACACAAGCAGATGCTGGAAGACTTCTGTGCTTCCCTTCAAAGGCTTAATGGGGAACTTCAGACTCCAGCCTGGCTGTTCTGTCCAGAGCTCAACCATCCACAAGTTTCTCAAAAGACTAGCAGTACCTCTGGGCTCACTCCACAGTCAGAGTCAGCCCTGGACTGAGTAGGGGCTAAGCTGAAGTCAACTCCAATGGGGATGTGGAAGCAGATGCACTATCCCAGATTTCAAGCCCTCCTCTCCCTCCCTGGTTAACCTTAAGGATTTGAAATCCTGACCTATTCCTTTTAAGCCAGAGCCTGGGACAAGGAAAACTAGTAAGTTAACTAATGGGAATGAGCCCATGTGAGGTAGCAAGGAAAGCAGGTAATAGGTCTTCAGTCCTTGCTCTCCCATTGGATGAGGAAAACATTGAACCAATAGCCACTGAGATGTCAACCCACGAGAAGTCTTGGGACACAGCATTTCCCCCTAGTCACAAAAGGTGAAGAAATATGGTGTGAAGAGATGAGCAAGGCTGGGAAGATTTGAAAAGTGCACTCATGCCCTATCAAGCTTCCTGCCAGCTTCAGGGTGCTTACAGTGTGTTTTGATAATGACTTGTTCTGGTGAGAATGTGAGACAAAAAGAGCCAAGTACTGAGTTTTCTTAGCCAGCAGGACTTGGAGGCTTTACCATCTCGGTGTCCTGCTTCTCAAGTGTGGTCCCCTTTTTGATGGTCTTAGAGCCTATCAACTGTCACACACATATTCATAAATGTTATGGGCTGGATGAGCCTGGCATTGAAATTGTTCCTCAAGATGCTCTGGGGTCACTCACCATTTGACCACCAGCTGGGGCTCTCATATGGGACTCCTGAGAATGGCCAGGTAGGAATCAGACTGCTTGCTCCCATCCAGGTTCTAGGAAAGTACAGCTGTTGTCAGGACCTGCTGATGTCCCAAAAAGAGCAGGAGAGTCATTCCAGAGCAACTACCAGTCTTCAGCATGGGATAGCTCATTTTAAAGATGGAAGTTCAAGCAAAATGCATACATGTACCCTTTTTGGCATATTATTGTTGCTTAAGACAATAATCCATATTTATTTACAAAATAGTCCTCCCAGGACTTTCTTCCCCTTTTTGGCCAAAATGGAGTGGAGAAAGAGCATTTAATTTTTATTTTCTAGTTTTAGAATATGAAAAGATCTGGCCAAGACATCATTATGAAAAATACTATTAACTTAATCCATGCCTTGAAATTCAAAGTAATGCCCAAGTTAAAATTCTGGCTTTTCGGGACACTAAGAATGACAATGTCAGCATTGTACTCATCAAGTACTTATCAAATGCTTGGTAACAAGGCACTAGTTACCTTAGCACTCCTAACACTGTTGAGGAGTCTAATAAGTAAACAGGGAGGAATGCTGGCCAATCAAACAGCCTGAAACAACTGGGAGCAAGGTGCAGACCACCCTTAGACACCAAGAAAAGGCAGGAAGAGCAACTAGCACCTTTCAGTAGGAATGCTAACAGTATTCAAATGACCTACTAATTTTAAATAATCTAATTAAGCAAAATTGCAAATCCAATAAAATATGTCAGTGAGACACTTGGGTGTTGAGAACTTTGTTCTTAAAGGTCAAAGTGAAAATGAGTATTTCTGATAGTTTTCATGATCCTCATTGTTTGTAAGGTCTAACTGTTGGATGTCTTCTCATAAACCAAGTAGGACCAAGCTCCACACACCTTAAGAAAGGATTCGAGAGACTTCGATCATCAAAAAAATGAGTTCATTTCTGTTGTTGATAAAGTCACAGATAGGTCCAAGACAAACTGTTAACTTCATGTAGTGTTCAGCACACAACAATCACATTTGGCTGAAATTGGGTGGGTAGGTCATTTGTCTACCAAGCCTTGTGTTCCTACCTTAAGAAGCCCTGAAGAATATAAGATTTGTCTAGGATTGGGATGGAAGAAGTTTCCAGTAAGCCAACTCCTGCTTACATGGATTAGGACTATCTTCTATCATAGCTGGCCCATTTGATGACAACATGCATCGTGGGATTTGCTGGCCAAGATTTCAGGCATTTCAAGGAGGAAGGCCAGGTCAAAATGTGTAATGACAAAGAAGGTGTCCTCCTTTCCTAGCCAATCAGAGGTGGAAGAGGGAGTAAATGCACCTTTCTAGGCAAGAGGAGAAAGATGGCAAAGGGTGATTGGCTGAGACCAGCACCAGTCCAGGCAGAATAAAATGATTGGCATACAGATTACTTAGCTTGAGGTACATGAGCATTGCAGAGATTGGTTTTCAATGTGGTCAAAAAAAGAGGTAACTAATGTAAGAAGCTATGAATCCAGTCATGTGCATCACTGGATGAACCCCAATGCTTTGAAATGATGTAATGCTATTGTACTTTCTGGCTTATAATTCTGCAAAGTAAAGCACTTTTTTTCAAAGAACCCTATTGGCAGCCATATGATTGATTGCAAGCTGTTTTTGAACTCTACAAATGTTTCCAAAGATATAATCAAAATGTTTTCTATTCATGAAAAAATATATTAAACATACCCATAGAGAAATTTAAGTGTAATTAAGATATTGTTATGTTTTAAAATGTACTCTAATAAATCATATAAAATTTAATTCTTGGGATGGAACTATTGGTTAAAGGAGGACATGGGGGTTACCGAAATCAACACACAAACATAAGTCATAAGACATCAGTCACTGTGCTAGCTTGTTCTGTAGGACATCATTTTGTTGTTGTTGTTACTTCAAGATCAGATTTTACAAATCTTCCACAAATTTTGGTTTTTCAGGGTTTGCTGGAAAGATGGTTCAGCAGTTGAGCAGTCTGTGCTTCCAAAGCACCTAGGTGGATTCCTAGCACTCAATTGGTGGCACACAGCCTTCTGTAACTCCAGTTCTAGGAGCTCCACCCCTCTTCTGGCCTCCATCAGGCACACACATGGGGCACAGACACACATGCAGGCAAAACACCCATACACATAAATCAGAGAAACTTATGATAGGGCTTCACTCTGTGGCTCAGACTGGCCTGAAACTATATAGTTGGTCTTAAACTTGCAGCAATCTTTTTGCTTCAGCCTCCCAAGTGTCAAGATTACATGTGTGAGTCACCATGCCCAGCTGCCATTAGCTTGTTTTTGTTACATCTTAAAAACCAATTGTTTGCAACTTCACCCTCTTTTGCCAGTCATTTAACCAAAATAGCCAGGATAAATTGGCGTCCTGTACCAAGTGCAAGTTTTAACATCAAAAAATAGCACAGCTAACTGCTTCTTGGACCTCTGTAGCTTAAGGAGAGCTGAGCCCAGTGAGTAGGTGCAGGCTCAGGCTCCCTGTTGAACCAGTCAAAGACTTTTGTTTTGGGGGCAGACACTGTGATTTGTGCACCTATGCATGTATGAAGAGTGTATGGAGGCCAGAGATTGATGTAAGATGTCATCCGCAATTGCTCTCTATTTTATTTACTAAGGTAGAATCTCTCACCAAGCTCAGAGCTTGCTCATTAGTCTAGCCTAGCTAACTGGCTTGCCCTTGGGATACGCCATATGCCCTGCCAAGGGCTGGGATTAGAGAGACTGGTCACACCTGTGAGGCTTTCATGTAGGTGCTGGGGATCTAAACTTGTACAGCAAGGGCTTTGCCCACTGAGCTAGACCCCACCCCGAGGACTGAGTGGTCAGTTGGTGTTAGAAAGGGTGACGCCAACATTTACTATCCTGGCACTTATCACAAACAAAAAGGTGGGACTTGGAGTGTGAAAGGAACATACATACAGACTAGTCTCTGAACTGTTCACTTCCTGGGCTTCGATAAAACCCACCAGGATACACTCCACCAGATTTTTACAAAGGGTCATAAGATGCCCTCCCAGCTTCTCACTCCTGTTCTTGTATCATCTCTTCTTCTTCTGCTCCTCCTCTTCCCTCTCCTTCTCTCTCCTCTCTCTCTCTCACACACACACACACAAACACAAACCTCACTATCAAAATGTATGGTCCCAGCTATTTTAACTTTCGCCCTTTAGGTATGATGCAGTCAATGTACCAAATGTCCTAGATTTGGCGCCAGGCTCCATTTCCTACCACCATGTATCCTACCAGCACCTGGAAGAAATTTTATTGTTCTCAAGGAAAACCTACCGATACCCATGCAATAATTGCACATGGTTTTTATTTATTTTATTTATTTTTTATTTTATTTTGCTTATAGGGCCTTACACATGCAGGCAAGCACTTTATCGTTGGCTTCTACATCTGTCCTCTGCTTACATGTGTACCTGGTAACCATAGGGTTCAGAAGGTACTAGGCCCCCAAGAACTGGAGTTAAGAAAGGTGTGAGCCACCATGTAGGTGCTGTGAACCAAATCCAGGTGCTCCACAAGAGCAAGTGTTCTTAACTGCAGAGCCTCTCTAGCCCTGCAACCCATTTTTTAAAATAGCAGTTGTCATGTGTGTGGGCATGATGGGGTTGAGGGGTATGTAGAGACCAGCAGACAATTCAGGAGCCGGTTCTCTTTCCACCACAAGGTTCAGGAACCAAAACAGTGTCACCGCTGGTAGCAAGTGCCTTTGCCTTCTGCACCAATGTGCCATTTCACAGCTCCTCGGCCCCTGTACTCTTTTGTCTTCTAATTTTGAGACGGGGGTCTAAGTTTTTCAGACTAATCTTGAATTCACTCTAAAGTCAGCCAGGCCTTGGGTTTTGACTCTCCTGCTTCCAGTTCACAAACCTCAGAGATTATGGGCTTGTACCACCAGGCCTGTTCACAGCTATTTTCATCCACATAAGATTTATTTAGTGTGTGGGAATGTTGAGGGACAGAGTGTACACATGGAGGTCAGAGGACAACTTGCAGGTGTCAGTTGTCTCCATGCACATTGCAGGAACTGGACTGAGGCGGTCAGGCTTGATGGCAAACACCTTTACCACCGAACCATCTAATGACTTCTGACCATGTGCTTCTAGGGTTACACATAAGGTTATTTCACACTCTGTATATTCTTATCCTAAATTCCAGTTGTTCCTCTCCAAAACCTTCTTTCTGCTCTTGCTACTTTATTCCATTTGTGGAAGGTCAGCAGTGCCTGGCCCACCACTATTCTAACAACATCATTATCAAATTTGCAATCTTTCTGCCTCAGACTCCCAAATACCAGATGACAGGAGTGTGCCAACAACACACATGGCTTTATTACATTCCACCTGCCTGCATCTATCCGCTCTTCTTGTGGCACCTTCAGAATTCAGCCAAACCAGCTCTGGACAGCAAAAGCAGCGGTAAGAGCCACTGGACTCTCGAGGTTCGCTTCTCCAGCAGTTGTGCTAATCTTGAAACAGAGAGGAATTATGAGCCTCTGCAGCCCCCGGCAGCCAGGGACAAGAGTGCTGGATGGGAGGGAAAGGCCCTGAAAGCCTTCAGAGAGTTCTCTGGCCTGAAAGAGTTAGAGGTTCTTCCCAGCCAGAAGGGACGATCTGCTACACCACCCAAACCAGAGGCAGACTCGTGTTCTAAGACTAGTCTAGGGACTGGAGATGGCTCAGTGATCAAGGTGCACCCACATGGAGGCTCATAGATATCTATAACTCAGTTCCTAAGGGGCCCAATGCCCTGTTCTGGCTTCCGTGGGTATCAGATAACACATTGCACAGACATACATGCAAATGAAAGACTCATAAGCATAAAATCATTTTTAAAAAGATATGCCTATCTTCTATAATCACCTGGGCTATTTCTGTACACGGGATAAACTTGGGACCTTTGTTGTTGCTGCTGAGACATATGGTCTCACCGTGTACCCTTAGCTGACCTCAAACTCAAAGTCACCCTCCATCAAATTTGCACAAGTACTGAGATTACAGGAATGTGTCACTAGACCCTAGCTAAATGTTAGCTAAGGGAAACAAAACTTCAAGATCCCAAGCAGCTTCCCTGCCTCCCACTCCTCACAATTACATTTAGGTCGAACTACTTTAAATAGCAAGAAAGCTAACACACTAACTTTGTGCTTTTCTTTTCTTCTTTCTCCATGGTACAAAATGATTCCAAGTCAAGTCAATGCTCTTGCTGCTATAAAATGAAGTCCTTGGGCTGGCTGGATGACTTAGTGGATAAAGGCACTTGCTACCAAACCTGACAACCTAAGTTCAATCCCTGGTACAGCACAGAGAGACATTCAACTCTGGTAGATTGTCAGCTGTATCTTCACTGTGGCTGAAGCACATATGGTTTTATCTTGTCTGACTTTTGCTGAAAAATCACACCCTAGATCTGCAAGATGGCTCAGTGGATGAAGGCACTTGCCACATAAGCCTGACACCTGACTGCAATTCAAAAGTCCACGTAAAGTTAGAACTTCCAAAAGTTGTTCTCTGCCTTCCAAAGACACATTCACTTACACACACACACACACACACACACACACACACACACACACACACACACACACACAGTATGCTCACAAAATAATTTTCTTTTTTCCTGAGACAGGGTCTACAGCCCTGGCTGTCCTGGAACTCACAGAGATCTTCTAGCCACCCACCTCACCCGGCCAAGAGCTGGAATTAAAGGCCTATACTACTAGCACTGCCCAGTTCACAAAAGAATTTTTAAAAGTATTTTAAAGGGCTAGAGAGATGGTTCAGCAGTTAAGAGAACTTATTGCTCTTCCAGGGGACCTAAGTTCAATTCCAAGCACCCACACCAGACAGCTCACAATCACATAACTCCAGCTACAGAAGATCCAATGCCTCTGGCCTCCACAGGCTCCTGCATCCATGCACACAGACACAGAATTTAAAATAATTTTTAAAAATCTTTTTAAAAACCATTTCCTCACCACTACTGTGGAAGGCTACTTCATAAGATTCTGCCTTTAAAAAATAAAGTCATCTCATCCAGGAATGGTGGCACACACCTTTAATCCCAGCACTTGGGAGGCAGAGGCAGATGGATCTCTGAGTCTGAAGCCAGTCTGGTACAGAGTGAGTTCCAGGACAGTCAGGGCTACACAGAGAAACTCTGCCTTGGATGGATGGATGGATGGATGGATGGATGGATGGATGGATGGATGGATGGATGGATGGATGGATGGATAAATAGGTAAATAAATGATCAGTCGCCTCCTCAGATCACCATGGTGATACACACCTATAATTATCATTCCAAAGACTGACAGTGGAAAGCTTTGAAAGCGAGACCTTTCCTAAAAGGAAAGAACAAAGGCGTTCCTCAAAGATGCCATCTAATAGTTGGTGTCACTTCCTCTACTTCTTTTCAGGCCCTGACTTCTCTCTCCTGTACTTCATTACTACCACAACATGACACACAACCTTGCTGATTTGACTGGCTCAACATATTCCTTCAGGGTGAGCTCTTGCATTTCTTACTGCTAAGCCCCAATGCCTACAGAGCACCTGCTGGACAACATACATTGTGGAATGGTAAAGACTGGTTATCAAATATTCAAATTTTAGGAGCAGTATCCACTAAGAAAGCCAAGGTTAGTTGCAACATGAAGGTTGGCAGCTATGCACACACCTATTCCTAGAATGCATTTCCTTTATTGAGAACCTTTTGAGAACTCTTCCTCAAGAACTGTTTCGAGAGTTAAGTTTTTGAATTATAAGATTGCTTTTTGTTTCCTAAGTCACGTTTGTATCATCCAACGCTTTAGAGTCTAAGCAGCTAAGCTCCTCAGACCAGAAAGTAGGACTGTCTATTTTTGGTCTAAAACAGTCAGTTGTAAGTACATCAACTCCCAAAACCATGGCCAGTAGTGACCTAAAGGGTTAATGCTCACAAATATGAAGGCTCTGAAGTATGAAATTTATTTACTTATTTTGCAATGCTGGGGAACAAACTCAAGCTCATGCATATGAAACAAACACATTAACATTGAGCTCTATCTCCAGTCTTTGAGTATGAAATGGAAAACACAAATTTTGGATATAGGTCAAATTCTGAGAACCATGGAGCAACTTCTCGTATTTTTCCTCCCCTCTTAACTCCAAACACAGTGCTACTGTAAAGAGGTAGCAGCTAGACTGCACCCGAGGCTGTTTTGTTCAGGGCTTGCCCATTCTCCCAATTGGTTAGGTATTTTCAATCTCCCCATGCCCTAGAGACTGACAGGGCATTTATACTGATCCTCTTCCTTGGATCCCGCATGATCTACACTTCCTGTCTTTGAAAAGCACTATTACATGTAACTAAGAGTAAAAGGACAAATCTTTGGAAGCAAAAGTCATGAAAGAACAGGCAAAATGACAGCAATCCCCAGAACACCAGACGAGAGTAATTGAAAGTATCACAAAAACAGGTCACTAAAGACAGGAGTCTAGAACGGCCTCCTCCCAGTAGGTGGCAGCAAAGAGTACCCAACCCAAGATTTGAACCCACTTTGCTGTAGTTACCCCAGCACTTTTAGAATGCTAAATTAAAGGGTATTGGGTGCTGGAAGGCAACTCTATCCATCTCTCTTTTCTACAGCAATAATTATGGCCAGGGGATGAACTAAAGATAACAAAAAAGACTGGAAAGGAAACAGACACACCAAAGACAATGTGTCAAGCAATATGCAAGACATGTTTCTAAGCGAATGTTACTCCAGAGCCAGACAAACAAGTCAATCTTTTACTGCAGGGGCATCCTCTCATGTATAATATTCAAATATACTAACACATGAAAGATAACATCACCTTGTTTATGGATACATTTAATATCCCTTACCCTTCCCAACTTTCAAAACATAATAGTATACAAAATATAAAATATCTTAAATATTTATAAAAATCGCAAGAAAAAAATAGATCGTATGAAAATATTTTTATCTGAGTTCTCCCTCATGTTGACAGGCAGCTTAATTTGCCTTGAGTTCGTAACTGTTGAGGGGGTAGGAGTATGCCCTGCCTAAGACTATTCTGTCCCGGAGGAGCTTAAATAAAACATAGTAGTTGCAGAAAAGGATGAGCGCCATGGAGAGTGTGTGGTTCCACTTCTCTGACCGCAGCAAGGAATAGAGTTGGTAGAATACAACACTGCCCTCAATGAGGATAAGCAGGTTCAACAGCCTTAACGGTCGATGAAACAGGAACTGTAAGAAAGTTTAAAAAAAAAAAAAAAAAAAAAAAAAGACGTTATATCACAGGAAAAGCAAATTTATTGAATTCATTTTCCTAAAACAATTTCATAGCTGTAAGTTCACATAACCAATACCAAGTAGATCTGCATGTTTACTGTCAAACTATTTCTTGCTATATAAATCTAAAAACCTCCTTTTTGTTCATGAGCAATGAAATAAATTTTATTGCAATGCCCCTAAAATGCAAAAAATTATTATGCCCAATAAGATTTTTCTTTTTCCTTTCTTTCTTTCTTTCTTTTTTTTTTTTTGTTTTTTTTTTTTTTTTTTTTTGTTTTGTTTTTTTTGTTTTTTTTGTTTTTTTTGTTTTTGTTTTTGAGACAGGGTTTCTCTGTGTAGCTTTGGAGCCTATCCAGGCACTCTGTAGACCAGGCTGGCCTTGAACTCAGAGATCCACCTGCCTCTGCCTCCTGGGTGCTGGGATTAAAGGCGTGTACCACCACCACCACCTAGCAAGATTTTTCTAACAAGGTATCATAGATGTTATTTTATCTAAGACATTCCAAAGTATGTTTATCTAAAACCAGACTGGTAAAAGGAACATATGGAAATATTTGTAACACAGACCCAAAAATTAAAGTTGCAAAGCAATAGTAACATAACTATTTAAAAATATACTGCTAGGGCTCAAGAGATGGCTGATGTTAAGAGCTCTTCTAGAGGTCCTGAGTTCAATTCCAGGCAAGCACATGGTAGCTCACAACCATCTACAATGAGATCTAGCAACCTCTTCTGGTGTGCAAGAATAGATGCAGGCAGAACACTATACATAAATAAACAAATCTTAAAAAAAAAAAAAAAGTATTGTTATTCACTCTTAGCTTAGGACCTAATGTAAAAAAACATAAACACCAAGATTAGACAAGTGTGAAGAGAGAAAAGTACTGCAAGTTGAACTATTAATATGATAACTTCTTTCATTTTGTTTTGCAAAGAGATTTTAATATGTAGCCCCAGCTAGATGACACTAGAATACTCTTCCCTTAGCCTGTGAGTGAAGGATTACAGGTATGTGCCACCTCATCAAGCCACAACAGTGGCGTAATTTTCCCTTAAACTATTTACCAAATAAGACTACTGACTGAAATCCTATACCCCATATACTTTTGCCGAGCATGTTTTCCTTCCCCCAAATATTGAAAAATCAAGTACAAAATGGCATGCAAAGAGGAAAACTGGAAAACGAGCAAGCATTAGAAGAAATGGGACTTCTTATTTTCACTCATCAAATTTTTCACTCTAAGGAGGTTATTAATAAAAATGCACTCTACAGACTATGCTGACTCCTCATGGGAGCCCTCACCCACTGACAAGGAGTAGACTGGGAGTGGGCTGGGGAGGAGGTGGGGGGAAGGGTGGCAGGAGGCAAGGGGCAGTGGGAGGAAGAAGGGTGGGAGGGAGAACTGTGGTTGAAATCTAAAATGAAATAAAAAAAGAAAAATAATAAAAAAGCACTCTGAATATGGAGTCAGATTACAACATAACAAATAACCACAAGTCCTACATTTACAGATATGGTCTATACTGGTATGTCATCTAAAAACAAATAATTTGGATGAAATTTCTGTCTCAGGGGTTTAAATGTGAGAATAAAGCTAAACTACCTGGCTGCTCTCAAAGACACACAGCTTCTCAGGGCAGTCTTCAGGGGAAAGAAAAATTTTAGCAAATTTTATTAAGATATTCAGCAACACCGTGTATATAACTGGCTCCGAATTACTCTTCTAGAAAGATTAAGAAAAGCCATTTCAGATTCTATGGCCATGTGTAGTTAACTGTACTAGTAATCTAGAAACAGATTCTAGAAAGGTTCTTAAGTACAGCTACTAATCCCAGCACTCGGGAGGCAGAGGCAGGCAGATTTCTGTGAGTTCAAGTCCAGCTTGGTCTACAGAGCTAGTTCCAGGACAGGCTCCAAGGCAATACAGAAAAAAGAAAAACCCTGTCTAAAAAAAAAAAAGGTGTGTGTGTGTGTGTCTTACTCTGTAGCCAAAGGCTGCCCTAGAAACTCATGATCCTGCAGTCCCTACTTTCCCAGAGGCTAAGATTCCTGTGAGCTGCCTCCTAGGCAAACAGGCAGGTTTAAATGACTATGAACACTCTCCACACAGAAACCCTCACTGTATTAAATAGTACTTTAACTATGATGCACAGATCACCTTTGTTTGTTTGTTTGTTTGTTTTTGGATAGAGTCAATATAGGCAAGACTGACCTTGAGCTCCTGATCCTCCTATCTCCACCTTCCACGTGGTAGGATTACAGTAATATGCCACCATGCCAGGCACAGAGACAACATATCTGAAGAACATCCCTACATCAAACTATTACCAAATTAAACTGTCAGGTGAAAAAGGAAATCACGTAATTGCCTGCTTGTTTTGAGCAATAGTATACAGACTCCAAGCTTCCTCTCCAAAGCCATTTTCAAGATCAAGGGCCAATGTCACAGTAATAGCAATGATCAGCATGCATTAACTTCCTATCATGCATGGCATTCCGTGCTAGGTGCTTACACACAGAGTGGCCTCCTAACACTTTTAAGTTTATGCTTAAAAAAATAAGGTGGTACTTACATAAAAGCGGGCATGGGATACATCTGAAGGCACTGCCACGTTGTAAGGTCCCATGGCTCTATATAAACATCTGCTGTGCCGCACCAACACCCCTTGAGGCCATATTGTGTTTTCTGACCAACTATGGGAGAAAGAAATGCACTGTTAGAATACTGAGACTTAGGGAAGACAGTGTTTTGAAAGGCCAACTATATTTCTATGGAAGATCAGATTAAGCATTCAATGCTTCATCTGCCTGAATTCTGAACATACATTTGGTAATTCCACAGCCAAGCTCTTTAAGAGTTAGAAAGGATATGTTATAACTTCATTGTTATACAGTATACAGAAACTATCAAGTGACATGGTTAACTCAGTGTTGAAGGACTTACAGGTGTGGGAGAATGAGCAGGCCAGAAAACAAAGTATAAGAGGGTGAACTGTCATCTGGATCCCAAGTGAGCAGTAAGAGGACACAAACAAGAAGTGAAAGCCGATGACCACAAAAGCAAAAGAGAAATTAACAGCACTGCTAGACTAGAAGACACGTGCTGCGTAATCACACCCCTAAACAGGACTGGTTTGCTTATCACATAATTCAAGTGTCTCACAGATGTGAGGAGCTATACAGTAGAACACAGACACATACAAGTACTAACACACAGACTTTCCTCTTTACCGCTTCCTTGGTTCATTTCTATAGAGGTTTCTCTACAGAAAAGAAATTAGGGAAGGAAAAGCTTCTTTCTTTCCAGCATCAATGTAACGGAGTTGCAGATCTTCAAATTAAACTTATTTTGTTTCACTTAAACCTAAGTTAATTCATCACTTCCTGATTTTGGAAAGGTTAGTTTCCTAGGATAAGAACTGGGACAGCAGTTTAAATATGTTAAAAAATAAAAATTATTCTAGCACCCTGAAGCTTTCCCAGTTGAGAACATGTTCCACCAGCCTTGCTCACACTTACCAGCATTAAGGTGATGATACACCTCATGGCCACGTGCCACCAGTAGCCTGAAGATGTACAGTACTAGGACTGTGGATTGTACTTTCAACTGTTATTGAAATCTGTCCTTTGCCCACATTCAGGTTTCTTTTCAGCCTGGCCCAATCAATCTCTTTCAGTTCCTGGGCTTGAAGGCCTGTGCTAATCTGTATCAGACATCAAGGCAGATAATTGAAGGGAGAACTCTGAGGGTGGGAGAGGGGAAGGGAAGGTCACCTCAATCTGTTCCATTTAATGAGAGGGAAAAGTGGTAGATGAAATTTGTGGAATATTTAAATTATAAAAGGGAGGAAGGTGAAGAGGGTCCATATTTGAAGATGGCCCAGGCCTGAGAGACAGTTATGATAGTGGGCTCAGAATTGACAGAATGAAAGCATTTGGGAGTTAAGGCATTTTGAACCATGCAAAGAAATGACTAATAACAATACACAACCAGAGCCAGGGGCAGTTCTCATTTGAGTATAAAAGAAGCAAGGAAACAGTACAGAAATTAGGAATAAAAAGGAAAGAATTATAAGCAAGGAAAATTACTACACCAAACCTGCACTTATTAGAAAAGACGAAAGCAGCAAATTCTAGCTACTCAGCTGTGGCAATGAAGATGAGAACACAAGCTGTAAGTCTTACAAAATAGCTTAAAATATATGTACATATATTTTACATATTTGTGTACATATATACAAACACACACACACACACACACACACACACACACACACACATATATATATATCTCCAAATACATTTGGATTTGGGCACAGGGTAAAGACTGGAAGAAAAACCCAGAGTATAATGCACTCGAGTGACCGGGCAGCTGAAATGTGGGCCCCTTGAGAAGGAGTTGGCAATGGTGGTGGAAATGAGTTAATGCCCTGTATTCTTTTTAGTATGATGACAAGCATACATGTAAACAAAAACCAAACGACATTTAAAGCTGAGAATGAGAACAACAAACAAGGCATATAAACATGACCAGTATCATGAAGAGAAGGTTACATGGTTACCCTCTAACCTACTCACATGTGCTGTGGAGCATTGCTGTAGAACCCATGTTCCAACTTCTGCCACTTGCCCAGGTGAGCAGCTGATTTATGTAGCAAATCGCAGTATTTGGATGGCAGCAGTTGAGTGGTGAGCATGACAAAAGCATTGATCCACACCATGATGAGGTGCTCACATGACCAGCGCATGTCGTAATACTGGGTGCTCTGGAAGAGACCAGAAGAGAAACATCCATGCACTGGCGTGAACAGAGGCAAGGAAGGGTGTGTGGACATACACCCTGCAGACAAATGCCACTCTGAGTCAACATGCACTGGTTGTCCTGCTGTCCGTGAAGAAACTTCGGGAGCAGAGTCCTCCACAATCAACCTGACTTTCTGGCTGTGCGAGTTAGGGCTGGGAGGGAGAGCAATTATGTTCTATGTGCTTCCTTTTTGGAAGAACTGGCGTTTCTCAAGGGCCAGTCCAGCTGCAGATGTACTTCTGAACGGGTGACAGGAGGACACTAGAACGTTCCAAAAGCTCTTGGCCCCATGTGATATCCAGACCATTTATCTTTTCTATTGAAATAAATTGAGTTTAGATAGAGGTTAGGTAAAATTCAAGATGACCCTGTTAGAATATGAACCACAGCAGGCTAAACTTCATTGAAATCTTGTTTCTCTTAAGCTGCTATGTAATGACTCTATTGTAGGTCAATCTTTATTTTTTCCAGAAACTTAAAAAACATATTAAAAAAAAAAAGAGGAAAGAAAGGGGTGGGGGGGCTACCACGGGGTGCATCACATATATGAAAATACCTATCCGCCAACCAGGAGCGGTATTAGTGCACTCCAGATGCAGCCGAACTCCACCATCCAGGCTGCCAAAGGGGAGACAGAGAAAAGGGGAATTAAACAAGAAATACCCAGTTTATGTAACTGACACACAAATCCAGCGAGTACAGACAGCAGGACACCTGCTTACCTTCACAAAACACAGCGGGAGAAATGCAACGTAGTAGGCACTGAAGAGAGAGTTGAAGAGAACTTCCTTGATTCTGTGGTTGAAATCTGCTTTCAAACATTCTACTTCATTGCGAATGAGATCGGGAGATAGGGGACAGCTGTGGGTGGGGATGGGCGTGGCATTATTAAACTGTTCTTTTAGAGACTCCAGCAATAAGGACAGGAAATCTTTGGATCTGGCCAGACTGCCCACATTCGAAGCACCTTCCTCTACTGCCTGGTGCTGAACCACATAGTCTGTGAGGAGAAGATGTGCTCTACTATCTTGGTGGAAACAGCAGAGAGGAACATAAACACCAAACCTGCAACACAAAGTGAATATGAAAATGAGACGAATCTCACACATCATGTAACTATGTCATGGTCTACCTAAGAGAATGTAACCTCAAGGGATCTGAGCTTCTGTTTTTTTTTTTGTTTTGTTTTGTTTTTTTTTTTTTTTTTTTTTTTTTACAAAAGCAGAATATATATACACTGCAGAATAGGATAGCACATGAAAAGGCCCAGCAACAACACATAAACACCTAAAAACAATCATTTCTATTGAGTGCAGTTTTCCAGAGTGCAAATTTTCTACATGTTCACTACCAGGGTCGGGGTCTGAGCTGGGTGTTGCCAGGTTCTTGAACTCTAATTCAAAGAACTGAAATAAAGGCTCATGCAGATACCCTAGGCCCAGATTACTGTTCAGGATTTCTTTTCTGGAGTTCAGGAGGATGACTTTAGCTACTAAGGAGTGTAATGAGGGTGGAGCTCTCTTTTGGTTAACAGATTAGGTCATATAATCATTTTGCTACTTTGCATGTCCCTTCCCACAATGCATCTGATTTTAATTACATACTCTAAATTATTCATTTGTGTAATACGGTAGGCAAATAGAAAATTTCTCTCCAAAATTCACTTTATGACAGTTTGACCCCCAAACCAGTCCAGATCAGTCTTTGCATTCTATGTTGGGAATATATTTAAAAAGAAATTGTCTAAATCTGATAGTTGTTAGAGGAGAAGAAACCTCCTTGATGCACTGCTCAGAGAAGGATGGATATGAAGCTGACTGTAAGTGGGGGTCAGGGTTGCTAGAGGCACTGTTCAGAGACGGGTGGATGTGTGCATAGTACATGCACGTAAAGGAGCTGGACTGTGAAGTACCTTATTGGGGCAGGGACAGTACATAACAAAACCAAGTAGAATCGTGTAATACTGAATTATTTCATATAACTGCCTGCCTCATTTCCTTGTTATTTTCTCCACAGACTTTACCACTCTTTGTGTGTTTAATAGATTTATTATTTGGTGATGGTATTTTCTTGGATTACTTTCCTTCACTACCAATTTAAACTCTACAAAGCAATTTAAAACTGATGCACCTGGTGCCTGAAATAGTTCATGAAACTGAAGACTCTCGGAAAATATTTCATAAATTAATGAAATAAATTAAAGAACTGAATTTTTTGAGAATTTTGACATCTCTTTTTATCCTATGTATTAAACTCAGGGTTTAACGCTAATGCTTTATGTTTAATATTTAACGTACATGTTAAGACAAATCTAGCATGGGCTGTGTACAGCTCCCAACTGTCCATGTGAACATCTTAGACTTTTTTAACCATTGACTCCTTAAGCACTTAAGTACCCCAAGTCTTCATTTGGTAACTGCCATGATATGAACTAGATATTGTAAATAAAATGGTCATTTCACTGATATCAATTCAGATATAAAAAATATGAATAAAAAGCATGTCAAGTATTTCATTTTAATAACAAAACTAACAAATGACACTTGTTTGTAATTTTCTATGTAGGGAAAAAGGATGAGCTATTTACTAATTGAGAGGGATGGCTTGTAGTAGCTCCAAGACCACTGTGAACATGCCCCTGAGATGGTGGGATAGGATGGGATCAAGAGGCACAAATATCAGGTAGAAAATCACTTCTGCACTTGGAACCATAAAACAAGTATTCTGCCAAAAGTCTGAGGCCAACCTTAGCCAAACAATGAGACACTGTCTCAAACAAAAACAAAAACTATTTAAAAATCTTTGCAAACAAAATTAAGATGCTCCAAGTTTCATTAAATTCAATACTGCAGAAACACACTGGGCAGTGGTTGGTGCATGCCTTTAATCCCAGCACTTGAGAGACAGAGACAGGAAGATCACTGAGTCTGAGGTCAGTCTGGTTTAGAGAGTGAGTTCTAGGATTGTCAGAGCTACACAAGGAAATCCGGACTCAAAAACTAAACAAAACAAAATGCTGAAATGCAAGCTGAACATCTAGAAGTGACAGTAAGAGACTAAATGTATAATAGAGTATGATAGGGACCCCAACTCTTCAGCCTCCCTTGTAATCTCACACTTCCTATGTGACTGCATGGCTTCATCCTGTGGGTTAGGTGATCAACTCCTATCACACTCTGAGCTCAACAATGTAGCTTGTTTGGGCCAATTACGATGTCAGCCAACATAGTATAATCAGAAAGCTGAAATGGGCTGTACACAAGACTCCTTCTCTTGAGACTCTGCCAAATTCATGTAATCATACCCAGGCTAGCCTGTCAGAGGATGAGACATGGAGAAAGGAGGTTAGCATTTGATGACCCATTACTCCCGAGTTTGTAGATGAACCCAGGTGATAGATCAGGAGAGCCCCAATTCTCAGCTTATCTCCACACACATGCAATAAATATATATCATGGTAGGATGTGTGTGGTGAAGTCCTATAACAACGAAAAACTGATTTAGGACAAGATGAGAGAAGCAGAAGAGAACATCAGACCATAGAGAACTCTTTAAATTGGGATTTATTAATGTATTTCTTAAGAATGAATGTGTATCTACCTGCATGCATGTATGTGATGCCTGAGTATGTGGTGCCTGGAGTCAGAAAAGGGTGTCAGATTGCCTGAAACTGAACTATATAGACGGTTATGAACCACCAGGTAAGTTCTGCTAGAGCAGCCAGTGCTCTTAATCACTGAGCCATCTCTCCAGCTTCTCAAGGAAGGATTTTAAAGAAGGGAACAACAACACAAACACTTCAAATTTTGGTCTCAAACTACGTACGTAGCCCAGGATGACCCTGAACTGACACCCCCCTACCCCCCCACCCCCGTCTCCTCCTCTCAAGTGCCAAATGGCCAGAATCAAGACATGATGAAGATCCACAGTTGTCAAATTTGGACTAACTTACTAAGAATACACTGAAAACTGAAGGCAAGAAATGAAAGTGGATTTAAAAAAAGAAAAGAAAAAAAGAAACATGAATAAATGGAAAAGATGTGGTCATTCCCGTACTCAATATTCTAAGTTCTCATCTTTTTAATTGATGCTTATATAAAAGGTAGATTATAAAAGTTTTAAAATATAAAAAGGTAAATATATTTAAACCTATGATTTGTTTAAAGTACATGTTTATTACTATTGTGTAGGATATGGAGAATAAATAAACTTGGGGGGCGTGAATGAAATAATGTTTCATCATGTAGCCCTGGCTAGTCTTGAACTCAAAGAGATTCACAGGCCTTTGCCTTCCAAGTACTAAGATTAAAGCCATAAGCTTCTCTATATATTTATATGAAAAATTTGCTAGCCATGTTGATGATCGAATTCCTCCTAAATTAGAAACCTTTACTAGGCAAACAGCACTAACTAAAATAGTCTCCACTGGGAGGAGAGCCACGTGTCTGGTTTACCCCAGAATGCTCTTGGTTTATACCTGCTTCCCCAACTACCCTTGTTTAGAAAACAAACTGTATAGTGAGCCTATCTACTAGCTTTCTAATTTTCTAAATCCTTTCTTTATAGATGAAGAAATCTCATTTTCCCCTCCATTAAACATTTGCATAACTGATAACTTCTAAAAGATTTGCTAATAAAATGTGAAACTAAAATACTCACGGATAGCCAAGGAAGAGGAGGTTGAGGACTGAGTGGCTTCGGAAGAGATTAACCAGGGTCCAACAAAGCACCCATCCACACAGAGTAAGCAGCACCAAGCGAGCCAGTATCAGAGCGGTGTAGTGAATCATAGACGCTGCACCTGCCTTAGTGGCCTGCAAGTGTGGGAACACCAAAAGAAGCATTTTATACATTTACACACGGTCTACTCAACAGTATTGTGCCTCAGAGTAAGAGCTTGGATTTAATGAAAACTAAACTGCCTCAAAAAAAAGTAAAAACTTTGCCCCATCCACACCTACCTTCCTAACAGTTGAAAATTGACTTCTCTAGGCACTGTTATTTCCTTCTTTTCCTGTATAGCCCTCATGCAGACCGCCTGTGAATTGGTACAAGTATCACTCGTTTACACCTGGCCCAGACCCATTCATCAGAATGTACCAGACTGCTTACTAAACGCATCAATACCTAATAACTTTATTGTCCAGAAATATGCAACAAGATTCTGAACCAGTGGATCAGTGTTTCAACAACCTAAGTGATTTTTATGTACAAACAAGCTGGAAAGGTGCTGGGCCTGGTGACAGGGCCTGGAGTTCCAGCCATGTAGGAGGTGGAGGCAGAAAGGCCACAAATTTAAAACCTGCCTAGCTTCAGAACAAGCTAAGGCCAGGCAGACCAGCTCAGGTGGGGATTTAGGTTCAACACCAGCACTGTAAGAAGAAAGGATGGAGAGGCACTGACTGTTCTCTCCTAATTTCCTACCAGAAAACAAGGGCCTCGATATTTACCTTTTAAAGCTTTACTTCTGCATTTTTTTCAGATGAGTATTTAATAAACTACTAAAGCTTCACAAAGTGATCACATCTTCTTTGATAGATTACTGTGAATTTCCTTTTAAACTTCTGCACACATGGAAACAATGAATTATCACATTCAATTCTTTTTATCGAAGTCACTCAAATATGCCTCTTTAATTCCAAATATTAAAAACTATCTACATACAGTAAGCTTTAGGGCTGGAGACATGGCTCAGTGGTTAAGAACACTAGCTAATCTTCCAGAGGACCTGACTTCAATCCCAGCAACCACTTGGTGGCTCACAACCATCTGTAATGAAATCTGGTGTTCTCGTCTGGTCTGCAGAGACACATGAAGGCAGAACCTTGCATACATAATAAGTAAGTAAATCTTAAAAAGAGTTTTATTGGTTTTTATTTGTTTGCTTTCTAAAATGATGTAGCAAAGACACAATAAACTGCAGGGAAATCAGCAGGCCCCCATTCACCTCTAAATACAAATCCTTTTGTTTGTTCTGTTTCATTTCTTCTTTTGGAGATAGGGACTCTTACTTTGTAGCCCAGGCTGATTTCAAACCCATTACCCTTCTGTCTCAGCCTCCTTTGGGATTAAAGGAATGTACCAGCTCAAAACAATAGTCTTGGGACCCAGAAAGGTTTAAAAAATGATCTGCAGTCACCAATACCCACTGACAGGATAGCACTTTGAGTCTCTCCTTTACATCCATGCATTAGTTTACAGATCCTAGTACTTAACATATACTTAACATACTAGTGAGTATATGTTAACTTAATAGTGTGTATGTACTACATACTACACTAATACTCAGGAAAACATTTCCATTGATTGAATACATAGTAGTGGTTGAATAAAATTAAGGGAGAGTAGTATGCTACATATCGCATATCTTCATCTCAGCTACTTGGGAAGTGGAAGCAGATTTGAGCCCTGGAGACTGAGATCAGTCTGAGCAACATAGTAAGACCTCATCTCTAAAGAAGAAAGCACTAAATGGATTTTAAAACTCCTCTTGTCTAGTGACAGAGCAGTGAGAATGTCACAGTTCCGTGTGTGTGTGTGTGTGTGTCTGTGTGTCTGTGTGTGTGTGTGTGTCTGTGTGTTGATGTTGATTCAAACATACCTACTATACTTTCAGTTGTATAAAAGTATAACATAGTTACATATAATAATGTTTGATAAAAACTATTGGAGCTAGATTTTATATCATACTTTATCATTATCTTAATGTTACTCCTTAAAAGCTTATTGTAGAACAGTACACAGTACAACTCTGGCAGCACCAACTCTTAACTACATCAAGAACCACATGGGATGACTGACAGCCACCATCCAAGTTTGTGTAAGTATATTATGCAATGTTCATACAATGAGAAACTCCAGCAATGCATTTCTCAGATCTTTTTTTGTCATTGTAATACATGACAGCATTTGTACATAAGCTTAGACATACACACACACTGTAGATACACACAGTATATGCAATTAAAAATGTGAAATAGCAATAAATGAATACCATACCTCTGTTAAGCCTCAAACTGTGGTAAAGGCTCAAGATATTTTCAGTATAGCAGAAAAAATGGTTCCCTTTCACACCTGAGTCCACACCCCACACTGATGGACCTCCTGTGTCAAATCCTGGGAAGTGATTTAAGCCACTGGAGCTACTCCACCGCCTCCGTTCTCAATTTAAAGATAAAATTTAAGAGAAGGCAAGCTGGTAGTGTGGCACATACTAATGTTCCCAACACTGAGGAGCTGAGACAGGAAGATCATGAGTTTAAGGCCAGGCTGGGCTACATAGCAAGACTGTCTCAAAAACTACATCAAATAAAAGACTGCTTCAGTATAGTAAAACTAAAATGGATTTGTATACCTTAGTAATTTTGCCTTATTCCAGAACCCAAACTCTTAACCACTGTAATGTAAGTTACAAAGCCTATTATCTGGTCCAGTACCAAGGCAGTCAAAACAAAACAGCTCTAGGAACCTACCCAGTCAAGAAATGCAAGTATTAAACTTCAACAATGGAAGTATGATGGTTATGATGAGTGCTACAGGAAAGACCTGAGCTACCAGGAGAGCACATGGCAAGATGCTCAACAGAAATACTGAGGGCCTGGTAGAGCAGACCTGTGATCCCACATACTGAAGCAGGAAGACTGCAAGGTGAGGGCTTGCTTGGGCTCAGAGTGAGTTCAAAGCCAGCCTGAGCAATTTAGTGTGACCCTGTCTCCAAACAGAAAGTAAACATAGGCTATGGCTATAGTGTAGTGGGAGCCCTCTAGGTCTCTTAGCTAGTGTGTGCAGAAGTCCAGTATTCAGCTCCATGTCATTGTAAAGTGATATTTATATCTAAGCTGAGATCTGAAAAGGAAGCTCTGGCCAAGAAAAGGGTAGAAAATTATTCATAACACTTAAGTGACAAATATATAGATAATGCTCTCAAAACACATGAAAAATACATAAACACAAACACATACATGCGCGCGCGCGCACACACACAGACAGACAGACACACACACACACACACACACACACACACCAAACTTTTATGTACATACAATGACTAGAAGGAATTTGGTTCTTTATAATGGGAATATAATTTTTAATTTTCTGCTTTGTTTTTAGATCTCCCCAATGAAATACCCTATTTTCCTGCTTAGAGAAATAATGTTTAAAGAGAGTTGGTTCCAAATGGTGAAAATTGAATTTCTGTTTACTCTGGTGGAGCAAGTAAAGAAGCAGTTTTGGTCTGGAGGTGAATAAACAGAGTCTACCTAGGGAGAGAGGTAATCCCTTCTGACAGTATTCAGCTTTCTGAATTAATTACCTCCAGCCTGTCCTTAAAAATGACTGGTCTTTCTCAGGTAGGGATCCTTTCTGTGGCATAAGAAAACAAAAGAAGGCAAACATATTTTAATGGAAGGCAGAAAAGATGTTTTATGATGAGCTCTATCCATCTAATTTAGTTATTTTAGGAGAGAACTATGATACAGCTAATTTTTGAATAGGTAGTAGCCACAGCACTCAGATACAAAAGATAAACACCACAGTGTTTGTGGTGAAGTGCTGGTATTGTCCCCAGCCACCAACAGATGCCTGGCATCATCAGTCTACATATCCTCCCAGAGACAATTTTTTTTCACATCAGCAAACAGACTTTGTTCCTTCTACTCATCTTGTTTTAAACACTGTCTTAAAGCCAGGGATGATGGTACAAGCTTCTAAACTCAGCACTCAGGAGAATGAGACAGGCAGACAGCCATATGTCCAAAGCAGGGTCACATATTAAGAACTTTGTCAAACAAACCAAACAACAACAAACCCACTGTGTTTAAAAGCCCAGTGCTTCTGCACTTACTTAACATCAACACATAAACACTGTCACCTTCCAATAGCCACACACTGCCCCATTATATGAACATACTGTAATTACTCCTTCATGTACAGTAAAGATCTCAGTTTTGGATTAAAAATCTGTTTCAATTCAGCATCCTGTTTCCAGTAAGAATAGCAGGCAGCTTTGGAAACAGCGCATACTCCTAACAAGGGGCAGAAGCTGCTTGATTATTATTACCTCATCAATAAAAGCAGTAAGTGCTCCAGGTTTAAGTCTCTGAAGCAACAAGGGGAAATCCCAGTTACTAAGGCTTCACATAAAGACAAGACATAACCAGTTGACATGCGTAGAAATTCATGCAGCCTAGACTGACCTCAAGCTCACTATGTACCCAAGGATAGCCTTCTTCCTCACCTTCCTTGCCAATGCCTCCTAAATACTGGCATCACAGGCATGCACTACCACACCTACCTAACAACTACAATTTCTAAGTAACCGAAGGAATAAAACAAAATAAAACAAAAACCTGTTTAGTTAAAAACAAAAGAACAAAGGAACTGCTCTAAATAAACTTGTTTCTGGGAATATCCAAACTAAGCATTTAGTAAGAAAAAAATAAAATAAAGGCGGGGTTGGGGGAGGAGTGGGAGAGTGGAAGATGCAGATGGCATCTAGGCCAGGCCTGTAATCTTAGCTACTTGGGAGACTGAAGCAGAATAGAAAGTTCAAGGTTTGCCTGGTCAACAGTGTGAGTTCAAGGCCAGTGTAGGTAACTCTATCCCAAAATAACAAGTAAAAATAGTGCTTAGGAATACAGCTCAGTGTACTGCACAGCACCTGCCTGCTATGCATGAAGCCATGGTTCCATACCCAGCACTCAAATAAATAAATCGAAGAGCATCTATTTTTACTCTGTTTCTTTTCTGAGTGTGTTACCAAGGCTGGTCCTGAACTCACTACATAAGAAGAATAGTCTTAAACTGCTGATCACACGGCCTTCTCCTCCAAGTGCTGATACTTCAGGCATGTGCCAGCACATCAAGCTCAGTATCTACTTTGATCACCTGAAACAAACTTGGTGAAAGGCTTCCCACTGCGGAAAAAAAAAATGCAATCTTACTACCACAGCTTTGCAGTTAAGTTCAACTACCGTGTTCACAAAACTATAGTTCTCCAGTTAGAACCCACACATACAGACTTTTAAGTCTGCTTTAGAGGAAAATGCTAGGGCTAGAGAGATGACTTGCTGCTCTTCCAAAAGACCAGAGTTTGGTCCCCAGCACCCTCATCACGTGGCTCACAAACACTTGCAACTCCAGCTCCCAGAGATCTGACCCCTCCTCTGGCCTGCATAGGCACCAGTATGTGGGCATGTGGCATGCACTCACACAAACACATACATATACACATTAAAAGAAAAAAAAAAACTTAGAGAGAAAGTTGAGTTTCAGTTACCTGTGACTATAGCAAATATCCATTTAAAATTTCACACTGAAATATAATTGTCCAAGATTAAAAATCACTAACCACTTTGGCTAAGTAACCATTTTTGTCTGGGCCATCATTTTCATGCTAAATATAGTAGAACTTATGAAAGTACATTTTCCTCCATTACCAAATTCACACATATATGACAAATGAAACCAGCTGCTGACTGTACCAATAACATTAAGCTTTGAAAGGATCATTATGTGGCAGTTCTTACCCCCTCTGTCCACTAAAGCTTAGGTTCTAATTTTCAGATTAATCATACCCAAAATTTAACACTGTCTTTTCAAAACACTCAAATTGTTTCTTGTTAGGAAATTTCACAAGTGGTACACAAACCATATGTGCAAGTAATTCATTATCTGTTTTAAACTAGAACTTTAAAATTAAAGATTGTGGGGCTGGAGATGGCTCAGCAGTTAAAAGCACTTGGCTGCTCTTCCAGAAGACAGGGGTTCAATTCCCAGCACCCACATGGTGGTTCACAACTGCATTTTTAAAAATCTATAAGCTAGAATAAATTCAGATCCTACAATTCTACAAATTAAGATTTCAAATAATACTCTTGAAATACCTCACATTTGAATTTTAAACACTGTAGGAAAACTTCTTAAGAACTGGAACAACTCACACAGAAACAATTTATAACTATATTAAAATTATACTTGGTCATTTCACATTTAGAGTCTGATCCCATTCTAGTAGCTATGCCCACAAGACCGTGAATGAGCCAATGTACCTCTGAAATGAGGGCCCATACCAGCCTCCTCGCAAGCATCACTGTGATGAACCCTGCCAGGTGATAATCAATGAGATGAAAATTCTATAAGAGAAACAAAGAAGTATGTCAGAAGAGGCACCGTGTGTCCCCAGCTCATCGCTGCACAGCGACATCAGAACCCACCCCTCTAAAGGTCTTCTGAGACCACTGCAGAACACAGGGATCCAAGACTGCCGACCTGCCACTTGTCTTTTCATGACAAATGGCCACATCTTTCCAAACATTAAGTAACTATCTGAAATGCATTCCCCTCTGGTTTTGAAACTGCTTTATTGAAAAGAAAGGGGCTGGGCATGGTGATGACAGATGTCTGGTCCAGCAAGACATTATCTCAATAAAAGAAAGAAAAAAAGACAACGTGAAGTTAACTAGCAATAACCTGCAGAATTATGAGAACAACAAATCTAAATGCCACATCTATAGTTTGTCCAATTACACAGCTCAGCTGGGACTTTCAGGAGTTATTACTGTTCATCCCTTTACCACAAGTATGTGCTGCTTAGCCCTCTACTATTTGTTATAGCTGCTCTGCTCACTTAGTGTGTCTAACTTGATTTAGAAATGTGCCTTGCCGCTCATCTCTTCTATAAAACACTTCTCACCCAGTTTCTTCTAAGCCTGTACAAATTACCGTGACAAAGAGAATGAAAGCTTTGGGAACAATATGCTAGGAACCAAAATGGGATATATTTTAATTCCAATGGTCAAAAGATCAACATTTGCTTAAATATGTATCTAACACTCAAAGTAGAGCAGGGACCCTTCCTGACACCAAATACACCGTGCTAAGGAAGTCAAATATTTCGTAGTCCTCAATACATACAAATTAACACAACAGTGGCTTTTTGTTTACATAATGTATATGTCAAGTTCTCGGACTAAAATTACACTCATTTTATATATAACCTTTATGGAAAACTATGTTCATGATTATCATTGCCCTTCTAAAGTATAACAACAGAAGAGACCAAAAAAAAAAAGGCTACAATTAGCCTCTTAAAATTTTTTTTTATAATTTTTACTTATGTGTATGTGTATCTATGTCTGTGATGGTAGGTGCCCATGGAGGACAGACCAGGGCACCCTCTGTATCTGAAGTTACAGGTTGTGAGTCAAAGAAAAGAGGTCAGGTGTGGGAAGATAACATAACTTGGGTCCTCTGGAAGAGGTGGAAACATTCTTAAATGCTAAGCCATCTCTCTAATCCATAATATGCTTTTATGTACTCAGCACACACAGCTAGTTTTTGTGACAGAATACAATTTTATTCAGAATAACAACATATGCACTTAACAGACATTCTAGCCTCCCTTAGTTAGGAACACACATGAAAATGATGGAAGCATGGCCCCTAAGACATGCTTCTTTAAGAACTAGGCTGTAGCTCAGTTGATAAGACTGCATGCCTGGCAAGCATGAAACACTGGGTTCCAGTTCCAGCTCCAGCCCCTTGGAACCTAGGCACCTATAATCCCAGCTTTCAGGATATAGAAGGAGGATTGGCAATGTAATCCTTAATATACAGTGAGTTGAGTCCCGCCTGGAATATATGAGGCCCTGCCTCAAAAACAGTGTTTTATATTTTCCTATGTACACCTCCATATCTGGACCACAAAGTTGAATTACGTCTACCTTGAAGGTCACACATTAAAAGATGGCAGTTTTATGGGCTGGAGAGATGGCTCAGCCATAAAAGGCTAGGCTCACAACCAAATAAAAAGATGGTAGTTTCCATCAAGAAGATCCCTTGATTAATAGTCCAAGGAAGAACTGCTTTCTGACTGTCATGTGTTAAAAATATTACATAATTATGAATTCAGCTTTTAAAAAGGTAACATTGATCCTGGAGATATAGCTTAGTGATCAAGTATATGTCTAGTATGCATAAGACCTGGGTTTAGGGCTGGAGAGATGGCTCAGGGTTAAGAGTACTGACTGTTCTTCCAGAGGTCCTAAGTTCAATTCCCAGCAACCACATGGTGGCTCACAACCATCTGAAATGCGATCTGGTGCCCTCTTCTGGCATGTAGGGTTTCATGCTCTCCAGATCTCTGTATACATAATAAAAACAAATCTTTAATTAAAAAAAAAAAAAAGCAAAAACAAAAAAAAAAAAAAAAACCCTGGGTTTGGGTTTGATTTCCATCACTACCAGAAAGACAAAGTTGCTGGAATATAATCATAGTAATCATGGTAACATATGGTAGTGCATTTAACATGATGTAGAGAAAGCCAAATATCAAATAACTTTCTGATATGTTATTAAACACTTGCATTTACTTTATTTCATTTCCTCTGGCAGTATTTGCATTTTAACAATTTGAGGAAGTTTTATTTCTGAAAAAAATCTGAAGCTTGATAGCAAGATACTTTATTAGAGGATTTATTTCTAGATAGGTAGTAGCATTCTGGAGGCAGAACGAGAAGAATTAACAGTCCAAGGTCATCCTTGGCCACACACTCAGTTCAAGCCCAGCCTGGGCTATGTGAACCACTGTCTCCAGCTGCATTCTTGCCTGCTGACAAGGAACTTCAAGGCTTCTGAAGACTTACCAATGAAGTACAAGACGCAGGATGATTGTATGGATACCACCACACGGTCTTATAGATGTTGATGTACTGAATAAACAGAACAATCAGCAGGTAGATGAAGAACAGAAATTCAAAGAACAGGCTCCCATCTACTGGTAAGTCAGGAATTTGGCAATGACGAACAGGACCTGGGGTGATTAAGGCTGTGATAGGTGGGACTGGAAGGCCAATAGCACTACCATTCCTGAAAAAGAAATTATAGTTAACTCAAATGGTGACAGAGACAGCCTTCAGTGTCACACTGCCTAAAAAGCCCTACTGCCTCCTCCACCTGACTCTAACTGCTGGTTCCCCGCATCCCTTGTCTCTCCCACCCATTATGTGTGTGATCTAAAAGGTGGCTATGCTTTCCATTATCTCCTGGATATGGAAGACTAAGATTTATCCACAGAACTCACCTTGACTTTAGTCTCATTACCAGTTACCTAGTGAACACCTGTGCCACCCATCCCATAGTCCTGACACTAGTCCATGGCCTATTCTGCTAGCCACCCAAATAAAAAAAATCTAAGTGAGACTTCCTATGTGCCTCTTCATATCCAATCACTCCCTAAAGGACAGGGTTCCACTGTATAAAATTTCCCTTAGTTTTACTTCCCCTCTCGATGCACTATCTTGGTTCAACCATTTACTAACTTTCACCTAAATTATCCCTAACCAGCCTTCAAGGACCTTTCTAAGTGAAATTCTGAAATCACTCTCTTACCTGAACCTTTAAAATAGTTCTCCATGACCAATGAAATAACAGCCAAACTTTTTTGGTAAGTCATGTGTGGCCCTGTCCTTAACAAAGCAACCTTACCACAAGTCCCTTCTCTACCTGTGCCACATATGATGTCCATGCTATGTGCAATCTGGAATACATGCATTATTCCTTTTGTGTACTTGATTCCCTTTAAATGTACTTTAAATGTACTACCCCTCCCCCATAAAAAAATTTCCTTAAAAACGTTGTAGATATTTCTTATTCATTCTTCAAGATTATTAAGGGATTTGGGTGCGAGGGGGGCTACCTCAGTGGTAGAGTATTAGCTTAGCACATATAATTATCTGGGTTAGATCTGTAGAATCACAGGAAGAAAGAAAGGAAAGAAAGAAGGAAGAAAAAGCTAGCTAGCTGGGAAGATGGCTCAGTGAGTAGAGGAGCAGCCACTGGTACAGACAACCTAACTGTGAACATTGGGACCCACACAGTAAGAAAAAACAAACTCCTGCAAGTTGTCCTCTGACCTCCACACTCCCCCTCCATACACTGCGGCACATGTGTGCTCTCCCCACGCACACACAAGAAGAAAGTGTGTAGGTTGCTCGTGGGATGTTTTGTGGGATGTTTCAAACATATCCTCTGTGAAGTTTACTCTAACTCAAAACTGATACATCTCTTTTCCTCAAATTTAAATTATGCCTTTATTCTTGTATTTTTTAATTCCATCACATAACCTGTGTGTATAGATTCATGTTTTAGCTACTAAATTATAATCCTGGTGACCAAATACTTTCTTTAATTCACTGTTGGTATATACATTTAAGAAGACAGCAGGCCAATGCAGTCATGAAAGAGAAGGATCTCTTCAAATGCAAAAGTTAGGACTCTTACTCCCTATCTCCTTCTTCTCCCACCTATGCCTGCTTACAGGTCAGGAAGAGCTCAGCTATCCCAAGTGAGAAAATGGAAGAAAATGAAGTTTCCTAGGAATAGTTACAGAGATCTAAGGGTTGACTCTTATTTATACAACAAGCAAAAACAGGCTTGGTTTTAATACCAAGAGAAGGAACAATATAGAATTTACAGTATTTTAAGGGGTCCCGGGAACATGAACTTTGCTAATTCTAAATAATGAAAAACAATATGACTTGAATGCAAAGGATTAGAACCACAGCTACTACCTCACATCAGTTAGCCATGTTGAAATTAAAAATGCTGATGAAATGTTACAAAGCTAGGAGCCTCTAATATAAGCAAATAAAATTCTGGTTCTCCTTGAGTCAAAATAGAGGGCAAAAGCACATGCTATTCAAGATTTTAAATATCATAAACATTTCTCCAAGGAAAATGCATTGAGATACTTGTTCCACTAAATAAGCAGTGAATGCTTGTTTCAAAAGAATCTTTTAAAAACATTTACAAAGTACTGACAAAGACGGTCCTCACTTGTGATACTCTCTGCAGCTTTACCTTTTAAACTTCAAGCCAAAGACAAGAGATAAGGTCAGACAGGGCATGAGAAGGAAATAGTAAAGCAGTCCGATAGACTCTGTCAGATTAAGTCACCTTCTAATCTATAAAGTTGAAAGCTTCAGCAGAGATCTATCAAAAGTTCTTAGAAACCAAAATCATTTAAATAATTATACAATGCACAGATACATCAAAATACTACATTATACTCCAATATATATGATTACACACTAATCAAAAGTAAAAATTCTAAGAAGTTTAAAAAGAAATACTTGGTCAATACACAGCAGAAAATTAATTACAGAAGTAATATTGAGGAAAAATAAAAATACTATCCCTGGTCTGAGGGTATAGCTCAGTGCCTAAAATGTGGAAGGCCCTGTTTTGGTTGCTGCTTTTTTAGCTCCTGATTTTCCTGTTTCCACTTCTGGAATACTAGAAATTACAAGCCTGTCTGCTACCACTCAGGTTCAACAGTTTGCTGGGGATCAAACCCAAGGCTCTAGCATGCTAGGCCTGTACTCTACCTACTGCGCTGTATTCCCTAGCCAGATTTAAGACTTCTATTGAGGATGCACTTAATTACAGTAACAGCAATTTGTTACAACATATGCAAGGTGTTGTACTTTTAAAAAGTGCCTGGAAAGAGAAAGATGCTATGTGACAGAGCTTGGGTGGAGGGCTTTTTATTGGGGGAAAGTGAATGGAAAAGGGGGAAAAGGATAGGGAAGACTGGCACCTGGGGACAGGAGCAGCAGAAAATCAAGAGTGACAGAGAGAGAGGTAGGGAGGAAAGAGACAGAGACAGGAAGAGAAGCAAAGAGAGAGAAAAAGGTTGGAGGTGGGCAAGGCCCACCTTTTCAAAGAGAATGTAGTGAATATACACAGGTGGTACTTAGTGGCTGAAGCTGAAGGTGTATCCTGTCAGAACCCCAAGGACAGAGCAGCACAGATGCCTGAATACTAACACAAGGTACTGTCTACCAAAAGAGCTCTTTAGAAATTCAAAACCCTAAGTTTTTCTTCCTCTTCCTCCTCTTTCTTTCTTTCTTTCTTTTTTTTTTTTTTTTTTTTTTTTTTTTCTTTTTTCTTTTTAATGGGTCTCACTATGTGGTCCCGGGCTGGCCTAGAAATCCCTGTGTAGACTATGTTAGCTTTGAACTCACAGAGTTCTACTTGACTCTGCCTCCTAAGTGCCAGGATTTCAGGCATTCACTACGGCACTGGGCAATGTCCAAGGTTTTCTTTGGAGACTAGCCACAAGAGCTCTCTCCCCTAACTAACAAGGGAAAACTGGAGTTCAGGTAACTTGACTGGATTTAGAATCACTGGGGAGACACACCTATGGAAGGGCTTTCCAGGTTTATTATGGGAAAGCTCACCGTCAATGTGGGTGCCACCATCCCATAGCCTGAGATGAAATGGAGAAGAGGAAGCATAGCTCTCATGTCTCCCCAGAAGTGGAGTTCCAGCTGCAAGCCCCACCCCTTAATCTGTCACACCTCCCCACACTGAGGGAACCACACCCTCTTAAACCATGGACCACAAGAAACCCTTCCTTCCATAAACTGCCTTTGTCAGACTTTGACACTACAGTAAGAAAAGTTGTAACATATACAGTTGTCTTCAAAGACCTGCTTAAGAGGACTACATCTAGTGATGTGTTTGGCAAACCTCTCTCTAGTGATTAAAAATAAAACAACTTCCCCTAGATAGTAAGAATAGTTCACTGTGCCTAAAGTGAATGTTTACTGTATTTTTGCATATAGTTATGTCTAAGAAAGATATAGCAGGCAAGAGATTGGTCTTTATGGGGCCAGCAGCAGCAGAATTTAGGTAAACAAATGGAGAAATGTGGCACACACTTATAACTCTGGAACTTGGGAGGCATGGGCGGGAGAATCTCTACATGGGTTAATTTCTTTTTCCAAACCAATGTCTTGAGGTAAATGTATCACAAAATATTAATCATAGTCACAACTATTTTAAAATAAACTAAATATCTTTCATTTTAATCTATTGAAAAACACATTCTTCCATCCCCTCATCTAAAATTGCAAAAATTACATATATTAAAAGAGAAAGAAAGATGGAGAATGGTAGATCAAAGCAAACATGCCTAAAACCTTGAAAGCCAATAAGAGCTACAAAAAAGAATAGGAAAATACATAAAAACTCTCTCCTCAAAATAAATAAATAATTTAGAGGTGCTATATGAGCATTGCTATACTCAAGTTAAAACTATCACACTGTCAGGCTTGGTGGCACTTAAGAGGCAGAAGCAGGCAGACTTCTGTAAGTTTAAGGCCAACAAGGTTTACAGTTTTTTCCAAGCCAGCCAAGGCTTCATAGCCAAGACTCTGTCACAATAAATAAATAAAGAAATAAAGAAAGGAATAAAGAAAGAAAAAAGGAAATACCAGCAATTTTTTTTCCCCTGGAGAAAGAGTTTCTCTGTATCTTTGGTTGTCTTGAAACTCACTCTGTAGACCAGGCTGGTCTCCAACTCAGAGATCTGCCTCTGCCTCCCTAGTGCTGGGATTAAAAGTGTAAACCACTACTACCTACCCAGCAATTATCAACAGTTTCAAATGTTCCTCTTTCCTCCCACTACATTGTTTACATAAGCAAAACTACCTAGGAATGAAGCTTCAGCTCCAGGCACTTGTTTGTTAGAGATAAGGTCTGAATATGTAGCCAAGGCTGGCCTTGTACTCTAGATCCCCCCCCCCCACCTTCAAGCCTCCCAAGTATCAGGAACACAAGTGTACACCACCAAGCTGGGCTTCTTTTTAAACGCCAGACTGGGGGTAGAAAGCGCACAGGCTGCTCTTCCAAAGCACGGGATTCGATCCCCAGCACCCACCTGGCAGCTCACAACTGTCTCTAACTCCAGCTCCAGGTAATCTGACATCCTCACACAAACAGATAGACATGCAAAACACATCAATGCGCATAAAATAAAAATAAACTAATTTTTTAAAAAGTTAAGTCTAGCTGAGAAGGCTGGTAAATCTGGCCCAACTTTCAGGATTTCCTGATCACCTTTTCCTTCTACGCCACCTAAAGCAGATCATAAAGAAGGAGGGGGCAGCTCTGAGAACAAACTATGCTAGAGGAGTCCACAACGCCAAGTAGGAAGAATAAACAGCTAACTCTGCTGACCTGAGCAGCTGGCTAGATAGGTATCCCATCCACCCTCACAGCTCCAAGCTGTACTCTCGGTCAAAGAGAATGGCCTTTCATGAATGGATGAGGACCAGTGGTAGGTCAGGAGTAAAGGAGTAGCTAGGTCCTCTGCTAGGACCTCCAAACAAACTCTTGAACATATCAGGAGTCCCTGAAGGACAGGAGAGGCACTGACTAGTAATTCTAGAAACCAAAAGCAAGGCAAGGAAAAACTCTTTTGATGGAGGAAACAAAAATATTGAGGAAAAAATTATCTTGACCAAATACACGACTAGAAAGTATCTCTGCACTACTGACTCTGGTTAAGATTAGCAAAAATAATTCTTCCTGGGCTGGGTATGTAATGAGTAGTAATGCACATGCTTAGCAAGCTTTTATTTATATATATATTTGTGTGTGTGTGTGTGTGTGTGTGTATTTTAATAATGGGGTTACTCCACACAGGGTGATGATGCTCCCACTAAGAGCCATTCATTATCTAACAAAACCCCAGTGCCAAGCATGGGAAACTTCCCTTGGAGTTATTGGTCAGAGGACTATAAGAGTCTCCCCAAACAAAATGAACTATTGCTGCTGCCCTCCAGAACTTGAAGGTAAGACTTTCTTGTTGATGACACCACATACTTCAGACACAGAACTTAGAGAAATCAAGCTTAAACAGACCTAGAAACCTCCTTCCTGAGAACTAGTTCTCTAAGTAAGACAAGGTGCTATGCAAGCAAGCTGCCAATGGAGAGAAGCAACCTTACCCAGCTGTAAAAAGTATATGAACCACAATGACGACCGGACCAGTAAGATACCTGCAATGGTACAATAATGCCTCTTTTATGTTGGGGGTAGCTAGTGACTGTCTAACTGAACTTAAAGCCTACTCAGTAAGAGGGAATTCATCCCTGGTACTATAAACAGAGTCAACTATCCATGGCCAAAGAGGTCACAGACATGAGAAGAGAACCAATTAATTAATGTCATGTTCCTAAATCAGTATTTTCTAGCCATATTCTAAACACTATCTTTGCACCCACAGTTAAATGTGGCTCTCACCCCTAACAGATGAAGACTAGCACAGAGATCCACAATTGGTCAAATGCATTTAGACAGGGAGGTGTCCCACTTCAACTGTGCCATCTGCAACACAACCCCTACACCTAGGGCTCTGGGTAAAATGTCAGAAGAGCAGGCACAAAGAGTCTACAGAATACCTGTTGGTAGCAAGTGTCCCCTAGACATGATGGGAAAAATACACCTAGACAGTTCCAACATGAACAGAAGAAATGCCACATAGCCCCAACCATATAGATAAAGAGCTACAGGTGATCAATGACTCTAAGAAAGGGAGACTTAGTTGCCTCCAGGGATGAACTCTTGTCTAGGATAAGAGGTCAGCTCTGGACACATGTATACATAAACAACACTAAATGGACTCTGTAGGTTGTATACATACACATATGTATATACACACAACAATAATAACTAAAGAGACCATGAACTGGGGAAGACACAGGAATCAGGAGTGGGAGTGATATAGATACAGTGGTCAGGCACAAAGTTCTTTAAAAAACAAAATAACTGGGCAAATGGTATACACCCTTGTAATCCCAGCATTGAGAAGAAAAGTAGACCCCTGGAGCTCAACAGCAAGCCAAAGTAGCCTACCTGGTGACTTTAGCCACTAAGAGGCCCTGTCTCAAAAACAAAGATGATGAGTGCCTAAGGAATAACACCTGAGCTCACACACACACACACACACACACACACACACACACCAAACTCAAATTCTAGAATCCTGTATAACATGGCCCAATTCTTAACATTTAATTCTTAACATTTATATGGTACAGTTGACAGTTACTATTAATATCAAACAACTTTTTGCCTGGATAACTTTTAATAATAAAATGTGGGGTGGGCCAAAGTAAGGGGAAAGAGCTTATGAGTGCCCCACCCCCAACTAAGGAGCTATTAACAATTGATGGCTTCTTTCTTTAAGGGTGTGGCTCCTGGTAGATAACCACACTTCAGCACAAAGTGGACTCAACGGTTTATTTTTTAAAGGGGGTTGGGGACTTAAGAGCTGGCTCCAGAAGACTCAGATTTGATCCCCCGAATACATATGGTGGCTCAGAACCATCTGAATTGCATCCAGTTCTGGAGGATGCAACAAGGCACCAGGCATGCAAGTGGTGCACAGACATACATCCAGGCAAAACGCTCATACACATAAAAAATTCCACTTTGTGGTCCCGTGTAATATCATTCTACCTACAAAGCACTCGGAAATACTAAGTTTTCAGTCTTCAAAGGCAGAATTTCCACCTCAGTGACAAGAGCAGTTTGATAAGCAGTTATTTGACTAGAATTACTTTTATACTAGTCTTACTGAAAATAGATCACACGTTATGCAAATTATTATGAGGACTTATTTTTTTCTTTACCTGTTTCTCAAGCCTGTTCCATTGCCACAGCCGCCACCAACCAAAGTCTGTATAGAAGGTAAAGCTGACCGGCTTAGCTGCTGCCGACTAGGACCCCTCCTTCTACTGGGCATGTCCAGGGACCAGTCAGTTTCCAGTGCTACCTGCAGTTGCAACCCAGGCTAATGGTTGTAAACTTATTTCAACTCTGAATAACAAAAGAGGAAAAAAATTAAATGCCAGCTAACTTGTTTAAAGAAGCCCGTGTAACTACATAAGCAGATCTTGTTAAAACACACACAGACTGACTTTTCAAACAAATGCTCCCATTTGTGTATACGGCTTGGACCTTGAGGTAAGGTCAGAGGCTTAAAATCTGATCTACACTTTGTTCAGTGTTAGGCAATTCACAATTTGTGTCTTTTGTTGCTGACTTATTATTATATAAAACAAACTACAGTCAGGTGGAAGCTTACATGAAACACCACAACTTATTTCCAATTTGATATTTCACATTTAAGTCACTTGAAATACAGGAAGCTTCATCACTGTCCAAAATAACAGGTTGTTATCCAGGGATCTGGCTGAGATAAGATATGTCACATATTATCTGACATTGACCACGTCATTTAACCCTCTTGTTTCTTTCTTCAGTTCATTCCAATGGTTGCCTGTTTCAGAAAAGCTACTGTAAAACCACTTTTAAAAATAAATGAAATTGCAAGATTAAAAGGCGACAACGATCTTCAGTAGGAGAAAAAGAAAGATTGTTTTCCTCAATTTAGGCAAATGTGGTTCTGCCGATATATACCATATTTTCCCTAAAAAAACAACTAAAAATACTCCCAAAACTACACGTTGGAGGTGGAGGGGGCGTTTTCGAAAGGTTACTACTGTAGAGGGATCCGATGTTCCCTATTCCAGATCCTCTGGCTGCAGACTAACAACAAACGCCAGGTGGGACAAAGAATCCAAACTGTTAGAAGCAAGGAGAAACTGATCCTTGCTCAATTAAAGAGAAAGTAAGGTGAGGGGCAAAAGGCTGAGACACAAGAGCGTGGGGTGGGTTAAGAGGATGGCGAGAAACCACACACTTGAATAGACTAGCCCCCCAGAAGGAATCACCAAGTGGCCGCAGCCCGGCGACCGAAAGGGCCGAAGCACGCCGGGGATAACAGGACGACAAAGCAGGCAAGTGAAACTCACGCATGGAAGAGGCCGGCCACGGAGCGGGATCCCTGGGAGGAGGCGGTGGCTTCACAGACCCGACCCCACGCACTCGAACTCCCTCCCTTCTTTGAAGCGCTCCAAAACAGCTGCCGGGACGCAGGCAGGGTCCCTCTGGAGAGTCGAAAAATTGTGTCGGGTCTCTAGGTTACCAGACCCAGACCGGGAGTCCGTGCCAGAGCCAGAGCTAAAGCCAGAGGCAGAGCCCGACCCCATCACCACTCATCCTCAGCCTCCATCGCCCAGGAGCTGAGGAGACGTGGCAGCGCACAGCGATGACGTCAGCTCCGCGTCGAGCTGGCCCCCGGAAACAGACTTGCAGCCAGCCGAGCCGGCTTGCCATTCTCTGATGCACCTGCGCAGTGGGACTCTCCCGCCGGCCCGGGGCGGGTGGCTGGGCTTTCCCGCCCACGCGTGGCTTGCGGTTTTGGTTTTCTAAAAACCTCCCAGGCTTCAATCCGCTAGTATCTAGAGGAGTACCCTCACATCAGGAGGGAGATTCGGAGACGGCACCTAAGGTCACGTCACTCAACTGTTGAGGTCTCTCCAGTGGTCCCCTTGCACGGACTGATAGTAAATCATGAACTAGATTGATTCTAGAAACAAAAACCGAGTCCTAGAAAAGTTCAGTCTAGTAAAAAAAAAAAAGGGGGGGGGGAGGGAATGCGCAACGAGGCGCAGTAATACTGTTAATAACAATAAAAGCAAAATTTAAAAGTGTATCCGACGTCCAATTATGGCATACAAGATATGGTAGGTAATGAACGCTATAATGTTGCTAGTGTCGATATTGAAAAAGGGTTTTGGAAACTTGGCATTTTAGCTGGTGCTCCAAAGATGACTAAGCTGTTTTCCTGCGGATAGAAAGTGATAGATAAAAAGATAGGGGAACTAATGGTAGAGTTTACCAGGCTGATTTCAAGCCCCAACTTTCACCCCACCATAAAAAGATGGGCAGCCCAATGATGAATTCCAGAACTGTCAGTAGTTTGGAATTAAAATAGTATCAAAATGTAAGTAGTTTGGAATTAAAATAGTATCAAAATGAAGCCTGATGTGTTGGTGGAGGCCAGAGGATCATGAGTTGAAAGTTATCTTCAACTACATTGCAAGCCGGTGCTAAGACCTTATTTAAAAAAAAAAAAAAAAAAAAAGAGTTGCTAATTTTAAAAGTTAAAGCAGCCCACAAAACTGCCAGTCAGTAATTCAGCCAATGAACTAAGCAGATAATTCTCATAAGAAAAAAGTACAAGGGCTTTATTTAATCCCAGCACTCAGGCAAATCACTCAGTTTAAGGCCACACTGGTCAATGTAATGAATTCCAAGCCAGCTGAGACTACATGGTGGGGTGTCCACCAGAGAAGACTGCTTGAACATGGATTTAAGCCAATAGAAAGTCTTTGTTAGCAGGTCAGTGACTACATTGGGTGTTCCAAAACCCCGTGTAGCATTGAGCCTTCTCAGGACAAGATTTAACACACTTCAGTTAACAAGAACAGTTAGCCAGTAGCAGAACTACAGAAACCAAAAAAGCAAGGTTAGTACCTTTAGAGATTTACCCAGAACTATGGGTTTTGCTGGATTAAATCTTTGTTTTAGTTTTGGCAGGTGGTGTTGTTTATATGTTGAGTTTTACAGCCTGAATGGCATTTCCATCATGAAGTCAATTGTACTAAAGTCTCAGGGCTTAAGGTCTGGACCCCTGTTATATGTAGCCAGACCCTGCCCCAAAGAAAAGTGGTCGATAAATGTTCTTAAAATGTTACATATCTTTACCTTTTAGGGAAATGCAAATTAAAACTACTTAGTGATTCCACTTCACCTCAGTCAGAATCACTATCAAGAAAAGAAAAATGCTAGCTAGTATAGAGAGATGGGGAGAGATCCCTATTCACTGTCGGTACAAGCACTGTAGAAATCATTATGGAGGATCATGAAACAAACAAAAATGCTGATCTATGATCTAGCTGTATCAGTCCTAGGCATATACCCAAAGATATTTTCACATCCATGTTTGTCACTGTTCCATTCACAGCAGCAAGGAAATTGAGTCAGCCTTCTGCAGATGACTAGATCATAAAAATGTAGTTCATATACAATGGAAGTTTATTAAGCTATAAAGAAAAACAATATTTGCCAGAAAATGGAGGTAGTAGGTTTGAAAAAAGAAATGCCACATGCACATTAATGTTTATATATGTGTATGAGATGTATGTATATGGGGTGGGGTTAGTATGAGCATATGAATGCCAGGGCAGAAGTGTGGAGGTCATAGGACAACCTTGGTAATTGGTATTGTTTTCTACCTTGTCTGAGACAGGGTCTCTATTGTTGACTGCTTCTTATGCCAGGCTATGAGCTCCCATAATAATCTTCTGGGGAGTCCCCTGTCTCTGCCCAGCATCTTATCAGAGGCTTGTTGGGATTACGATGCATACTACCACATCTAGCTCTACATAGGTTCTGGGGAACTTTAACTCTTGGCTTCACACTTGCACAGCAAGAACTTTATCCATTGATCCTCTCCCCAAAGGGGTATCTTAATTTGTATATTTGTGGACTTGTGTAGGAATGAGTATGGGTAGAGATCAGGGAACTAGAAAGGGTTTCAGGGAATGGGGAAGGAAGCTTTAAGGAATCAGAGGGTGAGGAGGATAATAAAATATGTGATAGGAAAGTAAAAAGGGGAAACCTGATAGAGGAAAGGAACTGGGAGGAAAGTAGGGCAGGACCATGAGGTGACTACTAAAAGTAAGTATGTACGAAAAATGTCACAAGGAAATTTGTTACTTTGTATGTTGATTAAGTAAAATTTTAGGAACTCAAATGTAAAAATGAAAGTTTACATGAGCTGTTCCCCAGACTTCTTTGTATCAACTGTAGGATTAGTTAAACTTTATTAGAAATTGTGCCAGACACTGGACTACATATTTCATTGACACGTCACCACCAGGCTGGAGATGGAGCTTGGAGACACAGCACTTCCTTAGCATAAGTGAGAACCAGAATTAAGATCCCCAGCACTGAAAAAGAAACAAAAACTGCAAGGAGTGGCAGCACAGGCCTGTAATCTCAACCCTTGAGAAGTGAGGCAGGAAGCTCAAAAATTCAAGGTTATCCTCAGCTTTGTAATGAGTTGTAAGACAAACTGGGTTACAGAAGGCCCAGTGTTCCGGCAAACCCTTTGTTAGATAGCACCATGATTCCCATTTTACACTGGAAACATATGAGTTGACACTAAATAACTTGTTGAGAAAACCCTACCTATGCCAAGCCACAACTGAAACAGGTTTGTCTGAAAGTGTCCTAGCCAAAAAAGAAAAGAAGCTGTCCTTTGATCCTCATTTCCTTTTTTCTTTTTACTTTATGTCCCTCCCCCATCCTTTTTGTGTAAGAGAAGCCCTCTCTTGGGCTTCATTGATTAGCTGTAAGAGGTCAGGGACTATTGTGATGTTCCTGCTTGTACATATCATGTCAAGACCTTCCATACACACACACCACAATCCCCACTCAACACAAAGCAGTCGCAACAGAAACATCATCACTTTTTTATCCCCTGCAAGAATTGACAGTGGGGAACGCAACAGCACAATTGGAAATAGGAAGGGATGGAATAATGCCTTGAAAAATAATTAAGTTGGTTACCTTGGAGGAAGGGGGTTGGGATATAAGGTGACTAGGAAATTTTAGTTTCGGGCTTTCTTCCAAACTTTTCCCTATGCCCCGTCCTTTTCATGTGATAGTCTCTGCAAATGACCCTCTGTTTTCTTCATGAACTGTTTTAATCTGAAAAGCAAATGCACATGCAAGGCATGGTGGCACAGCCAGTAATCTCAAAAATATGCTAAGGTTGGAGGACTGTTGTGAGACCGCACCCCCAATCTCAAAAATACATATGTAGATAGCAGATGCTGGCCATGGGAGGCTGAGTTTTACATCCACTTTCAAGAAGAAAAGCAGATGGTGACCTAAAGAAAAAGCCCCTGTCCATCTTGGGAACTCCCTGTAATCCAGTGTCTCTTAAAAACCCCTTTACTCTCTGAGCCTTAGAAAATGGAGGCTTGAGACTGAGACGTCTCTCCATTTTTCTCAAGTTTGGCCTTGAATAAATCTGCTACCTTCCACCCACTCCTCTATCTTTGGTTTCTGATGATAGAGTAGCAAGCAATATGAACTTTGCCTTGCTTTAAAGAATGGCTAATATCAAAACTACTAAGGTGACCAGCCATGGTGGTGCATGTCAGTGAGCCCAGCTGGGAGGCTGGGGAGGCAGGATCCTTTCAAGTTTGAAGCCAACCTGCAATACACAGTGATAGACTGTACAGTTACACACAGTTTTCACTTTTAAAATAATGCATATGTTAAAGATTCTACTAAGCTGATTGGCTGATTAGAAGTTTGGATTGTAGAGAGTTAGAATTTTGTGAATCCAGAGCCAACTTGCCTGGAGCTATTGTGGTGCTTTAAATGAAGAATATCTTCCATAATCTCTGGTAAATCTCTGGTATTTCAATGCTTGGTCCCCAGTTGGAGGCACTGTTTGGGGAGGCTTAGGAGGTGTGGCCATGTTGGAGGAAGTGTATCACTGAAGGTGGGAGTTCACAATTTAAAGACATTGACCACTTCTTGTTTATTTTCTTAGCTTCATGTTTGCAGTTCAAGACCAGAGTCAAAAACCCACATTTGCAACAAATTTAAAGAACTAATTGTTTTTCATTTGTGATTCATGGGTCTCATAGTATCTTACCTATGAAACAAGGTGTTCTTGGGCTGGTGATATGGCTCAGCAGGTTTAAAAAAAAAAAAAAAAAAAGGGTACTTCCCAAACAACCTGAGTTTGATCCCTGGTACCCAAATGTGGAAGGAGAAAACCAACTCTTGACCTCCACACATCCACCACGGTGTGCACACACAAGCCTCCACACATCCACCATGGTGTGTACACACAAACAAACTGGTAATTTTTAAGTGGTGAGGAGGTTATGGTGATTTGAATGAGAGTGGTTCCCCAGAGGCTCATCTGTTTAAATACTTGGTCCTCTGTTGGTGGAACTGTTTGGAAAGAATTAGGAAATGTGGCCTTGTAGGAGGTGTGTTCCCTAGGGATGGACTTTGAGGTTTCAAAAGTCCATGCTGATTCCCAGTTAGTGCTCTCTCTCTCTCTCTCTCTCTCTCTCTCTCTCTCTCTCTCTCTCTCTCTTTCTCTCTCTCTCTCTGCCCTGTGGTTTCCATTAAGATGTGATCTATGAGTTATTGCTAGTGCCATAACTGCCTGCTTGGTGCCATGCTCCCTGCCATGACAGTCATAGACTCACCCTCTGAAACTGTAAGCCTCAATAAACTGTTCCTTCTATAAGTTACATTGGGCATGGTATTTTAGCACAGCAATAGAAAATTAACTAAGACCGGCAAGGACAATTACCCTCCCCCCCCCCCCAATTCAAATATCTTGGGAGAATTCAGGTACATTAGAGAGCTGAGACAGGGTTTCTCTATGTAGCCCCAGCTGTCCTAGAACTCACTACATAGACCAGGCTGGCCTTGAACCCACAGATCTGCCTGTCTCTGCCTCCTGAGTTCTGGGATTAAAGGTAGGTGTGTGTGTGTGTGTGTGTGTGTGTGTGTGTGTGTGTGAGACCACTTTATTCAAGGATACCTTTTTGCTACATGGCCAAGAGGAGGTTATACTACATGCAGGCTCAAACAAAAATAACCAAAAATAAACTTACTTTCCTTAGGAAGTTAAAACAGGGAACTTTTTTTCCCCCCTAATCATACTTGCCCAGGTTGCATTGGCCTTTTCTTTTTTGTCTTTTGTTTTTATTTTTTGAGACAGGGTTTCTCTGTGTACCAGTCCTGACTGGAGCTCACTTTGTAGACCAGGCTGGCCTTGAAGTCACTGAGAACCTCCTGCCTTGGCCTTTTATTTTTAAAAGAGATTTATTTTCATTAGCTTTAAACATATATGTCTGAGTGTGGGTATGTACACTTAAGTTCAGGTGTCCTCTGTGGCCAAAGGCCAGCGGCTAGATCCCCTTGAAACTGGGGAATTACACACAGTTGTGAATCATAGGACATTGGTATTGAAAATTCAACTCAGGTCCTCTGTAAAATGCAGTGTGTTCTTTGTTACTGGGCCATGTATTCCATATGTTCCTCTTATGATTGGTTGTTGTGAGTCTCCTGGTTTGTTATTTGTTTATAAAAGCACTAACCGGCCAGGAGTTGGTGGCATAGCCTTTAATCCCAGCACTCAGGAGGCAGATCTCTGAAAGTTCAAGGCCAGCCTGGTCTACAAAGCTATTTCCAGGACAGGCTGCAAAGCTATACAGAGAAATTCTGTCTTGAACCCCACCCCCACCCCCACCCGCAAAAAAAAAAAAAAAAAAAAAAAAAAAAAAAAGCAATAACCCATTTGACATTCAGTTTTGCATTTGACAAGTTCTGGTGGCATGTACCTTCAAACTTTGGAAGCTGACACAAGATCATGAGTTAGAGATCAGCTTTAGCTATATAGTAACACTCTATCAAGGGAAAAAAAGTTAATGATAATGATAAAATATATCTTAAAAAATGTTCAACTTGTTTATTGATATTCTGGATTGGTATGGTCTTTTGGAGCCTACTACAGGCCTCAGTACAAAATGAGGGCTTACTATAAATCTTGTTTACCACCGCTGAGATTTGTGTTATAATTGCTATAAATTCCTATTACAAAGTGACCTGTGCTAACCTATTTGCAACCCAGGTAGCCTAAAGGTACGCATCCATTTATATGTTAAATAAATAAATAAGTAGTTTGGTGTTCTGGGATGACCTAGCCTAGACTCTGTGTGTAACTGTAGCATGAAGCATACCACCTCCGACTTTCAGTTTGTCACAGAACGTTAGGAATGATCATTATTAGAGGTGCCATCCTGACTAGCTTCCAGGTACGTCATTTTGCAAGCCTGGCTCCCCCAGGGCGGGGGCGGGGGTTGGGGTGGCGGTGCAGGCGCTGAGCAGCCATCTTTGTGCCGGGCAGCTCCCACGTGCCGTGGCGTCCGCGGCCATCCTTGTACGGGGCGGCGCTTCCGCCAGCGTGCGGGTTGGAATCCGCAGTGGTCTGCGGGTGATGGAGCGGCGGGCGGGCTGTCGGCTTGGGCTGTGGATGCTGTTACTGCTCCTGATCCCGGTGCAGGGCCGCCAGAAGGAGTCAGGTGGGCTCCGGGCAGGGCCGAGCCTGCCGCTGCGGCTCGGGGTGCGCTCGGGTCTGGAGGCGCTCGCTCGGGCTCCCAGGCGCGCGGAGGATGCTGTGTGGCTGCAGCGGGAGCTGGGCGGCCGGCAGTGGGAGGGGGCGAGCAGAGGTGCCTGGGCCTCTGCTTCTAGCTCTGGACCCCCATCTGGACTGGTAGGGAGAGAGGGACATCCTGTTTTTCGCAGACGACTGTTCTATGCCTCCTTATGAGAGGGAGACTCCAAGCTGTTATGACAGAACTGATGAGGGAGGGTTATGCCCAAGACTCAGCATTGGTTTTCTCGATGGGGCTGTTTGATTAGGTGAGAACCCCTGTCGAAGTCCACTGTATTCACAGCCATTTAAGGCCGAACATTAAGCTTGTGACTTTTCCAATTTCTTAGATACCTGATGGCCCAGGTAGAGGAGCAGACTTGACTCAAGCCCCAACAAGTTACACAAAGAACCCTTCTTGACATTTCGTTTCCACTACTGGGAAAGGAAGGGAATTTCTGCAAGTGTTGGTCTTCTGTTGCTTCTGCCTGCTGTTTACAAATACCAATGCCAAGGGTATTTTGTTAATTCTCATTTCCTTCACTTTTTGAAGGCTCAAAATGGAAAGTATTTATTGACCAAATTAACAGGGCTTTGGAGAATTATGAACCATGTTCAAGTCGAAACTGCAGCTGCTATCGCGGGTGAGTTCCTTGATGTGTTTCACTGAGAGCTGGATTCTTGTCCTAGGGACCTGCCCAAACTCCCTTGAGAGATCTTGATGGCAGTTAGTTACCAGTGATCTAAGCATGCCTTGAGAGCAGCAGTATCTTAGGTGGCTCATCTACAGTATGAAAATGTCCTGGGAAGGGAGAGGACAATTCTCCACATGGTCTCTACACCTTATGGTATTTAGCAGATGTGCTTTTCTGTTTCGCATGGACAGATTATCAGGGCCCAGAGCCTACGTCTTCTTGTTGTCTGTGGTGCTGGCCGTCTGCAGGTGCACGTCTGTAAGTGCATGTTGAAGGCATGAGCATCTAATCAGTATTTCCTCTTGGCTTTTAATCTTTAAGGTATGCGCAGTTGGGTTTGGGTCTAGTATGGTAGAAAGATAAGTACATTAAAAGCAAGCTGGAGGAGTTCTAACCTACATCTCCCATTGACTGCCCCACATGGCCAGCCATGAAACTCCTCTGAAAGTTCATCAGATAAACAGGAGTCATAGTTCTTCATCTTCTTATCTGATTCCTCAAAAATTCCATGCTAATGATACTTACTGAAACTTATTTTGTGCTGAACTTGAAAAGAGATGTAAAGAGATGTAAAGTAATGCATTCATTTCCTGGTTGCTGCAGCTTATGCTGGGGAGCATGAACCTCACCTTTAAAATGTAGAAAAATAGGACTGTCTGTGAGATGGCAGGGGCTAAGGACATGGCTTTGGCATGAATAGTAAGGAAGAATACAGGTCATCTAAGGAAGGGGCAAGTCTGATGGAGGGAGGAAGAAGAAACATTTGCTTGTTCTTCTGTGACTTTGTTGTGTTTGACATTTTACTTTTGTGGTGCTGGAGGTCAAACCCAGGATCTTGCCCATGCTAAGCAATCACTCTTTAACTGAACTACATCCACAGCATGTTTGATTGTGTGTGTAACTGTGTGTGTGTGTGTGTGTGTGTGTGTGTGTGTATGCTTGGGTACATTTCTTTCAGGTGTCTCTGTGCCTTAGTCTGTTAAGACTGGGTCTCTTACTAAACTTGGCAGCCAGCAAGCTTCCAGTGATTGTCCTTTCTACCCTCCACAGGGCTGGGGTTATAGCTATGTACTCTGGCGCTGGGGATGTGAATTTAGGTCCTTGTGCAAGCACTCTTACCCACTAACCATCTTCCCCAGGTTCTGAGTTTGAGATATGTATGTATGTATGTATTTTTTTTTTTTTTTAACCCATGGTGCTTTTGTAGAAGAGTCGCTCATTCCTATCCACTACCTTTCCCCTGCTTAGTGGATTCTCTCAACACGCTTAGTATATTCTCTGAAGAAAATGCACTTGGGAATAGATGGAATGGCACCAGTCTCTTAGCCTGCTTTCCTCGATGACTTCCATTCTTTCACAGTGTCATAGAAGAGGACCTCACTCCTTTCCGAGGTGGTATTTCCAGGAAGATGATGGCAGAGGTGGTCAGACGGAAGCTAGGAACCCACTACCAGATCATTAAGAGGAGATTATTCCGGGAAGATGACTGCATGTTTCCCTCCAGGTAAGATGAAGACATATGGTCTAACGATACATATATAGGCTGACTTGATAGTACTCTTAGATGCCAATCTACCAAGTGAATCTTTCCTTATATTTCAGGAAGTATACATAACTCATAACTCACCTTGCCTGAGATTTTTTTTTTTTTTAATTACCAGCTATTTTGTGCTTTGGTTCTGTCTTTTTTTTTTTTTTTTTTTTTTTTTTTGGCCTGGTTCCACAAGCTATGAGGAACAGACTAATGAAACCTTGTAGGGTAATGTGGGCTACAAGAGGAAGTGAAGCAGAGGGATTTAATGAATGTATGTTGTGAGCCAGGTATTACTATGCAGGTGTGTGGCTGCATAGTAACAACTCATTGTATTGTTTGCTTCATTTAGTTTTCTATCAGTGAATATTTAAATTACTCCTTACAACACCCCTACAAAATTTGACTAACGTGAGCATTGCTATAATGAGCATTCTTAGGCATATACCTTTGAGCACACTGGCCATGGACATGTACATGTGTAGGCTAAATTCTTAGACTAGCTAGGCTAAATAATGTATTTTGTTTTTGTGTCCCATGATTTTAAAAGATATTTTAATTAGTTGATTTACTAATTCATTTGAGACAATGTTTCATTATGTAGCTCTGGTTGGCCTAGAATTTGCTACATATATCAGGCTGGCCTTGAACTCAGACTTCCACCTGTTTCTATCTCCATATTGTTAGGATTAAAGATGTGTGCCACCATGTCTGGCTCACACACTCTTAAGTAAAACTCTGTGATCAGACTTTTAGAATCTTTGTTGATCAAATTGTTAAATGTTGGTTTCATTGACGCTTCCTTATTACTAATACAGTTGACCACTGATTTTATTTATATTTATATTTATAAATGATATTTAATTGTTGTAATAACAAAGAAATACTATTTCTAAAAATAACAAGTAAGTAATATTTATTTGGTAGTTATCTCCTTGTATGTAAAACTGTTTTAGCCTGGCATGGTGGCTGAAATCTTGGGTCTTGGGAGGCAGAGGAAGGAAGATTGCCAAAAGTTTGAGGCCAGATGGTCTACATGGTAAGTTCCAGGCCAGCTATGTTACCAGAAAATTCTGATCATTCTGTCAGCTGCTAGCTAGATCTGTCAGATCCTAGAGTGGTGCAGGTTAGGACCTCAAAGGATAGGGCAAAAACAGGCCAATCATTTTCCCTTTCAGAAAAATAAAGAAATTCTCTGAGATGTCTCGAGTCTAGTCAGAAAGTCTTGTAGTCTTCATCATTGTGTCAATGCCATTCCTGTCTTGCAAAATTAATTTTGATAGTGGTCTGTATTTAGGTTGAAGGTATGGAAGGTTTTCCTTCATCAAGACCTATAATCATGGTAGAAAAATTATATCTGTGGTAGTTTGAATGTAATTGGCTCCCATAATCTCATAGGGAGTGGCACTATTAGGAGGTATGGCTTTGATGGAGGAAATGTGTCACTGTGGAGGTGAGCTTTGAGGTTTCCTATGCTTAGGAGACCACCTAGTGAGTCAGTCAACTTCCTGTTGCCTTCTGGTCAAGATGTAGCCAGCACCACATCTGCCTACCCACTGCCATGCTCCCTGTCATGATGATAAAGGACTGAACCTCTGAAAGTGTAAGCGAGTCACCCCACATAAATGTTTTCTTTATAAGAGTTGCCTTGGTCATGGTGTCTTCATAGCAATAGAAACTAAGACAGTATCTTAGTTAACTTTCTGCTGCTGTAACAAAACCTCTGAGACCTAAGTATAGAGGAAAGTTTTACCTTGGTGCGTGGTTTGAGAACTTTCAGTCTGTGGTTGGTTGACCCTCTTGCTTTTGGGTTTGTGGTTATATAGTGCAGTATGGAGGGTAGTACAAGGTAGAGGAATCTGCTTACCCTCTGTCAGTTGGGACTATGAGGAGACGGGATGGGGAGAGAGAATACAACAGCTCACAACCTCCTTGGAAGGCATGCCTTCTGTGATCCAAAACCATCTAACTGTTTACCATCACCTCCCAGTTAGTCACAGCTGAGGCCCAGACTGTCCAGATCCAGACTATAGAGGTGTCTTTGGGTGGAAAGGAAGGCCAAGGAACACAACTAGAAAAATAAGGTCTTCCAGTGTCTGTATTAAAATTTACATTCTTTTCTCTAATTAAACTATTCTTTGTCTTGGGAAGGAAGACCCAGTAATGATTAGAGAAGTGATATGAGTAGAAATGGTATTCTTTTCAAAGGTAGGATTATGAGAGCAACTTAGCTAAGAATGGAAACTGCCCCTTGTAAAAAGTGGCATAGTCCCTGTAGAAGCATCACTTCCAGGGGACTGTGCAGGGGACTGACAGCCAGGCACTGACTTGTTTCACTTTAATGTTAGGGTCCTTCCTTAGCTTATAGCCTGTAGGTACTGCTCTGATGACTTTGTGTTTTTGTCTGGTTGACAGGTGTAGTGGTGTGGAACACTTTATTTTGGAAGTGATTCGGCGCCTCCCGGACATGGAAATGGTAATCAATGTACGAGATTATCCTCAGGTTCCTAAGTGGATGGAGCCTACCATCCCTGTCTTCTCCTTCAGTAAGGTGAGCACAGGAACAGCCATATGGGGGTTGAGGGTGATCCTCTTATATGAGCAAAAGATCTCCTTTGGCAGTCTGATGGCTTTACGTGAGGATGAGGCTGGAGGTTCAGGAATGAACTTGTTCTGTCTTAATTCACAATCACTGAGCCATAAGATTGATGACATAGAATTGAAGATGCATATGTAGTGAAAGACTACCTAAGTCTAATGTCTAGGGCTAGGGAGAAGGGTGCCTTAGGAGCCTACAGTATTCAGAGGGCAGTCTAGGAAACTCATAGGCTCAGTTAGGGAGTACTTTCATTTGAGAAATATTTCTTGTATTCCTAAAATATATACACAGTAGCCATAGTGCTGAGTGCCATCTGCCCTATCTGTGCCTGTATCACATGTACCCATCGTAGCTGAAATCAAACACTGAGGGTGCTGGGTAACTCCACATGGTTTATGCCTAACAGTGCATTGTACAGATAGGCCTAGGGTAACCAAGAAGGTAAATGAGAGGGAGATTGGGTCCTATTAGGGAGGATAGAAGTAATTGGGTAACAGCTATGGACTTGGACAGTTTGGGACAGAAGAAGCTTGTCTGTACTCAGGCTCATGCAAATGGTGTTTTGGCACCCATACCTTCTAGAGAAGCCAGGTATGAAGCCATCTGAGTTAGGGTGGGGAGGCTAAAAGACAATGGACTAAAAGACAATGGATTAAGGATGGCCTGTAATCTTTGTGGAAAGGAACAGGTGCTCTGGTTTGTTTTCTTCAAAGCAGTGTTCTTTTTTTTTTGGTTTTTCCAGACAGGGTTTATAAGAGCTCTAGCTATCCTGGAACTAGCTCTGTAGACCAGGTGGTCTTGAACTCACAGAGATCCACTTGCCTCTGCCTCCCAAGTGCTGGGATGAAAGGTGTGCACCACCACTGCCCAGCCAAAGCAGTATTCTTAACTTTTTTCTTTCTTTTTCCCCTCCTTTCTTGTTTTTGTGTGGGGATAGTTGCACATGGATGTATGTGTGTGCACTCTGAGGCCAGAGGTCAACCATGGGTATCATTCCTCAGGAACCATCTACCTTGTTTTTGAGTCAGGATCTCACATTGGCCTGGAGCTTACTGGTTAGGCTACCTGGCAGGGAGTAAGCCCCAGAGGTCTACTGTGTGCCATTGTGCCCAGCTTTTTGTGATTCAAGACAAACACTTTACCTCTAAGCCATCTCTCAGCTGCCCCCGTTTTTTCTTTATCACAGAGTATTTACTCTAGTATTTACTCTCTAGACCTATTTCCTGTGCTGTAAGTAGTTTATGCTGATTTCTCAAAAATGTGTGGTCCCAATGTGACTGTTATTTACTGCCTTTGTTTTCATCATTACCTCCAATTTTTCGCAGTCACTGACTGCAATGTCCAGAGGGGAAATTGTAGTCAGTCAGCTTTGGTTATCTGTGAAGTTCGTATTGAATAGCTGCTTTGTTGACAACGCTTGATGAGTCACGTGGCATTTTCTAAGCGTGTGAGAGGAGTCAGCACCTCACTCATGTAGTTGCAATGAAGAAACTTGGATTGGAGGCTGTGTAAGTGGCCACATAATAGAGATATTATGAGGAGGGAGCAGATGGTTTCATACTTTTTAATTGTGAGCCAGACTCAGCTTTAAGGAGGTGGGAATGGAAGGAACACTGCATTTGAGGCCAGCCTGGTCTATGGAGCAAGTTCCAGGCCAACCAGAGTTGTACATCAAGGTCCTATCTCAAAACAGTAGCAGCAGCAGCAGCAGACAACCCTTCCCACCAAGATGTGTGTGATTAGACTGCTTGCATTCTCCTGTTCTGTCCTGGTCCTTCTGATCATTGAACAGCCAGGGATTTATGGAACAGCCACCATGAGTTCAACAGGGACACCCACAGTGCACTGTCCTTTTAAACTGTTGTGAGTGATTTTGTGTTGAAAATAAACCCGCAGGTAGAGTTAGGGATCTGATTTCCCCCATTACCAGGGGATTGAGGCGTACATTGGAACACTCACTTATGGTGGCAAAGAGGAAGAGTCAGAATTCAGACTACTGTGATCCGGGCTATTTCCTGATTCTTACTCACAAAACACCCCCTGGGAAATAACTCAGAACTGGAAAAGCTGGGAAACACCAGGATGTAACAGCAGTTGAGTTTTGACAGAACTGATTATTCATAAATAGTAGTATTATCCCTCCTCCCTCAAAAAAAAAAAAAAAACCCTCCAGAATTTTGAGGAACTGAAAAACTTGACCTTTGTGGGATTCAGAGGGTCTACTTTTTTTGAGACAGGGTTTAAAAAAAAAAAAAAAAATTGTGTAACCCTGGCTGTCTTAGAACTCACTCTAGACCAGCCTGTGCTTAAACCCACAGAGATCTGCCTCCCAAGTGCTCTGATTAAAGGTATGCACCACCCCAACACTATTACTTTTTTGTTGTTTCCAGACAGGGTTTCTCTGTGTAGCTTTGGAGCCTGTCCTGGAACTCGTTTTGTAGACCAGGCTGGCCTTGAACTCACAGAGATCTGCTTGCCTTTCTTCGCCTCCCAAGTGCTGGTGGTGTGCACCACCCCAATCCAGCAGATGTGTTGCTTTTACCACTGGTAATTCTTGCCTTTTAGTGTCTGCAGTCTAGGCATAAGGTAATTTGTGTGTGTGTGTGTTGCTTGGTATTGTACTCAGAGCCTCATTTGTGCTAGGTAAGTGCTCTTCATGGAGCTGTATTCCCAAACAATATCTAGGACCTAGACCTTGCAAACAAATACAGTATTTCTCTGGCACCAAGAAGGCCTTTGTCTCAACTCTATATAATGAATGCAGCCGGCTGCTTCTCATTCTCTTTCAAAACTTATTCAGATTGCTTTTCTGTTTCTGTTAAAGACATCGGAGTACCATGATATCATGTATCCTGCATGGACATTTTGGGAAGGGGGCCCTGCTGTGTGGCCACTTTATCCTACAGGTCTCGGACGGTGGGACCTATTCAGAGAAGATCTGCTAAGGTAGGCCCTTTGGAAAGGTTTCACTTTTCCCTCTCTGTGAGTTTTTTTAAAGTAAGCCGCAGAATATAGTCAAGAATTTAAGATTACCGCCTGAGCTGGGCAGATGGCTCAGTGGGTAAGAGTGCTAGCTGTGCAATGAGGATATGAGCCTGGATATAGAGTAGCCACATAAAATTCAGGCACGGTTGTATGTACCTGTAACCCCCTGTGTTCTTGGGGGAAGAGGCAGGTGCATCCTGGGAGCTCACTGGCCAGCTAGCCTAGCAAAAATGGTGAGAGACCTGTCAGTGAATGACCTGTCTTAAGGGAATAAAGACCGACTTCTGATGTCTTCTTCCAGCCCCAATATACACTCACTCTGGTGACTGCGCACGTGCACATACACACGCAACATAAAAGTCAGGAGACTGTTACATACTGTTACATAGCATAAGCAGTTTTGTGTGTGTATAATATTTGTGTCGGGTCTAAGGACAGAGCTCAGTTGGTAGAGCAGTTGCCTAGCAGGAGTGAAGCCCAGTGTTTGATCCCCAGCACTGCATAAACTAGTTATGGTGGCTCATGCCTGTAATCCCAGCACTGGGGAGGTGGAGATGGGAAGATCACAAGCTCTGGGCTAACTTCAACTATGTGGTGAGTTTGAGGACAGCCTGAAGATCATAAGACCCAGTCCTAAAATTTAAAAGTTACTGACAGAAAGGGCAGAAGACTCCATCCTAAATTGTCAGCACTGCCTCCAAGGGAAGGGCTCTAAGAGTCTTTAAGATTTTTTAAGATCATTTTTAATTTTATTCATTTGTTTCCCTACATGCTTGCATAGTACCACATGCACGCCTAGAGTCCCCTAGTGAGAAGAGGGCATCAGAGCTCTGGAAATAGAGTTAGAGACAGTGAGCTGCCTGTGCACTGGGAACTAACCCAGATCCTCTACAAAAACACCAAGTGCTCTTGACCACTGAGCCATCTCTCCATCACTGTTTTCTTTAAAATGTTCATATTTTAAATATTTCTTAAGAGAGATTTTTTTTTTTTTTTTGGACACCGAAGCTCCCTCAGTACACCATCCTAGCCTGGAACTTATTATGTAGTACCTAGGCCAGCCTCAAACCCAAGTAATCCTCCTGGATGTGTCTCTCAAGTGCTGGGATTACAGGCTTGAACCACCACACTCCACCATGCATCATTATCATAATAAGAAAGTAAATTAAGTAACTTTATTGTAAGGAAGGGTGATAATTTGTTGAAAATCTCACTTTGTATCCCAGGCTGTCCTTGAACATGTAGCCTAGGCTGGGTTTAAAACCCTGATCACCCTGATTATTGGGGTTTGCTGTTTCAAATACCAGCATTATAGGTAGATGCTGCTCTGCCTGGCTTTTAAAATTTCCTTGGAATGTCCTTGATAATTGGTGCTAATGGTGGGTTGTAGTGGCTGCTTAGGAATTTCAAGGACAAGTATATTCCAGATCCTTCCTGAGACATGCCTTGGCCTGCTGATTCCATTCTCCATACTTCCCAGGGTCTGGTCATCTGTACTCTCTAAACCAGCTGTGTTTTACATTCCTGACTTATACAGTATTGGTGTTACTGGGATGATTCCCTGCACATACAGTCTTGCTATGTAGCCCAGACTCATCTTTAATTTGCCATTTTCCTCCTGAGTGCTGGGATTACAGGCCTGTGCCACCATCCCTGGCTTATTGGTGCTTGCTGAAGGATCTTCTGGAAACAGTCTTTAGAGGTCTTCTCTAGGATGGAAGAGAAGCAGTAATCTAATTCATCTTTGCCCCCAGAATCTGTTACCTCTACAAGTGTGGCTGGAGATTCAAAAAAACAGAAGTTCTTTTTTTTTTTTTAATTTTATTTATTATGTATACAGTTATCTGCATTTTTTTGCTTGCACATCAGAAGAGGGCATCAGGTCTCATTATAGGTGGTTGTGAGCCACCATGTGAGTGCTGGGATTTGAACTCAGGTCCTCTGGAAGAACAGCCACTGCTCTTAACTTCTGAGCCATCTCTCTAGCCCCTAAAACAGAAGTTCTATGTAGATGTGGTCTGCCTAATGTTACATCAAGCAAGCTTGCCCAGGCTTTGTAATACTGATATTTGGGTTGGGTAATTTTTTGTGGTAAGATGTCCTGTTCCTTCTAGGATACTTAACATCTCTTGCCTCTGCCCACTAAATGCCAGTAGCAGTTCCTCAGAAATATTTCCAGATATTTCCCATGGATAGGTAAGGGAACAGAATCAGTGCCAGTAAGGGCTACAGATGTGGCTTAATGATAGGACACTTGTCTAGCATGTACAAGGTACTGGCCTGAGTATCTAGCACTATGAAAAGGGGGAAAGACCAAGCTAATGAATAGAAAGCAGGTTTTGTTTTTTGTTTGTGTGTGTGTGTGTAAGAGAGAGTAAGAGAGAGAGAGAGAGAGAGAAAGAGATGAAAGGAGGGAGAGAGAGACTTATAGCCTAGATTGACCTCAAATTCCCCCTGCAGTTGAGGATGACCCTGAACTATTCATCTTTCTGCTTTTTCAAGAACTGCCCTTGCACATGTGTGCCACCATTGTGGAAAGGAAATCCTTTTTACAATTCTTATGTTTAAATTATGTGTGTAAGTGTGTTTTGGGGTGGGAGGCTATGCATGCAAATGCAGTGTCCTCAGAGGCCAGAGGAGGGCGTTGGGTCTCTGGAGCTGGAGTTACAGACAGTTGTGAGCAGAGATGTGGGTGTGGGTGCTGGGTGCTGAACTCAGTACCCTGCAAGAGCATTGTATACTCTTAACCCGTTGAGCCCTCTCTCCAGTCCTAAAAATATCTTCCCTGGAGTTTTCCACAGTTGCTCTGGGCAGGGAGATTCTAGGTGCTTTTGGAATGCTTTATGCTTTACCACAGAATCTGAAATAATGAATGTGTCATTCCCCACTAAATACAGAAGGACAAAACCCTCCAATCAGTGAGTGGTGTTTTTGCTTCAGCGGAATAAGAAATGGTCTGGCCATGGGCTGGAAAGTCAGGTAAAAGTCACAAATGATGTCTGAAGTCATAGCGCTCAGGAAGCAGAGGCAGGGGGCTCACTGTAATCATTAAGGATAGTCTGAGCTGGGGCTGCAGAGATGGCTCAGTGGTTAAGAGCACTAGCTGCTCTTCTGAAGACCAGGCTTCAATACCCAGCACCTACATGACAACTAACAACTGTCTGTAACTCCACACAGACATACATGCAGGCAAACACTGCACATTTAAAAAAACAAAAACAAACAAACAAACAAACAAAAAAAACTCTAGGCCAGCAAGGGCTACATAGTGAGAGCCTGTGTCAAAACAAAACAAAAAGACAGTACTAGCTGGGTCTGGTGCAATCCCAGTACTTACAAGGCTGAAGCAGGAAGATGGCAAGTTCAAGACCAGCCTGGGCTGCTGTGCTACATAGGAAGTCCCAGCCTAGGACACACAGTGTGATCCTGTCTCCAAATGAAAGGAAAGGAGATGTTTCTCTGTTGGTAGACTTCTCTAGCATGCACAGAGACCTGGGTGTATTTCTCAGCACTGGCGAAAACCAGGCGCTGGTGGCACTCATCTGCATCCTAGCACTTGGGAGGCAGAGTAAGAAGGCTCAAGAGTATGAGAACGGCCTGGGCTACATGTGACTCTTCCTTAAAAAGGAAGGAAAATAAAGGGCTAAAGGACGGGCCCCATTAGCTGAGGGCGGAGGTTGGAGGGCCTTAGAAACACCAAGCATTGATCTCAGATGAGAAGCATGCCGCTATATATCTGAAGTCTACCTAAACCTCAAAAGTTCCAGTCCTATGTTCTTCTGTATTTGTAGTACAAGCCCACTGTCCCTTATCTACTCCAGTTCAGCCTTCCCCATTCACAGAGGTCATATATCTGGTGATCCCTGATTTATTTCCAAAACATGAAGCCCAGAAGTAAATTCTCTTTCACTCGGTTCCTTTGCATTTCTTGTCACATGCTAATTTTATTAATAGCCTTCTACTCAGAGAGGAAACACTGTGCAAGCTAAATGTTCCTGTGTGTGTCATTTGTACCCTGTACACTTTTGTTTCAGTAAGTTAATGTTAGTGGGTTTGTGAATTTGTAGTTGTTCCTGGAAAGTTCCTTCAGAACATTGAAACACTAATAGAACAGTTTGTGGTTTCACTCATGACTTGTTTTAGTAGACTTAAACAGGTTTACTTAAAGGTACAAAGTTCTGAACTAACCTTCAGAAATGTTTAAAACATAGTACAGGAAAAAGCCCCAAAACTAATCAAAAAATCTGAATTTTTCAGGTCAGCAGCACAATGGCCATGGGAAAAGAAAAATTCTACAGCATATTTCCGAGGATCAAGGTGATTCTATTTTCTGACCTGTAATAACGACGTTCTTCTAAGCAGTGGGCAAAATCATGCAATCTTGAGGCTATAATGTATCTTGTTGCTCAAAGGAAAAGCTCAGATAACTAAGAAATGAATGTAGAATGGTGGCCAGGCACAGTGGCACACGTCTGTAATCCTGCACTCATAAGGCAGAGGCAGGACTGCTACAAGCCCCAGGCCTGTCTCATCTTTAGTATTGGGTTCCAGACCAGGTTAAATTCTAGGCCAGCCTGATTCTCAGAGTGGTTTCTAGGTTGTCGTGATCTGATGGGGGTTTCAGGCCAACTGGGACTATTCGGTGAGACTAGTCTCAAAGCAACCACGTCACACCACTAACAAAATGTGTACTGGCAGGATCTTAAACTATAGAAGAATTCAGTTGTGCCTGTTACTTTTTGTCAATTTGACCCAAGCTAGAGTCACGTGGGAGGAGGGAATTTTAATTGAGGAAATACCTCCATCAGATTGAGGGTTTTCTTGATTGGTGGTGATTGATGTGGGAGGGCCGGTCCTATGGTGGGTTGTGCCTCCCCTGGAAAGTATATGTGGTCCTAGAAAGTATAAGAAAAGTAGCTGAACTTAACCCTGGCTGGAAACAAGCCAGTGGCTTTCTTCTGTGGTTCCTGCTTTTGCAAGGGTTCCTCCCCGATTCCCGCAAAGATCAACTGTGATCGGATATGTAAGCCCATCAGACCCTTTCCTCCCCAAGTTGCTTTTGGTCATGGTATTATCACCCCAATAGTAAGCAAACTAGGACATCAACTTTTTTTTAAATTGCTCACAATTAAACTAGAATTCGAAGAAGTCAGTCCCCAGACAATTACTCAGGAGATGTTTGTAGAGTGCCTGCCATCTGTGGGGCAGAGTGGGTGATCCTCCTCTTGTGTACAGTTTCCTAGCAGTAGCTGCTCACTGTGCCTCAGTCTGGCATGGCTACCCCAGCAGGGATCATCACCAGGGCTCCTGACTGCCTTGTCCTCAGACCATGTGGCTGCTAAACAGTGCTTAAGGGCATGGACTGAGGCCAGGGAATGGAGAGGGTAGAAAGATGGAAACTGCTGGCTGTGTTCTGCTGAGGACAGTACCTGACAGTAGACACTGTCAGTATCTGTGGACTGGGTAAATAGGCCATAAAAGGAGGAGAGTTTGTAGTTTTTATGGTGCTGTGCTGTCTGTCAGAGATTGTATCACCCATTCTCTACTCACCTCCTGGCTTGGAAAGTGGACTTCAGAATACAGCTGGGCCCTACTACCCCTCACTTGCTGTTTCACAAATTAATTATCTAAATCTCACTTTTTTTCTTTTTTGAGTCAGGGTCTTGCTATATAGCCTAGGCTAGCCTTGAACGTGAGACCTGCTTGCTTTCGAAGTAGCTAGCTAGGATTATGAGCCTGTAATCACTGTGGTCTTATCCTTTTTTGTTTGTGTATATTTTGAGACAGGCTCTCACTTTGTAGCCCTGACTAGCCTGAAGTTCTTTAAATGGTTCAGACTGAGCTTGAATTCTCAGAGATCCTCTTTGGCCTCCTGAACACTGTGTGTGTGTGCGTGTGTGTGTGCGTGTGTGTGCGCGCGCTCGCGCTACTATGCCCAGCTTGGTTTTTAAATTTATATATTATACTGGTTATCAAATTTAAATATGTATTCTTGGTTGACAACCAAAAATAGCTATCACAAGGCACAACAAAGACTATGTAGCTATTTTGGTGAATGGTGATTATGTAGCCACACAGCTGTGAAAAGCAATGATGATAGGTATTGGATGAACTTTTCAAAAAGGAAAACCATTCCCTGAAATATTGCCTTAGGGTTACTATTACTGTGATGAAACACCATGACCAAAAGAAATTCATGGTGGAAAGGGTTTATTTCAATTGCAGTTCCATATAATGGCTTGTCATTAAAAGCTGTGAGGGTGGGAACTCACATAGGGCAGGAACCTGGAGGCAGGGGCTGATGCAGAGGCCATGGAGGAGTGCTGCTTACTGGCTTGCTCAGCCTGCTTACTTATGGACCCCAGGACCCCAGCCCAGGGATGGCACCACCCACAATGGGCTGGGCCCTCCCCTGTTGATCACTAATTAAGAAAATGCCTTACAGCCAGATCTTAAGGAGGCATTTTCTCAATCAAGGTTCCCTCCTCTCTGATGAGTAGCTTTCTACAAGTTGACATAAAACTAACCAGTACAGTTATACTCTTAGAGGCCAGATGCAGACCAGACATGGTGGCACATACTTATAATCCCAGCACCTGAGAGATTACCTATCAGGAATTCAAGGCCACATTTGGCTATGCACTGAGTTGGAGGGTAGCCTGGGCTAGATGAGATTCTGTTTCAAAACAGCAAAACTGGATGTAAGTAAAGAAAGACTCACTACTTCCCATCTTTGATGGGTAAAATGGGATAGCCTGAACCACCAAAATGCTGCATTATCCTAGATACTCTTCCTTTACTGTACCAGACCCAGTGAACTCTCCTAGTGCCAACAGCCACTACACTGGCCAGTACCGTTCACCTTTTAGAGATTGGGAACGTTATAGTGTAGGCCACACAGATTCATGTTCTGTATTTTCTTTGTAGGACAAGCCCAGAAAGAGATCCTCTCATTCTTCTGTCCCGGAAAGATCCCAAACTCGTTGATGCAGAGTACACCAAAAACCAGGCCTGGAAATCTATGAAAGTAATCAGCAACCATCTGAATAGAACCACGGCAGTGATGATCTATGAACAGTAGAATTTGAGATTAGGTCTCCTGAGTGGTGAGATGAAGATATGCACCCATGTTAGCGTACATGTAAACTGCTGTTTCCCAGACTTCACTCACGCTACTATGCTGTGTGTCAGTGAAGAGTTGAAGGTGTGAGCTTCTCCTAGGAAATGTGGGTCTACCCAGATCATTACTGCCTGTCCTGCTGGAACAGGGTGAAAGTAGCAGGTGGCTTTCACAACATGGCTGTTTCCCAGTTACTCATGGGCACCAAAATTTCATGTGAAATTTGAATTTCATATCTTTTCTTTCTTTTTTTCTTTTTTTTTCCCGTTTGTTTTTGCTTTTGAATCAGGGGGTTCCTACTTAGCTCTTGCTATTCTGGAACTCACTGTAGACCAGGCTGGCCTTGAACTCCTAGAGATCAGCTTGCCTCTCTCTGTCTTCCAAATGCTGGGATTGAAGTCCTGTGCCACTACACCTGCACTTCATGTAATTTTTACATATCAAAAATATTTTCTCCCCTTTTTCCCCCGGTCACTTGAAAATGTGACAATATCTAGTAATGAGTTCTATATACCACATGGTGGGTTGGATTTGGTCTGTGGGCTATAGTTCAGCAATCCCTAGTTTAAATGAATGGTTCTCAATGGCTGTAGAGTATAACCCAAGAGCTTAAATGGTGAGCCAAGCGACTAAATTTTGGGGGCCAGATCCTTAAAATATGACAAGTGTGACTTTTAGCTTTGAGATCCATCTATCCTGACTGTGACTTCTTGCCTTAAGAATTTAAAGTCTGAATTTCCTCATTTGCAATTTCAACACAGCATATGAGAAAAAAGCTTTAAGCTTCATGGAGAAAAACCCAGAGTTTATCTGAAATGGATACATTGTTTGCATAGGTTTTATTTGTATATTTTTGTTGTTGCCATAGTGGGGATTGAACACTTGCCTCAATGCTAGACTAACACTCTACTGGGAACTACACCATTAGCCTGTTTTGTTTTTGATTTACAATTATGTTATGTGTAAGAGTGTTTGCCTTTATATATGTATGTTCACATGTATGTATGCCTGGTACCTACAGAGGCTGGTAGAGGGTGCTGGAGTCATGGACAGTTGTAAACTGTCATGAGGATGCTTGGAATTGAACCCAGGTTCTCTGCAAGAGCAGCAAGTACTCTTTTAACTGCTGAGCCATCTCTCCAGCCTCATCCTTAGCCTATCTTATACAGTTTTAGTTAAACAGGAACAAATGAGTTTAAGAAACAAATATGCACAGGAATTCAAGGACATATACAGTTAGTGGCTTTGAGCCCAACCTGGGCTATCAAATCCTACAGCAAAAACAGAAATATGAAAGAATGCATCCATTTAGCACACAGGTTGTTAGCGTCTCCTGTGGCGGGGCCAGCAGTGAAGCAGGTAGGAAAGAGAAGCCAGAGGTGCACAGAAGCTGCAGATGACTGTTGCCAGTAGCTTGGCGCTAGATCTTTATTATTGTTAGTATTAATTTTCTTCAAGAACATTGAGAAACCTGGATTTTTATGATTGATTTTGAGGTAGGGTCTTCAGTAGCCTGGCTTTAGGCTGGCTGGCCTTAAGCTTTTAATGTAACTGAGGCTGACTTTGAACTCCTGATCCTGCTGCCCCTACCTTCACTTCAACAGTAAAATCCCCCATTGGGATTACAGGCATGATATGGGTTGGTAAGTCAGGCCAGAGATCTGGGCTTTTGTGAAAAATGTCATGCCACCTAGTGAAATGTTAGCAATGGCCTGTTGTTGAGCCTCATACGTCTCTGTGAGTTAGTTACAACCACAGCCCCGTAAACTAGCACTTGTGACCTTCTGTGTGTGTGGAGTTCACACTGAGTGACCTCTCAGTTCAAAGGAAGGTAGCCTGACTTCAGGTGAGTGCAGGCTCCAAAACTAAGCACACCTGAGTCAAACTATTGCTGCCGTTGAGATCACATGACACTGAGCAAGTTCCAACTTGAAACTTTGGGTTCCTCTGTGGTTCAGTGAAGATGATAATGCCTCCTGGGTGTATTTCTCTCATCATGATGCTTAAGTAAGATTATGTTGGTGAAATGTTGGTGAAATGCGCCTGCCCATTAAGTGCTATTGCTAGTGGTGATGACTTCCTTTTCACCTGCAGGATACCTTGGGAAAGCCAGCTGCCAAGGATGTTCATCTGATAGATCACTGCAAATACAAGTAAGACTTCCAGTTCCTTATGGCTATATTGCTTTCCAAATATTTCATATTGGAGACTTCTGTCTGAAGTATCATGTTAATTTGACTGGCTTTCACTGAGGCCTGTAGTGCAGTGACCTGAGCCCTATGAGGACTATGGGGAAGAATGAGACATGGTTCCTTAATTAAAGTGGCAGGATCACCTCTCTCCGCAACAACCTCCCAAAGTTAGATTACATATTTGTCACAGTAATATTACAATAAGGAGCTCCAGATACAACTGGGTATTGGAGCATGTGCTTGCGAAGCACAACAGAGGCCTAATTCATCCCCATCATTGTAAGAGACAAACATGATAATGAAATCTCTGGACTAAGAATGAGCTAAACAGGTTAACTGAGGTTTGGAGGAAGGGATGGGACTAGGGAGTAAGGGCAATGGTTAACCTGGTGGAAGCTGTAGGCTAAGTGCTCCTGTTACAGACAGCTACATATATGAGAAATGCTGAGAAGAAAACAGCGTTTTCTTAGAGAGCTTTTTCCGGGGAGCATCTCTTCGGGGGTTGATTAGCTCAGACTTGTCTTCCTGTATCTAGGAAGAGGGCCTGTCTTTGATCTGATGGACTGCATGAGGGGAAACAAAAAGATTTGGGAACCTGACTTACTATATATATAAAAGTCAGTATCTAGCTGGGGATGAACTTGAACTGCGTTCCTCCAGTCTCTACCCCTCAAAGGCTGTGTTCCACCATACCCATTGTGGAGTTTTTTTTACTCTTTTCAAAATATATTTTTACACTGATTTATTTTGTGTGGGTGCATGTGGACCACTGCATACATGTGGAGGTGGTATTACAACTCAGTAGGGTCTGTTCTCTCCTTCCCCCTCCAGGCTCTAGAAGATTAATGCAGGATCTCAAGTTTAGTGGAAGCACCTGCTAAGCCATCTCTACAGCCCAGTTTCATTACTTTTGGTTTTTAATGTAAATCATTATTATTTTAAACCTATATTATATTATATTCAGACAAAACAAAAACAACTTATTATTTCTTTCTCAGCCTATTTTCTACCTAGCACATAGCTTTTGGCCCCATATAACTCTGGAGAAATTATTTCTTTTGTTTACCTGACATTCCTGGAGCAAGAACCTGCAGCTCCTTCTGAGGAAAAGCAAGGAATTTATGGAAACTCCACAGACACATACTGATGTGTTTTTGAAGACTTGAGAATAGGGTTTGGTGGCTCAGTACCTACAGTCTCAGCACTTGGGAGGATGAGGCAGGTGGATTTCTATGAATCTAAGGCCAGCTCAAGGTAAAGTGTGAGATGATAGTTAGGGTTTCTATTACTGTAATAAAATACCATGACCAAAAAGCACTCGGGAGAATGGCTTTGTTTCCATTTCCAGCCTGTAGTCCATCATCCAGGGAATTCAGGGCAGAAACCCGGAGCCAGCTACTGAAGCAGAGGCCATGGAGGAGTGCTGCTTTAATGGCTTGTTCCCCATGGCCTTCTCAGTCTGCTTCTGTATGACCCACGACAACCTGCCCAGGGATGGCATCACCCCCAGTGGGCTGGGCTTCCCCAAGTCCATCATTAATCAAGGACACTCCCCTACAGACTAGCCTATAGGTAAACTGATAGAGGAATTTTCTCAATAGAGCCCTTCCCAAGGAACCCTAGTTGGTGTCAGGTTGACAACTAGTGTACTATGTCTTGAAAAAATAAAAAAGGAAAAATGACAGCAGGGAAGGAGGGATATCAAAAGCATAGGCAGGAATGGGGCCGGGGTTTGGGGGAGTAGGAGGATGGGATGGGGGAGCAGGGGGTATGGGGGAAAGGTCCTGTTTGTGGCAGCAGCTGTAGAAAATGAAATATGCTTTCTTTTCTTTCTCAGGTATCTGTTTAATTTTCGAGGTGTAGCTGCAAGTTTCCGGTTCAAACATCTCTTCCTGTGTGGTTCACTGGTCTTCCATGTTGGTGATGAGTGGGTGGAATTCTTCTACCCACAGTTAAAGCCATGGGTTCACTACATCCCGGTCAAAACAGACCTCTCCAATGTCCAGTAAGCACTAAGTCCCAACTTAAAGTTTCATATGACCATGTTCTCCTAAGTCTGGCCTCTTAAGGCGTTTTTCTCAGGATCATTTCATTTTCAATGGAAGCCTTTCCTCTGTACACATTGTGTACTATTGTGTATTATCTAGGTAAGTTGAAAAAGGGATTTAATTTGAAGTACTTTAATTTACAGTGCTGTTTCTAACACAATGTGCATATGAAGGAAAGGCATCTTTCAGCAACTGAAGATAGATTTGGCCTTGTTCTGTTGTTATTTAGTGAAGCCCTGGCAGAGAGTCTTTCATGATGGGAGGAGATAGGAAGAGATGTGTAGAAGGGCCAGAACCAGTCCCCTCCTCTGGTTGGAACAAGAATATGGAGACAAGGTGGAAATTAAAATTGTGTGTGTGTGTGTGTGTGTGTGTTGTGGAGAAACACTTGTGAGAGAGCATATGCACATGCCAGTGCATATATGTGGTGGTCAGAGAACAACTTCCGGGAGTTTGACCTTGCTCTCCACCTTGCTGAGGTAGGGTCTCTTGTTTCTATAGCTGTGCTGCACCCTTCAGGCTTGCTGACCCTCAGGCTCCCTGGTGATTTCCCTGTGCCCACCTCCTGCTGAGATAACAAGATCTCCACCACACCCTGCTTTTCACATGAATTTCCAGGGTAGACTTGGCTTGTTGCACTGTTGCTGCCACCTGCTGAGCCATTTTTCTGGCCCCAGAAATTATTTTTATACTTGGATTTTTATTATTATTGTTGTACATTTTTGTTTTTTCAAAAGTATATCCCAAATACATATACTAGAACATACTATAATAGATGATAGTGACAGGTAACAATCTGACTTGAACTTGTAGTTTTTTTTCAGCTTTTGTCTTTTTTGAGACATGGTTTTATGTAACTCGGGCTGTCTTCAAACTTGTTATTTAGTTGAGGTAGCCTTGAACCCCTGACCCTCTTGTTTCTACAGAGCTCCCATGTGCTGTGATCATCAGCCCCACCACTCCTACATTTGTATATAGAGGCTTTTTCTTTGCTGTTATCTTTATATTTTCAATTACCCTAATATTTTTGCTTTAAAGAAAATATCTACAACCTACATATCTACAGAGTTATCTATCTGTTGTCTTTTTTACTTGATGTTAATGAATGTGATCTATATTTTAAAAGCTCATGATTTATGTGTGTACACGTGCGCGCACATGTGTATGGTGCATGTGCGTTTGTTTGTGTGTGTATAAAGACCAGATGTCAACTTAGGTGTTGCTGGAACCTTGTGCTTTCTTATTAGAATTGGCTGACTGGCTGGCTAGCAAGCACCAGGGATCCATAGGTGCTAGCTTGGGAATTAAAAGCACAAGCCATCATACCAAGCTTTTTATGTGGGTATTGGTGTCAAACAGGGGTTCCTGTGCTTGCATGGCAAATACATTAGCAGCTGAACATCCCCCCAGCTTCTACAGTGTCATGGTTTTTGTCATTTTAGGGAACTGTTGCAGTTTGTAAAAGCAAATGATGACATTGCTCAGGAAATTGCTAAAAGGTAAGCCCTGTTCATTTGTCCTTTCTTGCCTCATCTGTTGTAAAGTTTTCTAAATTTAGTTACATGATAATGTTCATACCTCAGCTTCATTACAAAGGTAATCCAGGGTTAAAGCTGTGCTGGAGGCAGGTACACACATCCACAAATGCCCCATGCTTTATACAAATAGATTGAAGATTTACTCAAATTGTATGTATATTTGTGTCTGTATGCAGGTATATGCATGTCAGTGCTGGTCCCTAGGAGGTTAGAGGCATAGGACCCCCCCTAGCACTGGACATGAGCTGGCCCTTTGCATAAGCAGTACACTCTTAACCACTGAACCCTCTCTCCAGGCCCTAGATTTCATTCTTTGAGGAACTAAGACAAATGTTTTTAACTGGGATGGTGACTCACACCTGGAATTGCAGCAATGGAGAGACTGAGTCAGAATTGCTTTGAGTTCCAGGATGGCTTGGGCTATGAAGTGAATTCTAGGCTAGCCTGATGTAAAGAGTGAGAAATCTCAAAACTCCAAACCACACCGAGACAAAATAATAACAACAAACAAGTGTTTAAAATGCATATTGGCTTTTTATGTTTGGTTTTTTGTTTTGTGGGGTCTTTTCTTTTTTCTTTTCTTTTCTTTTTTTGATTTTTGAGACAGGGTTTCTCTAGCTGTCCTAGAACTCACTTTGTAGACCAGGATGGCCTGGAACTATCCAAGTGCCTTCCAAGTGCTGTGATTAAAAGGCATCCACTACCATCACCTGGCAATACTACTTGTTTTGAGAATCAAATATTAAGTGCTATTGCTAAATATATGCATATGGATATGACAGTTACAGGGTTGGTTGTGAGGTACAGGTGAGTTAAATCAAATAAAATACTCAGAATGAGGCTCATTATAAAGTCATCTAAGCATATGTGGGCTTGTTATTATTAAAGCCTATGATATAAAATACTCTTGTTAATCTCGTCTCTAGGGGAAGCCAGTTCATCATAAACCATTTGCAGATGAATGACATCACCTGTTACTGGGAGAGCCTCTTGACTGAATACTCCAAATTCCTGTCCTATAATGTAACAAGAAGGAAAGATTATGATCAGATCATTCCCAGACTTTGGAAAACTGAACTGTAGTAGTCATCAGAGGACTGCAATCCTGGCAATGGATCTGAGATGCTCTGTGTTGAAATACCATGAGCATGACACCTATACTTTTAACACTTTTGCCAAGCCAAACATCCTGTTTTCCTTATCATGTTGTATCCTGAAGGACTCTTGAGAAAGATCTAAAATGTATGTGACAAACACCTGTTTGAAATCATGAAATAGGGATTTGGATCTACATCCTAACTTTCATTTTCTTATGATAAATCACAGCTTGTGCCTCAGGTCATCTACATGTATCATCACTGTGAAATTGACTGGGTCCATGTGAAGATGCCCGTTGTTCTTTTATTTGGAGCAGACCACCCATTGTTTGGTACAATTCATACCTGCAACTCTGAAGTTATTCTAGGCTTGATGTCTGATGCTTACCTTTAATGTAGAAATCCTATGGGGTTTGTGAAAGTCCTGCAGTGACCATGCTCTGAAGAGTCTAAGGAAGCAGTGGCTATGCCATGCAGCCTTGGTGGAGTTCTCTTTGTAGAAGCATAAATTCTTTGGCACTCAGGAGCTTCCTATAATGCCTCAATTTTGCAGTTGGATTTCAAATGCCCGTTTTGTGCCTTCATTCCCTTTTTATTCTCTCTCCAAAGGAGAGAGAGAGAGAAATTTCTTAATACATTTAGGAAGCAGTCTTATTAAAAAACAAACAAACAAAAAACAATGTTCCTGTAATAATAGCACGTCTGAAGTAGAGGCAGGAGGATGAGTTCATGGCCACCCTCAGCTTCACAAGAGTTCAAGGACAGCCTGACTACATGAGGTCCTGTCTCATAAACTGTAACTCATCTTTTGCACACCTCTGATTTTGCCTTCTTAAATTAGTAATAGCAGGACCATCTCAGTTTACAGAGACCATGATCTTTGTATGTGAACACATCATAAAGTGGCAATTTATAGAGCATTTAGCTTTCATTTTTTACTCCCATATGAGATATTTTAGTATAAATCATTATTGGAGTACTTCCTTATTCCCCTTCTGAAAAAGATATACGGACAGTTTATTTCAAGTTGCAGCTCCAACCTCACCTCTCTGAACCTCATTCTTAGCAGTTAAGGACTATAGTAACAATCTGCTCATGCCTGTATTATGTGCTATCATCACACTGCACTGTAGTTACGTGGCTGTTTCTTTCCTTGTTCTGTAAGCTTATTGATGGTGAGAATGATGTTTCACTGCTCTTGATGTCTCCATTATCCAGCACAGTGCCTCACATAGAATAGTTACTGAAGAACTGTTGGGAGGATGGGCGAGTGGGGAGATGGATGAATACACCCACTAGGCTTAACTAAATTCTATTTTTAAATTGCTCAGTTACTGGCTGCAGAGGGGATGAGATGCATTGTAAGAATTGGATTGATACAGAACCTCACTTTCCCTCTCAAGTAGCAAGGGATATTTTTGTTTTAAAAACAACGAAAGTTAGATTTTGTATTTATCTGTGTACCTCAGTGTAGACGATATGAGAATAATGTGTAATACTATGTAAAGTGTATGCTTTTGAAAATAGTTCATATGCTCACACTTTTGAAGATTTCGTTATCATTCATACCAGCTCAATCCCAAACTTACCATTTGCTCCTCAAGATAAGTCATTCTCTCTACTGTGGCAACAGTTACTATTGTTTTCAATATAACCAAATATATGTTTTCTAAGAGTTGTACTTGGTGAACCTGGAAATCTGCTGATCCAAGAGAAACTGTCAAGGGAAAAATCTATTGGGTCTGAAGAGCAGGTTCACCCACACAGGCTGAGGAACAAGTGATGGTTTCAAGGGATGAGTGAAATCCTTCACTAGTGGTTACTGTTTGCAAGCCCAGGTCCTGAGGGTGAAGGAGCCCCATGTGTTAGTGTGTTTTGATTACTGCCCATGACAACCTTGTGACTGACAGTATTGCTTTGAGAACGTTCAGAATAATTGGAGAACAGGGAAGCAGACTGCTTTGCTGGGGTACAAGAAAGTAGGCACAAGATAGCTTGGGAAGTATGGGAAGCTGACTGAGTAAGAGAGTTGGGGAGAGATGAGATAGGGAGATACGGGTGAGCCTTAGTCAAGGTCATAGGTACCAAAGGCAACTTTACAAATGAATCTTTGGGGCTTGGATATAGCTGAGTGGTAGAGCACTTATCTGTCATAGGTTCAATTCCCAGTACCACCTAAAACAACAGAACCAGTCTGTAGAGTTAGTGAAATCTCTGTTATCATTTGGGTCTACAGAGTACAGTATCATGAGGATATTTGAGTTATTTGTGAATTATTTTGTCAATGTCTGCCCAGCCTCTGCCCTGTTCCCATTCCAGGTGAACCTGATTCCAGAATGACTGTAGCTCAAGTTCTGAGGATCAATCTCAAGACCTCAAGAATGTCAGACAAATTTAAGCACCCAGCTTTTCCCACATATCCATGTGTTCTCTCCAGCCTTGGAAGCTTAACTCCAGTGCTGACCTCTGCAGAGAAAAGAAATGAACCAGGCAGGTACAAGCTGGAGCCAGGAATCAGGATCTGAATTCTTCATTCAACAGATAGTCACTTGAGGCAGGGAGATGATGTCTGAGTCTGAAGACAACCGGGTTTATAGAGTGATATAGGACAGTCACAGCTATGCAGAGAAATCCTGTCTTGGGGTGTGTGTGTGTGGGGGGGTGGAGATAACAACAGCTACTTTGTGTTAAATGCTGATTGGTGATCCAGAAGAGATCAGCAAATAGGAAATTCCAACAATGAAGTAAGTGCTGATGGGGTTTCCTTTAAAGCACCTTTCTGAACTTTATCTGTAGAGGTGTAGGTGTGTGTGTGTGTATTTATACCCCTATCTGTATCTTCTTATGAAAGTTCATAAGGTACACTATCTAAGTGGCTGTAGAGCACCACTGAGCTGTATATCCAGAGTGGTACTTTAAAATAACTAGAAAAAAAAGAAAACAGGTGAAGGGGTTTGCAGAGAATATGGGATATATGGTAATTTCCAAGGATTAGATATTATACAAACCAACTGGAAATATTTACCTTAATGAACCTTTTCTTATTTTGCCTTGGTGTTTTGCTTTACTAAAAAAAAAAGTGTGGTGGGGCTTGGAGAGATGGCTCAGCGGTTATGAGCTTTGGCTGAAGCTCTTCCAGAGGTCCTGAGTTCCAATTCCCAGCAACCACATGGTGGCTCGGTTATCTATAGTGGAATCTGTCGCCCTCTTCTGTCAGGAAACTGTATATGCAGATAGAGCACCAAATACAAAAAAAAAAAAAAAAAAAAAAAAAAGTGCGTGTGTGTAAGAGTCCAGAATCGGTGCATGGTACTCTGCAGCTGGAGTGCAGGTGGTTGTGATATGCCTGATACGGGTGCTGGGAATCCTGCTGTGTCATGTGAAACCCAGGCTGGCCGGCCTCATATGTGGACAAATCAGGGCTTGAATCCTCCTTCGCCTCTTCCTAAAGTTCCAGACACGCGCCGCTTCGTCCAGTGAGGGCATTCCAATGAAAACTATACTTGGAAGCACATGTAACAGTTGCAGCTAGTAAACGATAAAAGTTCTAGATTTTATGCCGTCTCAGGGCAGTACGCATACGAAATCTGTGTTGCGGGACCCACGTTATGGGGAAAAAATGCCCTCTAGGGGGCATCCTCAAAACTCGGAGCTATTCAGGCGCACGCTAACGCCAGGGCGAGGGTGGACTGCGCGGCCCACCCGAGAAGCCTGGTGGACAAGGCTTACACACACCGCCGGTCCCGTTCCGCACTCCGCTTGCAGACCGGACCGACCGGGCCGAAACACCTCAACGCCTCACTGAAAAGATACCGCCGCCAACTCACTTCCGCGGCACGACGACCCTAAGCGGAAGGGCTTCCAGCCGGAGTCCCGCTGCCGTCCCTCCCTCCCCCGACCCGGCCTTTTGCGCGACTAGGGCGGGACTTCCTGTCTCGTGTTTCCGAGTGCCTGCCGAAGTGAGCCGGCAGGGGGCCGTACGTGAGCTTCCGCGTCCCGAATGCGCCGCTAGTCCGCTGCGCGGGTCGCCGTCTCCCACGGTGCCCGCCAGCCCCGGGCTGTCTGTCCGCGGGTGGGAGGGCGCCATGGAGGCGCCGCCGCCCGCGCCGCGCAGCCGCCTTTGCCGGGCCTTTGCAGCCGGTGCCGCGGCTGCGGATTCCCAGGGCTTTGCGGAGGATCGCGAGCCGCGTGCGCCGCGTTCATGTGTCTCAGAGCCCGGTTCCCCGGAATCCGGATGGGACCGCCTCCGGCAGCTGTTTGTCAAAGAGTAAAAACGAGGGCCTCGGGTGTGCGGGGAGGGTGACTCGGGGTCCCCGCCGCAGCGGGCGCGAGCCCTGGCGTGGGGTCTGCCCCGGGCGCAGTGTCCTCACAGTACCATCGTGCCCCGATTTTATGTGTTAGAACGATTGAATCAGCCCGGTGATTTGTCCTGTAGTGATCGCTGGGAACCATGGGAGTCCACCCTAACAGCCTTTCTCATGTTGCATTTGCTGTCAAACTTTGATCTTTCTTGGCCAGTCGTGGCCCTGTATACCGCAGGTGGGAGTCGGGGAAGGGCAGAGAGAATCGTCAGTTTTGTTTTTATTTTGCACAAGAAACTTCCCTTCTGGTGAGTTTGGATTATCGGTAGTTGCAAGTCAGCTGACACGATTCTGGGAACTGAACTCAGGTCCTTTGTAAGATCAGCACAGGCTCTTTGCAGAGCCGCCTCTTCACCCCCCCCCCTCCCCGCCTCCTGTCCTTTTTTGAGACAGGATCTTGCTATTTAACCCTGGCTGTACATGTAGACCAGTCTGGCCTGGAACTAGAAGAAACATTCCATCCTCGGCCTCCCGGGTTCTGGGATCACAGGCCTGTTCTTGCCACAGATGCTTACTTTTGCCTTGAGGGGAGGGGGGGGGGAGGTCAAATGTTAAGACCTCTTCTGCTCCAGGATCCACACTCCCAGATCTATCTGACTTTCCAGAAACTAGATATTAAGATAAAAATAATGTGAAAAACAAATGATTAACTCTTTTTATTACTTTCACCTAATTTATTTAACTTCATTTATTACTAGTGGAAGTATTCTTTCTTGAAGTAATTTGCCATACTACACTGTGTTATCAATTGGTTAAATAAGTTGGGTCGAGGGAGCTAACAGACTTGTATTTAATTACTCTATTAGTTTTATCACCTTTTTATTTTGTCTTTTAAAAGATTGTTTCTATTTCATGTGTATGGGTGTTTTGCCTGCGTGCATGCCTGTCTTTGTGTCCCATGCCTGATAATGTCAGATCTGGAATTGGAGTTAAAGACAACATGAGCTGCCGTTTGGGTACTAGAAATGGATTCTGGGTCTTCTGCAAGAGCAGTGCATGCTCTTAACAGCTGAATCGTTTCACCAGCCCCTCATCATCTTCGTTTTAGGAAGTAATATGTCAGATTTTTCTCAAAGGTCCTACCAAAAGCTTGTATGTTTTTGAAAGATCTTCCGTAGTGTATATGAGATTTATTTTAGTTTTTGAAGCAGTGTCTACCTGTGTTGTAGACCACGATAACCTCCTGCTTCCAGGCTTCAACTGCTGGGATTAGAGGCATATAACACTACTGTGACCCACAGAAGGTAGTCATTTAGATCAGTACTATAAACCACAGAATAGTGGAACTAAAGAAAGCTTGAAAAGTAACCTAATGCAGTTTTTATGCTGTCATCCATCGTAACATGAAAGGGGAAACCAAGGTTCAGAGTGGTTGACCTGGCTGCACACTACGCTCGCAGCAGATCCCAGATTACAACACCACTGTTCTGTGTCTACCTCCATCCCGTCACTTAGTCCTGTTACCTTTCCACCATTCTTTAGCTGCTTGGACTGACTTTGTGAATTTTAGAGTCTTTACTTTTTTTATGTTTATTTAACTTTCTTTCTTGGGGGACTTTGAGATGGGGTCTCAGGTAGCCCCTATTTGCCTCAAACCTGTATCCTCTGCCTCCACCTTCCAAGTGCTGAGATTACATGAGAGTACTGCCACACTCAGCATGAGCCTTTATGGCAGTAAAACTGAACTAAGTATTACCGTCATTGAACTATTCAAAGGGTTAAAAAACAGGCAAAGCATGGCTGTCTCCTGGCTTGTTAAACTTCAAGTCCTTTTACGTTTTCTTCTGAGTTTTACTGTAGATCAGTTTTTATGTAAATGATTTTTTAAAAGTTCTGTTCAATATAAAATACATAAAATTTAAATTATGGCAGCTTTCCTATTAATGTAAATGTTAGGATTTGTTTTCTGGAAATTTAAGTTATTTTTGTAAGAGTGTAGCTTTCAGAAGAAAGCTAGTAATCTTAAATTTGTAGGAGGGTCACTATAGCAGTGCTGTACTGTTTAACAGTTTTCAGAGTCCATCCTGGAAACTCTTCCTGGAAATCGTTCTAGTTTTTATGTATTTGAGAGGCATAATTTGAATCAAACAGCTCTTCCTTATTTTAGGTTGGCCTGTGCTGCTTACTGCATATTAAATTTTCTCAGTACTTTTTTTCTCTTTTATGATTTTAAAGCTAGACATGGAGGAGCTCCCTGCTTTGTGCCCATCTTCCCAAGGATAGTTACTATCCTAGACTGCTTTTAAGACATATAATGTATTGCTGTTTTGCTTTTAGAGCAGGGTTTCATTATGAAGCAAAGGCTGGCTTCAAACTTATGATTCCCCCTCCTCAGCCTCCTGAATGCTGTAATCACAGGTGTCCACCACTACACCAACTAGTACTGCCCTTATATAACTGTACTGTTTAATTCACAAAAGCATTTCGTCAGCTCTGCCCATAACAAAACGTGCTGTAAGCTTGTGGGTCGATGCTGAACACACTGTTTTGAATAATGTCCCAACAACACTTTCTTTTTGGTGTTTTAGTGAACAACAGAGAATTCCAAAGGAAGTTGAGTATATCTGCAGAGCAGCTGTTTCAGCAGGCATCATTGGCTGGGCATATGGAGGAATACCTGCTTTTATTTATGCTAAAAACCGCTATATTGAGCAGAGTCAAGGGGAGGTTTATCATAACCGCTTTGATGCTGTGGTAAGTACTGATGGGCTAATATGGATATAGCAATTTAACTCTTCTTCATTTTTTTTTTATATCTTGAGTTGGGAGAATTTTGGAATGTTGGGTGAAGAATTAGATCCATACTTAGCAGCAATGGAAGCACTAATGCTAAAGTACCTACATGGATTTTCTACTTCTTCAACTTATCTGTTTAAAAGAAAGATCTTTTTTTTTTCTAGTTTACCATCTAATAGTACATTACATGCTGACTTTGCCTCATGCCTTTTTAAAATCCATTAGTTTGAAACACTTTCTCTGTCAGTCTTGCCCCTGCGCAGTTTTAAACATTGTGGAACATTTGTAGAATGCCCCACAAATTAGATTTGCTTGATAGTTTCTGTCTTATGGTTTCTATTGTTTTGAAGAAACACCATGGCCACAACTCTTATAAAGGACAACATTTAATTGGGGGTGGGTTACAGTTTCAGAGGTTCAGTCCATTGTCATCATAGTGGGACATGGTGGCATCAGGCAGACATGGTGCTGGAGAAGGAGCTGAAAGTTTTACATCTTGGTATGTAGGCAATAGGAAGTAGTCTGAGACACTGGGTGTGGCTTGGGCATAAATGAGACTTCAAAGTCCACCTCCACAGTGACACACTTCCTCCACCAAGACCATACTCACTCCAACAAGGCCACTTCCTCTGGGGGGGGGGCATTTTCTTTTGAACCACCACAGTTACTCATGATAAAATTGAGATTTGTGAAAGGCGAAAGAATTCTACAATCTGAAGAGAATCCCTCCACTTAGAAGGCAGAGGCAGGTGGATCTCTTAGTTTGAGGTCAACCTGGTTGACTGAGTGAGTTCCAGGACAGCTAGAACTACAGAGAAACCCTGTATTGAAAAAAAAAAAAAGTCCTTTTGACTTGTGGGCCTTGATGGATGGGTGACTAAAGATGCTTGCTGCCAAGCTGGACATCCTGAGTTTGATTCCCTGGATGGGGACAAGGAGAGAACAGAAGTTGTCTTCTGACCTCTGTGCATGCCCTGGCATGCTTGCACACGTATGGAGACAGACAGACAGATTCGGGGGGGGGGGAAGAAGATTTAGACTTGTATTAGTGGCATAAGTACCCTAGAATTGATGTTTCAGTACCTTGTTTCAGAAGCATATACTGTCTATTTGTTCTCTGGCTCCTGGTGTGAACTTTAGTTACATGAGTAAGATGAGAATGGCTTTCTATAGCATAAAATTGCTGTTTCCCTTTTGAGGAAATAAGTATTTTATAGATTCTTGTTAGAGACCTTGAGATTTTGTAAATATCCTATTTTATTTTCATCTACCCTGTGCTTTTAGAATTCAGTTTATTCTTACTCGAAATGGTTCTTACTGTCAGATTGTCAAATGGCCTTTTTCTAATTCTAGCAATTTTTTACATTCATTGGTGCTAAGTAGTAATAGTCACCCCTATTATAGTTATTTACTCATCAATTTAATTAATAAGTAATAATAATAAAAGTAATAATGAGTAGTTCTGAGAAATATTTTAATTGATCTTGTTATTATTTGACTTTCAGAATATATTGTACAAACTAGGACAGGTACAAGGTCATAGGCCATCTTCTGATAACATGTAGGGTCTGTTCATGACCAGAGTGTTGGTAAGAAGCCCAAGGTTCTTTGTTTGTTTCTTTGTTTGTTTGTTTGTTTGTTTGTTTGTTTGTTTGACACAGGGTTCCTTTGCATAGCTTTTGATTGTCCTGGAACTCACCAGGATCCGCCTGCCTCTGCCTCCCAAGTGCTGGAATTAAAGGTGTGAGCCACCACTGCCCTTCAGAGCACATGATTCTTGTCTATAATTTGTTTCTATGTGTACTCAGAATTTCTTATTTATTCAGTAGAGTTATATTCCATTACTGTAGTTTGTTCTAATACTCCAGTTGGCTTGTATTTGGGACAATTAGAACCTTTTTAGATCCACTGCCTGTGAGTTTTCTGTTTTTGTTTTTTGTTGTTTTAGAAGGGTCTTGCTTGGTAATACAGACTGGCTTTCAGCTCTTATTCCTGCTCGTGAAAGTGACCAACTCAGAGTTGTTTTTGGTTTGGTTTTTTACAAGGTTTTCCAATGTAGCCCTTATTGTTCTGGAACTTGCTATACAGGCCAGGCTGGACTTGAACTCACAGAGATCCTCCTACCTTTGCCTCCCCAGTGCTGATATTAAAGATGTGCTCTATCATGTATGGTGGAACTAAGATTTCTTTTTGGGAGGTTGATATTTAGAAAACAAGACCTGGGTTCTCGTTGTGCTCTACTCTTTCAGGATACTATTGCTTTTAGATGGGCAGACAGAGTGGAAGTGTGTGTGTGTTGTTATACAAAGTTTGTGAGACCCCAAAAAGACCACTAAGGAGCCGACTCACTGATGCAAAGGAACAAATTTTAATGCTAAATTACAAGCCTCGGCAGGGACCCTGTCCAGCAAACTGGCACAGCAGCTGCAGGAAAAGGGTGCCTGGCCTCAATTGCAAGGAGTTTTTAAAGGGGAAAAAACTGCAAGCAGGGAGGTACATGTTCAGGATTGGATTAGAGAGAGTGACCTTTGGATTCATTGACGTGGGGATTAGGGGAATTTCAAAATTGTTACTAACAGTTGCCCACAAGGGCAAGAAGATGTTATTTACCAAAATTAGTCATTGTCTGACCACCCTGGCCTTCTCTATGGTAGTGGATATACCAGTAGATTCTACAGGGTATTTGTCACCAGCATCACCCCATGTGATATTGATGGATCTCACTTTGTGAACATGGAGATACCCTTCCCTTTGACAAGTTTCTTCTCATTCTGAGCCATGATGACTATGCTGTGGAACTTGCCATGAATGATGGTGACGGTTAGAGTTAGGGTTAGGCTCTGGTCGCCACATGCCCAGCACAACCAAATATTTCCTTCCAGTCTTCACCATCATATATCAGGGTTGTAGCTAGCTGTGCATGAGAAGATATGGCTGTTTCTCAAATGGGGAGGAGCCAACAGCTTCTTAGCCCTCTTTCTCTGACTCCCAAGTCTTTGCTCCTGTTAGTACTTTTTTTATTTTGTTTTGGTTTTGTTTTGTTTTAAGACAGGGTTTCTCTGTGGTTTTGGAGGCTGTCCTGGAACTAGCTCTTGTAGACCAGGCTGGTCTCAAACTCACAGAGATCCGCCTGCCGCTGCCTCCCGAGTGCTTAGATTAAAGGCATGTGACACCACCACCCAGCTCTAGTTCTAGATTTTTTTTTTTTTTTCTATGTTTCTGTTCAGGTGTACCTGAGTAATTTTCAGCTGACATTTCTGCAGTACAATTGTAGAATAAGGAAAATGTCAAAGTATCTTGGAACCTCACAGCATTTTAACAAATTATTTTTAGCAAAGTGCACACCGAGCTGGCACGAGGGGCTTCCTTCGGTATGGCTGGCGTTGGAGTTGGAGAACTGCAGTCTTTGTGACCATATTCAAGTAAGTGTTCGGTTATCCAAGAGCTGACTTCATCCTTGGGGTGGAGGGGTAGGGTCTTGCTATATCTCAGACTGACCTAGAATGCAGTGGAGTCTAAGCTGTCTTCAGACTTGTGATTCTCCTGGAATTACAGACATGTCCCGTCATGCCAGCATTCTTCCAGGAGTGCATTATTTGAGCAAGAGGTATTATGAAAATATTTGTAATGGCTTTTCCACTTATGTGTGTGTCCATGTCTGTGTGTGCCAACACCTGTGCCATAGTGTGCATGTGGCGGTCCAAGAACAACTTGGAGGAAGTCAGCTCCCCTTTCACATGCCAGTCCTGGAGATTGAGCATGGGTCAGGCTTGGCAGCCGGTGTCTTTATCCACAGAGCCGTGCCACTGACAGATTATTAAGGTTTTTCTTAATAATCTGTATGTACTTAAGAAATTGGTTCAATGTTAGTTCTGTATCCATGATAGAGCTCTCTAGGGTCAAAAATGGATATAGGTTTTTTTTTTTTTTTTTTTGAGATGGGTGTCTTGCTATGTAGCTCGGGTTGAACTTAAACTCACTATGTTGGCCTCAAACTCAAAATCTAACCCCCCAAGTTCTGGGATTATAGTGTACCACCATGCCTGGAATAGAATCAAAGTTTTGAAGAAAGAAAAATGCCGTAGAGCCCTTCTTTCTAAGTTGATTTTTCTGATTGAATATTTGTCCTAGGAATTTGATTTTATTGATTCATTCTTCTACAGATTTACCTAGAAACCCATAGGCATGTTACTCTAGAGCATGGTGCTGAAGGGGCCTAGACTAGGCCAAGGGTTTAAAATCCAGGAATTTTGTTGTTGTTTCTGGTTTTGGTTTTTGGTTTTTTAAGACAGGGTCTCATGTAGCCCAATCTGGCTTTGAACCTGATGTGTAGCTGAGGTTGAGTTGGATTTCTGATCCTCCTGCCTCCAGATCCCAAATGCTGGGATTAGAGAAATGAGCTACCACATTTAGTCTGTTGTGGTATGGGGACTGAACCCAGACTTTGTGCATGGTAGACAAGCACACTATCAACCGAGCTACCTCGTTAGTCCTAATAGGAAGTTTTAAAACTATCATTTCAATGAAAATAGCAATCAGGAAGGTGAATGGGTGTACTTGGAATAAAATCTTTCCTTTGTCCTCTCTTCTTCACAGCACAGTGAATACTGGACTAACTGTGTATCGAAATAAAAGTACCTTAAGCCATTTTGTCATTGCTGGAGGTAAGGTGTTTTATTCTTGTTCACATTTTAATTTCAAGTGTGGTTTAGGATATATAGGATTATGAATAAGAGCTGTGGAGTTTTTTGATTGGCTTCACACTATATCCTGTTCAACCTTCATATAAAATATGCTTATAAATAGCCTCATAGCTGACCCTTGGTAGTTATTAAAGCAGACAAGGTCTTTGCTTTCATTAACTTTTACCCTTGACTATGGGCAAACAAAATAAAACAAAAACAAACAAAGAAAAAACCCAGCTCCTATGACAGAAAGTAGCAAATAGGTAGGACATGGATGTGACATGGACAGAGTTGTTGAGGCCTTTCAGGGCATTTAGGCTGACACCTGCGGATTGGGAAGGAACAAACTTTAGGGTAGTGGGCTGAAGAGGAGTATCAGGAGGAAATGGATAGAGATGTTCTGCAACAGCAGGCTGATGTTTCATGCACAAGGAAGAGAGACAGTTTCAAGTGAGACTGGGATGTGAAGGAGGAAGGGTCAGATTTTCTCATGGTAAGAGATGGGTTGTATTTAAAGCTCTTTTTCTCTAGTGGTAACACACCATTAAAACAAGCATTAAAAGTAGAGCATAGAGCCATGTGTGGTGACAGATGCCTGTCATCCCTGCACTTGGAACTCTCTGGAGGAGAGCACAGGAAATCTCATATCAGGGAAGTTGTTTAAAACAGTCAGGGACTCCTGACACAGCCAACCCAAGGTTCTGATTTGTTTTGGGTGAACCATAGACTAGTAAACTAGGCTGGCTTTTAATGGTGCTATTGAGGAGACAATAAAACCAGAGGTAGCTACTTGAGAGGCCAAGACAGGAGAATCATTTGAATCTACAAGTTCAAGGCCAAGCCACGAAGCATGTAAAGACACCATATCTTAAAAAAAAAAAAACAACAAAAACATAGAGGGCAATAATGGGGATCTTTGTGTGCTAAGGAGAGACTAGTGTGGGCCTTATCGAGCTAATTTTGTTTGTATGTGAGTTCTTGTGAGCACAGAAAGTAAAAACTAGAAAAGATAATGTAAACTGAGTTTAAATGTGTTTTCCAATCCACAGACAGATTAGTTATCCAAGGGCAGGACCTTTAATTACAACTTACGAGGAGTTTTAATTGACTCTTTCCGGGAAGCTAGACAGGAAAATACAGAGATTTGATCTAGGCAAATTGTGACCTAAAAAGCAGAACCTCAGCCATGTGAGGGACACGGTTTAACCCAGGAGTTGTCAAAACATACTGCTTTATGAGTCCATTTCGAGCTGGAAGTTTTAGCACATGCCCATAATCCAAGCACTTGGGAGACAAAGGTAGGAAGATCAGAAACTCAGGCTCATTCTTGTCTATGTAGAGAGTTTGAGGCTAGCCTGGGCCACATGAATCTTTGTCTCAAAAAGAAAAAAGTTCATTTTCAACAGTAATAGCAACAAGACATGAAAAAATGTGGGATAGAATAGAAATTTCCAACAGGTAGTAGGAAACTATATGTTGGAAAGAGCTGACAAAAGAACTCAAATAATGTCCAATCAAAATGTAATGATAAAGATAGAAAATTTTAAAGTAATCAAATGAAAATAGCTGGTGTTGGTAATACAGTAATAGAAATTAAAATTTCACTAGATGTGGGCTAGGGATAGGACTTAATGGTTAAAATCACTTGCCATATAAAAGTAAGGGACTGGGGGCTGGTGAGATGGCCCACAGGTTAAGAGCACTGCCTGCTCTTCCACATGTCTGAGTTCAGTTCCCAGCAACCACATGGTGGCTCACACCATCAATCATGAGATTTGGTGCCCTCCTCTGGCCTGCAAGAATACATGACGGTAGAATGTTGTATCCATAACAAATAAATAAATAAACCTTAAAAGAATAAATAAAATAAAAAAATAAATAAAAGTAAGGGACTGAGTTCAAATCCTCAGAACCAGTATAAGAGCTGGATACATCTGTAATGCCAGCACTCCTATTGGGATGCCTTGGGGCCCAGCCAGCCTGCTGTAAGCAGTGTGGAAAGACTACAAAGAGACCCTTGTATCAACTAAGTGGAGAGTGAGAACCCATACCTGAAGTTGTCCTTTGAACTTCACATGCATGCTTTGGTACATATGCATTCACATGCATGCGTGTGCACACAAACACAAACATACAAATGTGCATTTGTATGCATACATAAATATTTTTATTGGAGAAGAACTGAATCATAGATTTAAGATAGCAGAGGAAAGAATCAGACAGGCATGATGGCTCACACCTAATCTTAGCAAGTGGAAGGCAAAGACAGGAGGAATATCTCAAGTTTGAATACAGTGTGGCTATAGAGTAAGACTGTATGAAAAACCTTTTGTGAGCCTTGATTTTTTTTACTTTAAAACGCTCCATATTTATTTTGCTTCCCGACTCTGTGTGATGTCTTCAGCACTTTCACAAGTCTCTGCTCTTCACCAGGCAGTGGTGGCACACACCTTTAATCCCAGCACTTGGGAGGAAGAGGCAGACAGATCTCTGTGAGTTCCAGGACAGCCAAGGCTACACAGAGAAACCCTGTCTTGAAAAACAAAAAGAAAAGTTTCTTCTCCCCAATAAGGAGACCCTGCTAAGGACACACTTAGCACACATGGGGCCACTGCAGGCCCTGCTGATGTGCTCTGTTTCACACAGTTGTTCAGGCCATAGGCTGCGTGTCTCAGCTGGTCTTCAGGTTACACCAGAATCTTGAATTTGTAATACCAGTGAGGAAATGGCTTGATAGCCAGGCAAGGGCAAGCAGGCAAAGAGCAAGTTTCCGTCTTCCTGTTCTTATACGGGCTTCCAGCAGAGGCTATAGCATAGATTAAAGATTTGTCTTCCCACCTCAAAGATCCAGACAGAATGGATCTTATTTCAAATTCCCCCACAGGTGTGTCCCTCAGGTTTGGGGTTTTAGTTAATTCCAGATATAGTCAAGTTGGCAACCAAGAACAGTCACCACACTTGGAGACTGGAGAGATGACTCAGCAGTTAACAGCTGATGTACTGCCCTTACCCTCCCAAACTCACATTCCGAAATAAAAATTATTTATAAAATAAAAATGTTCATACCCCTTATCCCAAAATTTCATTTCTGTGAGTTCAATTTAAAGAAGCCATCAAATGTATGAAGATTTATGTGTAAGAGTGCCTTTACTTAAAACATTTAACAAATAGAAAGCTGGTGTTAAGATAAAAATTTGTGGTATGTCCATGCAATAGAATCATGTGGGACACTTTAATATCAAATAATGATAATGGAATTTGATAATATATTCACAGGAAATTAAAAGTTAAATATATAAAACATGTTTCTTAAAAATATTTTATTTGGAGGTATACTCTGATGATACTAAAGTGGTTTTTGTTTTTGTTAATTTAGAAAAAATTTAAGTGAATATATAATAGCTAAATAGAAATATAAACCTCATATTAAACACATAAATTTTTGCCACCTAAGATGACATTAGTGAAGGGGGAAATGGCTGGCATGTATGTAGCACAGTTGGTAGAATGCTTGCTTAGCATGCATGGAACACTGGGTTTATTCCTCAGCTCCACACAGACTCTAGGTGGTAGTACATGGCTGTAATCTCAGCATTCACAGAGGCCAGAGGTTCAAGGTCATCCCTACTGAGTTTGAAGGTCTGGATCACATGAGACCCTGTTTTTATAAAGGAAACGTAAACCAGTGCCCTAGAAATAGAATTGTAGTAAAAAGAGGTGCACTCCTTGTGTTGGCCACCAGGTGGCAACATAGGCTAAATGCTGCCTGCAGGTGTGCCTGATTGCACAGGATAGCAAGCAGTACAGATGGGTGAGGCTGGAGAAGGCATAATCTCCTGGGACTAGTGAAGGGGTTTGTTGCTGCTGCTGTCCCTGAATTTTGGACACATTTGCTTCAAAGAAGAAAGAGGTGAAAGATGTGAGAGAAGGTGAAATGAGGGTTGACTTTTTTTTTTTTTTTAAAGAGGAAATGGGCAAAAAAAAAAAAGTAGAATGGTATGAAAGACTGAAGAGTTATCCTTATTTATTTATTTATTTATTTATTGGTTTTGGTCTCTATGTAGCCCTGGCTGTCCTGGAACTCTTTCTGTAGACCAGGCTGGCCTCGAACTCAGAGATCTACCTGCATCTGTCTCCCAAGTGCTGGGATTAAAGGCGTGTACTGCAACAACCCCCCCACCCCCGCCTCGTGTGATGAGGATATTTAAAAATGTTAAAATATTTTCTTCCTTTGACTGTGGAGTAGACAGAAAGTTACCTTCATGGCTGCCGCTATACAAGTTCATAATGGGCTCAGAAAGCTCACTTAGAGGTCTTTGTTCTTACTGTAAATGCTGGAAGTCTATCATTTAAAGATGATTTAATATTGCCTTTTTTTTTTAAAGCTGTCACAGGAGGTCTTTTCAGGGTAAACTTAGGTATTCGAGGCCTGGTAGCTGGTGGTATAATTGGAGCTTTGTTGGGGTAAGTGTTAACTTGGTTTAGTCTAAATGGATTGTCTACTAAATGTGTTCATTATAAAGAACAGATTTAGTCTGCAGAGTCTTTAAAGATGTATGCCCTGTATTGATAATGGCTTCGACTGTTCAGTTATTTAGGGGATATGAGAGGATTGAACCCATATGCTAGTAAATAGCAAATGTTCTACCTTCTTTTGTTTGCTTGTTTGTTTTGTTTTGTTTTTTGAAACAGTGTTTCTCTGTGTAGCTTTGGAGCCTGTCCTCGAACTCACAGAGATCCACCTGTCTCTGCCTCCCGATCAAAGGCTGGGATCAAAGGCATGTACCACCAACGTCTGGCAATGCTCTGCCTTTTAAAGTTATGAATATGTATTTTTTATTGTTTATGTGTTCATGTGTATGTCTGTGTATGTGCCCAAGGAGTGGTGGGTCCTTTGGAATTGGAGGTCCAGGCAGTTGTGATCTGCCTGATATGGGTGCTAAGACTCAAACCCAGGTCCTCTACAAGAGCAGTAAACATTCTCATCACTGAGACATATCCACAGTTCTGACTGTCCATTTGTTTTATTTATAATTATTACTATATAATTAAAATAGTAAAGAACAACTCAGAGTTAAATAGGATGTATAGTCAAGAATCTTTTTCACTGGGTAAAATATGACTAAACATAACTAATACCTAAAATTACTTGTAATTTGAACAGAAACATTCATAAGGAGCAAGAAAAATGACCAGAAAATTGTTCACATAGGATGTGTGTTTTGTAATGTTTTTAAATTGTATTATTTTATTTAACTGGGTACATATTTAAAGGTTTTCTTCCTTAGCTAAAATGCTGAAAATTTGAACAATTTCAAACCTATAGAAGAGTTGGGTTAATGAGTATATTAAGACCCTATAAACCAGGCAGTGGTGGCACACGTCTTTAATCCCAACACTCTAGAGGCAGAAGTAGGCTGATCACAGTGAGTTCGAGGCCAGCCTGGTCTACAGAGTGAGTTCCAGAATAGCCAGAGCTACACAGAGAAAAAAAAAAAAAAAAGAAAAGAAAAGAAAGCCAAGGGGAGAAAAAAGGCTTTATGTAAAGACCCATATGAGGGCTGGGCATGTAGTTCAGAGACAGCATTACCCAGCATCACAAGGCTGTCAATTCCTAGCACTACTCAAAAATCAAACAAAAACAAGACTCGAAGCCCTCATGTAATTTTTACTTGGATTCACCAGGTGCTGACATTTGCCTATATATATGTAAATATAAATGAAAGATACATTCTTCCTTTCCCTTTTTTTTTTTTTTTTTTTTTTTTTTTTTTTTTGTTAAACCATTTGAGACCTCATAAAATCTCACCCCTAAATATGCCGGCGTGCATCTCCTAGGGTGAACTCATGGTAGAGATATCACAGCAAACATGTTCTAGCTCATCTGTGGAAGAAAGTGTATTCAAAGCCCTTCAGACCCACACCAGTACCACAGTGGTTCTCAGTTGGCTTTGATTAATCTTGCTTTAGGTTTGGGTTAAGTGTTTTTGTCAGAGATGCTGTGTAAGTGCAACTGTGCCCTTGTGCATATCAAATCAAAAGGCATATTATATGCCCATTACAGTAAATGTTAACTTTAGATAGTTGACATACTGGTTTTCATCTGTGTTGGTAAGGATGGAGGTGAAAGCAATCACATGCCCTGTTGACAGGAGCATAAGGTTGTACAGATAAATCACAGTCAGTGTGCAGTTGCCTCAAGTCAGAGTGGTGCTTGCATTGGTGGCACACACCTGTAGTCCTGACACGTAGGATATAAAGACAGGAGTTCAAGGTCATCTTTGGCTACATTGACAGCTTGGACTACATGACAACTTGTCTCCAAAAATAACAGTGCACCAAAACCAAAATAAACAGTGAAACTGAAACTATTACATGATTCAGCTATACCACTCCCTGGTATGTACCTGAATGTATCTGAGTCAAACTGTATAGCTCTGTTTTTCCTCACTGTAAGTCAGACACTCCCTTTCTGTTCCTGGAAGCCACCCACATCTTTCTCATGGGTCATCCATGTTCAGAGTAGTAATACCTCTCCTCATAACTTTGGATCTTCTGCTTTTCTCCAGCCAGAGAAAACAGGTTTTAAAGGGCTCACCCAGATAATCTTTCTGGTTAATTCAAATCTGCAAAATCCATGTTTCCATGGTCACAAGACTCTTTTGTTGTTTTGTTTTCTCACAAGCACTCGGGGTTCTTCTTACATGACTGCAGCAAATTTGAGGAAGCTTTAGGATTCTCCTCTCTCACATTCCAGGGCCCTCTATTCAGCCCTCCATTGCAGCTCTTTCCCATGGTGATTGGGTAGAGTGAGACCTTGTGAACATCTCCCATCCTCTAGTGATTTTGACAGTCTGGTTGACCTGTTGCTCCTTGGTTGCTAAGAAGGTAGTTCTGGCTACTGTTCTGGTTTTCATTAGTTGACATTCTTCTGAGTGAATTACTCTCCCTCTCAGCTTACCCCCCTCCCCCACTTTGCAGGATTAGGTGACACTGTATTTTAGTATTCAGGCATCTGTACTGGCCTGTCCTTGGGGTCCTGACAGGATATGCCCTCAGCTGCAGCCACTATGAGCACCACCTGTGCCTGTTCACTATGTTCCCTTTTAAAAGAGTCCTGCCCACCTCCCATCTTTCCCTCTCTCTCTCCCTTTCTCTGTTCCATTCTCCCTCTCTTTTCCTCCTCTCCCCCCCCCTCTCCCCGTCTTTCCTCTCCCCCTTTCCCCTCTCACTCCAGAGGCCATTCTCCCCCCCCCCCCACTTTTCCCTTTTTATGAGCCCTTTCCCTAATTAAAAAAAAGCCCCTCTGCTTGAACCCTGTCTCCTGTGGCATCCTTCTTTTGCACAATGCTTTTCTTAAATTACAACACTGTAGATTATGGTTTTCTTTTTAGGAGGGTGAGAGGTTTGAGATGCTCTGTAGGCTAGGCCTTGGTATCTTCTACTTTCTGAATGCTGAGGTGATAGGCATGAGTCACCTTGCCTGACTAGATTTATGGATTTTATTTTGCAGTTTTTTTTTAAGTTAACAAAATTCAGTTTGTCAAAACACACTGCTAACATTTATTTATTTATTTTTTGAAGTGTTACTATATTATTTTACTTTGAAGGGGAAAATTGTTGAAGCTAGTGGGAAAATTTTTTGTAGGTAGAGTCACTAGCTCAGGCTAGCCTTGAGCTCCTCATGTAGTCAAGCCTGACACTGAACTTCGGCTCCTCCTGTCTCTACCTCTGTAGCACTGAGTTGTGTTCTTCCTGGGTTTTTGCAGTGCTGGGGCTAGAACCCAGGGCTGTGTGCATGTTAGGTAACCCCTCTACTTGTGTGGTCATCCCGGCAAAAGTTTTTGTCATTATAGTTATATATGCAACATTTATCATCTTGACCATGTTTGCTCGTTTTTAAAATTAGCATACATTGAAGCATAATTCTTATTGATTCTCCTCTCCTGTTTTTTTTCCACACTTTAGCCATTTTTAAGTATGCAATTAGTAGTGTTAAGCATATAAATATTATACAGCACCTCCAAATGTTTTTGTCTTGTACCTGAAACTATATTAAATTATAATTCTTTCTACCACTTCACCCAACTACTGACAGCCTTCTTTCTACTTTCCATTTTCTATAATTTTGACATACATACTGGAATAATACAGTATTTAATGAATGGAATCACATTTTGTTTTTTTGTAACTGCCTTATTTCATCTAGTATAACATACTTGAGATTTAATTATGTTGTAGCATGTAATGGTTTCCCTTTTATTGTTTTTTTGTTGTTGTTGTTGTTTTACTGTTGTTGGTTTTTTGTTTGTTTGTTTGTTTTGAGACAAGATTTTTCTGTGTAACAGCTCTGGCTGTCCTGGAACTCACTCTGTAGACCAGGCTGGTCTTGAATTCACAGAGATCTGCCTGCCTCTGCTTCTGCCTCTGCCTCCCAAGTGCTGGGACTAAAGGCGTGAGCCACCACCGCTCGGCTTGTTTCCTTTTTTAATGATGCATAATTCATCCCCTCTCCCTCCTGGTGACATTTTCTTTTACCATTCTAATGTTGTAGTTTTAGATTTCTTTTGTTTAGTTTAAAAAAAAAAATCTTTAAATGAGATTAAAGTTCTAGCCAGAAAGAATTTTACATATATCAAAGTCAAAACTTTTTTCTTGTGAGGACACAGGAAAGAAAATTCTGTTTGTCCCTATGATAATTATCTAAATCAGTTTCTTTTGTGCACATATATGTGCTTTTGTATACACGTGCATTTGTGTTCATGGGTGTGGAAGCCAGAAATAAGTGTCCAGTGTCTTCCTTAGTCACATTCCACCTTACTAATTTTATTTTTTTATAGTACCTACAACCTAGGGCCTTGCACATGATAGAAAGGGGATTTATACCACTAATCTGCATCCTTAGCCCCATATACTTTCTTTTTAAGATGGAATCACTCACTGAACCTGGAGCTCACAGATTGGCTGGACAGGGCAGTGAGCAGGCCCTAGGGGTGCTGCCACACCTAACTCTTAATTGTGTTCTCTGGATGTAAATTCAGGTTGTTATGAATGAAAGGCAAGCACTTTACCAGCCCCTAAAGAAGTTTCCTTTTGTTTTTCTTAAAAGATTCATTTATTTTTATTTTATGTATACGTATGAGTGCTGCATGTATATATGCGCATTACGTTTAAGCCTAGTGACCTCGGAGGCCCAGACAGGGCATGGAGTCCCTTAGAGTCAGAACCACAGCTGGTGTGAACCAAACCTGTGTCCTCTGCAAGAGCAGCAAGTGCTCTTACTGCAGCACCATCTCTCCATGCCTCAGGCCATCTCTTCTCTTCGTGTCATGGCAGCTGTCAGTTATAGCAGACCTAGAATATAAGATGTTTTGATGTGTTTCTCAAAGCGAATAACATCTTCCTCCCAACAAACCCCCATCTCCTTGTCCTCCAGGGGCTGGTACAGTCCTGAATGAACTACTCATTTCTTTTTGAGAAGTCTCTAGTTTGGAGCGGTTTACTTGAACTGGTCATAAATAGGTATTTACCCCTTTGTCTTGGTTTATTTCTTATTCATGATTTAAAAAAAAAAAAAAGGTCAGGCAGAGGCAGGTGGATCTCTGTGAGTTCGAGACCAGCCTCGTCTACAGAGCAAGTGCCAGAATAGGCTCCAAAGCTACATAGAGAAACCCTGCCTCAAAAATAAATAAATAAATAAATAAATAAATAAATAAATAAATAAATAGAACCCAATTCTGTATTTGTTACTGTTTTATACTAGTCAAGGAAGCTACCGTAATTGTTTTTCTTTGTTGTTCAGCCCAGGAGGAAAATGGCCTCAGTATTTGTTTGTTTGTTTGAAAGAAATGTTTTAAGTTATCAGATGCTTCTGTGTCTGACCGTGGGTGAGCGCTGTGCCATTGATGAGCAAGGACACCCCTGTGTCGTGCAGGCTAATGACTTCCTCCTTGAACTTGCTGTGTTCCCCTCAGTACGCCTATGGGAAGCCTGATGATGGCACTGCAGAAGTACTGTGATGAGACAGTTCAGGAGAGAAGACAGAAGGACCAGAAGGCACTCCATGAGCAGAAGCTGCAAGAGTGGTAAGGAGCCTGTGAAGACCGCTAGTCGGACTTCCTAGCACAGCCCATGTTATGACCCAGGGGTCCTTCCCAGATGTCACTTGATTCAAAGAAGACTTTGATTTACTGAGTCTTTCCAATCTTCTATCTGTATTGTCTTTTGAATCTGTTTCATTAAGGGACTGGGAAAATGAAAGATACTAATTTTATTTTTAATCTGATCAGGATCTTTCCTTAGGTCTGTCTGTCCTTCTTTCCTTTTTTTCTCTTGTGACTCAAAATGTTTAATTATGGTTACTACAAGAACATTGGTAAGTAGTTGTTTATAGGAACATGACCAACTTATGACTGAACAAAGTATCTTCTGCTTTCCCAGTAGACATTAACTGCCTATAAATAAATACTCAGGGATGGGCCGAGCCTCCCGAGCCCCTCTCTGGTCCATGAAGGAATGCTGACATCTGGCCTTGTGCAGGTCTTACATGGGCATTACAGCTGCTCAGGGTTACAAGGATGTGGCTAACTCATGCCTAGAGGACAGTGTCCACGGCATCCTAGTTCCTCCAGCTCTCACAACCTCTGCCCTCCTCTGTTTTATTCCTGAGCATTGCAGGGGAGATGTAGCTGTGTACTTGTATTTCTAAAATGTCTGGGAGCTGAGGCAGGGTGATCACTGAGTCCCAGGTCATCTTGGTTTATGTAGTAAGACTTGGTCTCACAAAAAAAAAAAAAAAAAAAAAGAAAGAAAGAAAGAAAAGAAAAGAAAAGAAAATGTTGTATGCTAAGTATCCACATTTGAAATTTTACTTCTTAATATAGACGAAGAACTGAAGTAGATAAAATAGCTGTTTGTGGATGGGATGCCACTATGGAACACGAAGTGTCTGCTTCTTCTCTATCATCATTTCATATGCTACAGTTTTGTTTTGTTTTTCAGTGCTGGAGACTTACTAGAACCTTCTCAGTGCATACACGTACTCTACCACTGAACCAAATCTCCAGGCACATTTTCATTTTGAGACAGTATCTCACAAGTTGCCCAGCTGGCCTCTGAACTTGTGATCTCTTTTGTCAGCCTCCTACTAGCTGGGATTCCAGGACTGTACCAACAGGCCTGGATCGGTGCTCTCCTATGTGGTGGTGGCACTGACGCCTGACTCCAGACAGTACAGGCTCCACCTGGCTGCTGCCATCTAGCACTCTTGAAGTGGGAATGCTTATCAGGGTGCAGTTCCTGGTGTCTGGAGATGAAATCTGCTGTCGCTGCTGCTGCTGCTGCTTTTCCTCCTCCTCCTTTTTCTTTTTCTGTTTTGTTTTGTTTTGGTTTTTTGTTTGTTTGAGACAGGGTTTCTCTGTGTAGCCTTGTCTGTCCTGGAACTCACTCAGTAGACCAGGCTGGCTGGCCTTCAACTCAGAGATCTACCTGCCTGTGCTGATGCTTTTCTGATTGGACATATAAGCAGTTTTTTCTATGTATTTTATTAGAATTTTTTGTGTTTTACACACACACACACACACACACACACACACACACACAAATGACATTTGTGGTAGCTCTACATAGATCTCTTCCCTAGGACTTAAATGCTATAGGAGAGCAAAGCATTGGTTTGGAGCCAATAAAACCTTGAAAAGTGAGCTTAAACCTCAGCTTGACATAAATTAGACTTGGTTTCATTGTTTGAAAGTCTCAGAGTGTAGCCCAACCTAGCCTCAGAGTCTTTAACAGTCCTCCTGCCTCAGTGTCTGAGTACTGGGATTATAGGAATGTGCTACCACTAGGATATGAGTCAGCTGTGACCTTGCTTTCACTAACTTTAAGTCCTCAGTTTCTCCAGCTGCTTTAGGGACAGAATTTATTCTAATGCTCTGCATTCCTTGTTGTTGTGTATCCTCTTCATGTTAAGAGGGCATGTGGGGCATATGGTATCCAGGCTCTAGAATGAAGCACTTCAAATTCTAAGTGGCAATGTAAAATTAATATTGTGAATTATTAAAATCATGGAAACATCAATTTTAGTGCCCTAGATGTCATGCAAGCCTTCTTTTTAAAAACAAAGCTTTAAGAGAATTGTTAGAAAGGGAAGGTTGTGGCTATATAGTTATAATACAGAACATTATGAAAGAATTAACACTTGGGGGAAATATGAACAAATAATGATTATATTCCAGTTTAAAAAGAGGGGGAGAAAAAAAAAACAAAAAATAAGAGAGGTTTGTCAGTGACTTGAAGATGGAGAACCTTGAGAATGTACAAAAGCAATAATGTAAAATATAGTAATGAAGGAGTTCTTCAACCAAGAGAAATAGTGTTTCAAATGTAGGAGCTGGAGAAACAGTACTGGCTGCTCTTCCAGAGGACCTAGATTTGGTTCCTAACATCCACATGGCAGCTTACAATTGTCTGTATTTCCATTTTGAGAAATCTGATACCCTCTTCTGGCCTTTGCAGGCGCCAATAGGCATACATGCAGGCAAAACACCAATACACATAAAATAAAATGTAAAAAATTTTGAATGTGTAGCTTCCACCTATCATAAATATGTGTATGGTATTTCTAAGAAGAGTCAGTTCAAATGTTTGTCACTTTTATGTGTCAGCCTCTGTGCTTGAAAATAATATAGACAAATAAAAGTTTTTAAAATTATCCTAGCAGAAAATATAAGAGACTGGCCATAGAGTTATAGAAAAATGGTCAAATTTGATTGGGTTGACACTTAAGATATGGGTAACCTTGATAATTAAAGATACTGAGATTCTATTTAGGAAAAGGGCTGATCTCTTAGAAATTAGAGCCTACTCTTCATCAATATGTATCTGTAGAGTTGCCTATATGATGTCTTCATGATGTGAGACAAGATCTGGTGAGAACCTTTACACAGTGGCAGGGGCTCACAGCCCCTGAGTCTGAAGGGCAGGAGGATGGCCCAGTTTAAAATGTAAACTTTAGCATTCCACTCCCATTCATCACTTGGGAGAACCACAGGATGCAGTGCCCCAGGTCATGTTAGGTGTCCAGTGTCCATTTTAGTGCTATGGAAATCATGGTTGGACTGAAGGTGGAGCGGGGTAGGAGAAGAAAGTCTCTGTATTGTGCAAAGACTGGTATTTGCTTATCAGTTGTCATACCAAAGCAGGGAGGGTGTGACGGAGATTGCCCTTTTTTTGAAGTCTGTAAGGCAAGTGTGGAAGCAGAACTTGATAGTGTTTATCTCTTGATTGTAGGAGAAGAAAACTGCAACTCACCGAGCTCCTCCCTGAGGAAATTGAATCTGGCTTAGAGAAGATTCGGCCTGAGGAAAATGCTCAGAGAATCCAGGAGCTGCTAAACCTCCCTAGGAACCCTCCACCGCCAGATAAACCAAACAAAGACTGAATAGAGGGCTCTGTGTGTGTAGGAATGCCAGTGCCGGGCAACTCCTTGTGAACCTGACAAATGTGAGTGCTGGCACCTGTGGTAGCAGTGACTTGCCTCTTACCTCTTCTCTCTTCAGATCAAGAATTAGGCAACCAAAGCTGGGTACCACACTGTAATCCCAACTGCTTGTAAGGCTGAGAAAAGAAGATGATATGAGGCCAGCTTGAGCTACATAATGAGACCCTGTCTCAAAAATATATACCTGCAAAAAACACAACAGATACAAAAACAACCCAAAGAATTGGGTTACATTTCCCTATCGATACCGATCATTGATCCATCTGAACACTTACATTTCCCCATCTTACTAGATTTTATACAAGTAAAATATTTCCCAAAAGAATAAAATTGGGTTGTCTGGATTGCCTATTCAGTCCCCAGTCTTTTAAGAATGTTCTCTTGGAGTGACTGAAGAGAAGGGACTAGGTCAAGGAAATGGCCTGTGAAATCATCTTCCTTTGTACCCTTCAAATAGTGTGGGCCTCAATGCATTTAGCTTCATTTTAATAAGAATAAAAGGTGATTCCTGTGCGAATGGAACATGATTTAACAAAACGGAAGCAGGTGGGTATTGTTAGAGACGCAGTCCAGCGTCGTTTCCTCTCCATCACTGCTGACAGCATCTGTGCTGAAGTGTGCAGAAGAGGCTCAAAGGAGATGTGCCATCCTACACCAAGGAGCTGGCTACCTGAGAGAAGCCATCCTACAGATTTCAGCTCTGGGCAAATAGGGAGGAGACAAAAGACAAACTACGTGGGCAGCACTTCTCGGGGCTTTGTTTTTGCTTCCTTCAGTTCTAGTTGCACGCAGTTAATTTTGGTCTGAAAAATATTAAATGGAAGATTCCAGGACTAGCAGTTTCTAAGTTTTTAAATTTTGTGCCTCTCAAGGTTGAATGATAAAATCTCACCCTATACCTCCTGAGACAGAACATATTCCTTTGTCATTCCCCACTCTGTATCTGTCCATCTGTCACTTAGTCTTGGTTATCTAATTGAGTCTGTGGACAGTGCTTGTGTAAAATAATGGCATTGAATAATGGCTCCAAAAGTGTGGGTAGTGCACTAAGACAGGCTCACGGTGTGCCCTTTAAGGGAAAAGGTGAGCATGGCTGCCATGTTTAGGACCATGTACTGTGGATCAGATGGAGGGAAGAAACTGCTAGCTAGCATTTAAAATGGAGTTGTACTCACTCTTGGAAAGTTGGTTCTACTCTGAAGCAAGGTCTGTAAGAACGGTGTAGTGCAGTAGCTAAAGCTAAGGCCTCCAGGAGCAAATCACTTCCTTTCTGTTTCAGCCCTGAGTGTAGCAGCTGTGTGACTTAACTGCAAAACCATTGTATGAACCTGGAGTCTACCACATACTAGACAAGCACTCAGCCAGTGAGCTCCACCCTCAGCCCCTCAGATTTTCCACTAATACTAATTAGACACCTGAAAGTAGATATTTAAGTAGAGATTATTTGAGTTTATTGTTAAGCATTTCATCCTTGACATACTACTTCCCAAATCCTGGCTTCCTGAGGATGAGGACTGGTCATCTAAAAGTTCTTAGCAGAGTAGAGAACAGGCACTTTCAGTTTTCATTGGAAAGCCTTTTATGTGTTTCCCCGCATCCTGAGATTTGCTCATCGAGCAAATTCATCACATGAGGAGGGGCTTGAACTGCAGTTTGTAGCTCGTTTGGTCAGAGTTACTGGACAGCCTTTGGGGGATCTGATGGAGTAGAACTGTTTCCACTCCAAAAGTAATTGCTTCCTGTCTGGCAGGGAGAAACTCCCACAACTGTGGGGGCTACAAAAGTCTTTTGTGTTGATAAATGGGTGAGAGAAGGGATGTGTGTGTGGGAATTTTTTCCATTAGATGATATTAGATGATAATAAATATTCATAGCTGTAAGGATATAAAAGCCTCTGCACTGGTTTCTTGGCACAGTGAATTATGTGTTAGAGCCATTCTCATAAACCATGTCTTTCATAATTACCCCCCTTGTAAATTGATGACAAATTTCAACTAGTCATTCTATTCGGTGTTTTACGCATGCACACACACATAGGCGAAATCTTTAAAGTAAAAAAGCATAAAACTAGAGTCGCTTTTAAAAATCATTTTACTTTTAACCTAAAAATACCTGTGTAATAAAATTAAAGTATAGCTCTTAATGTTTATCAAATGTAGTAGTCAGTAATTTAATCCAATTTGCTTCTTAAGTTGTCCCATAGATTGTTCCTTTTTTTATCACTTAAGTCTCTTTTGAGGTCTCATTTGCTTAGCCTAATGATCTTTGTCTTAAGTAAATGCAGCTGCTCCCCCCTGCTTTTGTTTGGTTGCTTTCAAAGTTTTGTCGGCTTCTTGCCAGTCCACTGCTTTTATCTTCTTTGGTGACTTGTTCTGAGAGCAGCCCTATGAAAATGGACCCGTTTCTTGGACAGTACAATAGAACCTGGCCTCATTAGAGCTCTTAAAAATTAAACATCCCGCCACATTGAGAGACTTGGCTGTCTTTTGATGTCCGAGTCCAGATTTTTAGACAAGAATATCTCATTGCTTTGACCTAGATCACTTCTGACCTAGTTAGCTGTAGATGACAGTTTCAGAGAAAGGGGAACTTTCAACATGGAAGCAGCACTTGGCCACGTCTTGTCTCCCCTTCCTTTGGTGGGCGGGGAGGGAGTTGTCTTAGGGTCTTACTATGCAGCCCATGCTGCCTGGAATTCAATCCTCCTGCCTCAGCCTCCTGAGTGCTGGCATTACAGGTGTGTGCCACTGTGCCTAACTGACTTATTGCTTCTCAGTTTTCCATTGGTAGCAGATCTATCAATACTAAGGGGCAAAAGCTTCTTCAAGGAATCTAAGAAATTCAATGGAAAGCTAGTATCACCTCATTTATGTGAGGACAAATTGCTGCTTAGTAAATAATCTCATTTTAAATGAGAACTTTCTCAAGCATTATATAAAAGGGAAAACTAGCCTAAGGAGATTGCCAGTCCAATATGAACTAGTAGACTATGAACTATGCCTCCAACCTGACTTCTGCTTTGAGGTATGAAAGACATATATTCATCTTAGATGTCTGGAAAAATTCATGTTTGATCATTCTGTTTTCTCTTGAACTTGAGAAAAATGAAAGGAAAAATACATGAAAAAATGCAGACTGAAAATTCTAGTATTTTTATTACCCTTGTATGGGTATACTTACCAAGATATTTCCTACAAATTACACTAGGCCCAATAGGCCTTAAAAAAGAAACAGCTGGGCAGTGGTGTCACATGCCTTTAATCCCAGCACTTAGGAGGCAGACAAGTGGATCTCTCTGAGTACAAGGCCAGCCTGGTCCACAAAGTGAGTTCCAGGACAGAGAAACCCTGCCTCCAAAAAACAGACAAACAAAAATCCCCCAAACAAAAAAGCACCCAGGGCCCATAGATACTAAGCAAATATTACCAGCATTTTAAATTAGTCTGTCTAAGAGCTTGGAGCTTAGGTTGGAGCTTAGGGTCTAACTGATGTAGGTAAAGAACAATAGAGCCAGGAAATCTGGATTCTGACTTGACTTCAAAATTCAGGTCTCCTCGTGGAGCCTCAGTGTCTTCATTAATACAACTAGTGTTCTACCAAGTGTGGTAGCTCACACCTGTAATTCTGGCACTAGTGCAGGAGGATTGCTACATGTTTGAAAGCTGCCTGGGCCACATAGTGACCTTGAGCAACAGAGTAAGACTGTCTCTAAACTACTTTTTCAAGATCAGCAGGGCTGCTGTGGTATGAGTTAAATTCCCTGGTCTTCTGCAAAACATTGCAGAGGCTTCTTCACCTAGAGAACAGATGTTTGCAAGGCACAGTTGGGCAGTCTTAAATTTCTGAAGACGTTTATGGAAGAAGCCAGTTGCAAATGTAGGTGAGACCTGAGGAAACAAAAGAAATAAATGATATTTCAACCCTGATTTTTGAAGAGAGATAAATATTATGCTTTAAATCTCAAGACCAACTATATACTTAATTGGAGGTAACATAATAGATATTAATCTTGATAACTAAAAGTCATATAAAAATAGCCTAATTTTTCTTACATGAAATACAGTAAATCTTCACCAAGCAAATGTTTGTTAAGTACCATGACTCCAACAACCACATATTGTTGCTGCAGACAGTCTGCTTTGTGTGTGATAAAGATATGCCAGACATTGTTGCTTTTTTCAGTAAGCCAATGGCCTAGAAAACAATGTTATTCAGGGCACATGAGTGTTTGGGTGCCAAGTAGTATATGGTGTGTACCAAAGTCCATATATGGAGCTTCAGAATTCAACAAGACAGCATAGAAGGCAGTGTGTACAAAGTGGATTCCAGAGTTGGTTGTGAAGTACAGCATATGGGCAGGGAGGTATAAGTTGGGGAAACTTCATCACAGAATAGAAGGGGAGGAATATTGTGAAAAAGGCATTCTAAGAAAATAGGAGATAATTTGAGACACTGCTTTGGGAAACATACAATTAGGCTTCTATGGAGTAGAGTAGCAGGAGTAGCAGTCATATAATTTGATGATTGGTTTCTTTTTCATCTGTATGATGATTATAGTCTAGGTGAAATGATCTCCCAAAGGCTCTTGTGTCAGAAGCCACGGGATGCTAAGGAGTTTGACCTAGTCCTAATAGGACATTGCTGGAGATGGTGGAAAGTAGATGAGGCAGGTTACTGGGGACCATGGCCTGGAATGATGTCTCTTGCTCTTTGCTACATCTCCTTTCTTTCTTCTTCCAGCTGCAGTGAAGAGAGCTGCTCTGTCCCAATGCCCCTTCACCATGACACTCTGCCTCCCATAATAGTGGGACCAAGGAGGAACAAACAGGCCAAACTTCTCAACCTGAGATCCTCAGACTTATCAGCCATAAAAGGAAATAGATAGATCTTGAATATATAAATTTTTCATAAGATGAAATAGTGACTGTAAAAATTGGATGTTATTTATAATTTTCTATAATTTGTTGTTTTGTTTTAAGAAACAGTCTCACTATTATAACCCTACCAGTCCTAGAACTCACTATGTAGACTTAGCTGGCCTCAAACCTGTAGTAGTGTTCCTGCCTCTGCCTCTGCCTCCTGAATGCTGTGTGCCATCACTCTCAGTTCAGCCTCACATTTCAAAGTACCAATGTTCTCTGACATAAAAGATGTTGGGGTATAGGGGGACACAGATTTGATTCATGTTAACTGTTATTTTCACAGAAGTTAATATTATACTCACTCCACTAACTGAAAGAGCATTTAGGACTTTAATTGTCCTATTTTATGTGTAGTCATAGGACCATATCCAAAACGTTAGTTTTCACTTGCTGGCACCTAATAATTTCATATGAAGTGACTGGAAACCATGCCACAGAAAAACAATGAAGAGAAATGAAGACATTTTCACTGTAGAGAGCTAAAGCTATAGGCCCTAGGTCCTGGAGTGAGTTTCTGAATGGGAAAGGACATAACAGAATAATTTTTTAAATGAAATTTGGCTCAAGTGATTTTTCAGGAGGAAGAGTTGTCAGTGTGAAGGAGAGAGCTCAGACAATGTTGCTGTGTCTGTACAAAACCCAGAGTTGTGTTCATCAATAGTGAGAGGTGCCAGGAGAAATTGACATTCAGAATAGGAAATTGGTCAAGAATTTCACTTCAGGAACTCAGATCAGTGTGTTATAGTGTAAGATACTGAACTGGCAGACAGCAGGGGAACACACCAAGATGGCAGAAGGGCACAGCAAAGGAATAAGTCAGATAAGAAAATGTCATGTATGGAAAAAGGAAAGGGATCCTGAGCTCCTACAGTCTGACTAGTCTTTGAGGTCATAAGAGTTCAGATTTGGTGTCTAGCCTAGTTGAACTTCTGTTCCTGTGGTGATGAAACACTGACCCAAAGCAACTTGGGGTGGAAAGTTTCTTTCAGCTTACAGCTTACAGTTCATCATTTTGAAGTGAGGGCAAAATCTCAAGCAAGAACCTGAAGGCTAGAACCATGGAGGAATGCTGCTTAGTGGCTTATTCCTCAGGGCCTGCCCACCCTGCTTCCTTAGGCCACCCAGGACCACCTGCCCAGGGATGGCACCACCGAGTGGGCTGGGCTCTCCCACTTCCATCATCAATCAAGAAAGACCACACACTTGTTTACAGCCTGATGGAGCCGATTGCTCAATTAAGGTTTTCATAGATGACTCTAGCTTGTGTCAAGCTATCAAAAAAAAAAAAAAAAAAAAATCTAACCAGCACAATTGATCCCTTGCCAATCTCTGTTAAATAAAAATACATCTCTGTTAAACCATAACCATTCTTGTTTATCCCTGAGAGCTCATGTTAATATGACTACATAAAATGTTGTATGGCTTAAAAAAAAAAAAGTCTGACCACCTTAAAAAAAAATTCAAACACTTTTAAAGTATAGTCTTTAAAAATTCAACATCACTTTGAAAGTCCAAAGTCTCTCTACTGTGGGTCCCCAATAAAAATTAAAACTAGGATATATTTGAAAAGAGCAAGGAGAGGTATATGGGAGGGTTTTTAAGGAGGAAGTAGAAGAGGGAAATGATGTAATTATAATCTCAAAAAAAAAAAACTAAGATACAATTATAGTCAGATAAAAAGCAAAGTCAAAGTTTATCAGCAAGAGTGTTCAGTGTTCAGCATCCTGGACTCCCTCATGATCGTCTGGGCTCCAGGGAGCTTGAGCAGCTCTGGTTCTCAGGCTCTGCTCTCTACAATTCATGGAGCTCACCTGGTAGAATCAGGTCAGTCCTGCTCTACACATGCTGCTGTCTTTGCTTGACATTCCAAGGTCTGGTATCTCCAATACCCTAAGGGTATCACTGCAACTAAACCTTCTCTTTCCCAGGTGGCCTCTCACAAGGCCAAGCCTTAGTTGCTATCTGTAACTTCATGTTTTCAAAACCAGTCCCAAAACCAGACTCTCAGACATTACCAAGCTCGCTACCAGGTTGAGATGCATACAACATCGACCCCCATGGACCACAACATCTGTGTACTGAGCCCAAGGAGGAAATACTTTCCAGATTTTACCTCAGTGATGCTGGTCTCTTTATCAAAGTTTTAAGCCCCAGCTAACCAGCATCCATTGTCCCAGTTCCAAAGCTCTACTTTAGTGGTGTGGACTTCCTGTCAACCACAGCTGATTTCTCAGCCCCAGCAGGACAGAGACCACATATTCTTTTTTTTTTTTTTAAAAAAAAAAAAAAAAAACTTTTTATTGATTTTTTGTGGATTTAGTGTCATGCATCCCGATCCCATTTCCTGTCCTTTTGTATCTGCCCTCTGCCCTCGCAACACCCCCCCTCATAAAGTAAATTAATAATTTTAAAAAGGCAAAATGAAAAAAATCTCTTTATGGAAGCTGTAGTGTGTCACAGTGAGTCACACTGTATATCTTCTAAGCCATACATCTTTATTTGCAAGCGTTCATTGCAATGAGGTTCGAAGCCTCTGGCTTCTGCTGTACCATCAATAGTAGATCCTCACTTGGGCTCCTCTTGGATATCCTGTTATTGCCCTGTGTTAGGGAGATCCTGCAGCTTTGGATCTGCAGGATCAGCTCCTTTGCATGCTCCAGCAGTCCATTGATGGGGTAGATGTTGGGGCAGGACAACTCATAGCAATGGATCTGGGTCTGGGTGGTAGCTGAGTTTGGTGATCCCAGCAGCTCTGTGGCAACCTCATCACCATAGTGAGTGTTCCAGCACTGGCCCAGCTAGCTCACCCAATGACACAGGAAGAAGGTGTTGGGTCAGTTCTCTTGCTCTCATGCGCTTGGGGCCAGCTCTACTGAGCTTCCCAGGTGAGGTGTAGGAACTGCTGTCCTGAGTGTTGCAGCTGGTGAGGGGAATGGCCAGCTCTCCCACCTGCCACACGTAGCACGGAGGGGAGGGTATCTTTACCTTGCCAATGTCACCACATGGCAGATGATGGGAGGCACAGCTTACCCAAGCTCTGCCCCCCAACAGAGTCAACCCTGCTATACTACCCAGGTGAAGTGCAGGGCCCACTCTCCTGTGAAAGACAGAGCCAATTCTCCAGCTCCCATGACGTCAGGGTTAGCTCTCCTGCCTGCCATAAGTGGCAAAGGTCAAGTGGTGGAGAGAGCATCTTTCCCTCGCCAACACCACCGCATGGCAGATGAAGAGAAGAGCCAGTTCTTCCTAGGGCTGCAGCCAGTGAGGGGCGGGGCTGACTCTGTGCAGCTCTTGGATATCAGCATGATCCCAGTTGGCAGTCCAGATCAGGGACATCCATGTAGATTTTGTAGTGACATGGGCCATGGGCATTGACACAGACCCCTGCTGCTTCATGGCCCTCAGTGGCAGCATGGGCCAAGACTTCACCATGGCCTCAGGTGGCTTCACAGGTTACTCATGTGAGACTGTTCCCCTCCACGTTTGTATCTCCAGAACTGCCATTCTTCATAGTGCTCAAGCTGTTCTGCTTCTCATTCTCTCCCATCTCTCCAGCCCATACTTACACACTGTAGTAGCCATACATTGGGCAGGGTCTCTGGTGTCTTCTTCCTGCCCACTCTGCACGGCAGGCGGAGTCTCTGAGTGTCTTCAAGTGTTTGTCCAACCCAAAGCTTCCAAAGGAAATAAATCTCTGGCCAAAGTTAGGTGCAGCATGGTAAAACTGTAACTCAACTTCTAGTCTCAAGGTTGAACTGCCAGCGCAACCATAAAAATTAGCTGATAGGCTAATGACGAGAAGAAAACACAGCAGGGCATGTCTAGTCAGCTGTGGGTCTCCAGTCTGCAGGTAATGCTTGTCTTCCTGGGCAAGGATGCAGCTCTGAGAGTCACAGCAACTCATACAGTGGTTGGTTTTCTCAAGGAAGAAGCCATAGGCCCACTCATACTTGTGTTTATAACTGGCAGTGTAAATCACTTTTTCCCAAGGAACAAAGTTCTCCACAACCTGTTTGCTCTCTTTCTCTCCCATCACTTTACTATTTACTTACTTCCCACCATGCTCAGATGGGCATCACCCCACGGTATTGTCTTGGTACTTTCCAATGCTCCCAGGCCTTTTGTGGGCCAGGTCCAGGCCTCTGGTTATCAAGGTGCTTCCTGGCATCCAGGTTCTGTTTCTTGATGATTCCACAACCTCCTCTCTTCAAGGTGGTCCTCTCTTGGTCCTGCCTCACCAGTCTGGAGGAGACATAGAGGCCCTAGCCAAATCTATAGCTGCTAGAGCTGCCACTGAGAGCCCAAAACATGATGATCAGGCCCTAGTGGCCACCAGCACCATCTTGATTCTCAAGACCACATATTCTTAACACAAATATATCAAACAAAAAGATCCTGGTAGAATGTGTGAGAGACTCTCAGACTTCCCTGTGAAACTTCACAAGCTAGGCATTCAGCATTTTCATTTATCTTAATACTCTTATTTCCCAAGCTCTACAGAACATTCCATTGAGCATTAAGCATCAATGGCTTTTCCAGATTTCTAATCACTTCCACAGTCCTCCCCAAAACAACACAATCAGGTCTGTCAGTACAACACCCTACTCCTGGTACCAATTTATGTCCTAATTAGGTTTCTGTTACTGTGATAAAATACTGAAGTAAAGCAATTTTGGGGAGGAAAATTCATCTTATAGATTAGTCCTCCTCATCAAGATAAATCCGAGTAGAAACTCAAGCGGAAAACAAAGCAGGAATTGATGCAAAGGCCATAAAAGGTTGCTACTTATTGGCTTGCTCCCCATCATTTTCTCATTCTCCTTTCTTATACCACCCAGGATCACCTGTTCAGGAATGGCACCAGCCATAGTTGGCTGGGCCCTCCCACATCAATCATCAAGAAAATGCCCAACAAACTTGCTTGCAGGCAACATGATGGAGATAAATCCTCAGGTAAGGTTTTCTCTTCTCAGTTAACTCTATCTTGTGTCCAGTTGTCCAAAAGGTTAGCTAGCACACTGCTGAAAGGAAGATTGTACCTCATGATCCAATTATACCATGTATACCACATGTGTAGAGAAGAGCTTAAGGAAGGCAGATGGCTACCTTCAGACATTCTGTCCAGTTGATGCTTCTGCAGGCCCTAGGTAAATGCCATTGTTTCCTCTTCTGCTTGCCTTTTTCCTTCTTGTGAAACATCCTTGAAGATAAGCATAAATCATAACAACAGATGAGGATCCCATATGTCATGCCTGCATGTTTCAGCAAGCCTTCCTAATATTATCTTACATCTGCACTATGGTTCTTGAACCAGGAGTTTCTAATACCACCTCACCCCTCATCTCCAGAGACATTTGGTAATTCCTGAAAGACATGTTTTGTTTTCTGAAAGATGAGGAAGCTTCCTCTTGTGAACATCCCATATATAGTAACCAAGTATTATTTGGCTCCCAAATGCCAATACTAGTGGTGGTGAGGGTGACAGATTCCAAACTAGAAAATAGATTAATTTGTATTAGAAACACTATGAGCTCACTAAGCTTTTATATCCTACCCTTATGGTGAACTTCTCATAGCATAGAATCTGGTGACCTCTATCTGAGCTTTCACCTGTTTATGTTTATGTGTGCTGAGGGTTATAAAGTCAGCAAATGTTGATCTTCTAATTTCATTTGCTCAGTGTATGAGACTCCTAGTCTAGTTGATACCTTCTGGGTGATTATAGCTGTAGGTCTGAAATAGAAAGCCCTCTTCCATCATTCTCTGAGACTGAGGGCAGACCATGTATAAGGCCCCAAATTAAAAACCTATAGTGTCCTAGACATCTCTTCTAACCAATTACAGCCTCTTTGATACAAAAATATTTTGAGGAATTGGGGATTGGTAAAAACAAACAATCAAACAAACCACTTATGGCATCTAGCTTCTCAGGTCTTAGTGACTTCTCCCAAAAACATGTTCTTTTCCTCCAAATCCAAAGGTGAGAATGTCAGTCAGCATTAGAGGTACTTTCAAAGTTGTTCAAAAGCATTGGTGCCTCCACGAAAATAGAAAGCATGGGGAACTGACAAGATGGAACTATAATACACCCATCCCTTTTAAGACAGCATCATGCTATAACCTCAAAGTTCCTGTGTAGCCCAGTCCAGTTTCTAGCTTTCTGTCCTTCCATTTCAGTTTCACAAGTGCAGAGATTATAGATGTATGCCACTATAGTTAGCTTTCTGGCTGGATCTTAAGAACAGTGACTTCTTGTCTTTGGAATTTGAATGCCTGGGAGAATACTAGGCATACAATGGGAGTCCATATATAGTTTACAGTGAATGGACAGAATTTGATGAGAAAAATAAATAAGAATCTAAAGTTCTCATAGCTTTCCTGCAAATATGATCAGAGACTAGACTGGAATGACAAAGATGTGCTGAAATGCACTAATGGAGCCTAGGCTTCCAGGAATTAATCATGATGATGAACTTACTGTGCGCAATAAAGATTGCAGAAAGAACTACTAATGTAGATATGATGATGATAGTGACAAAGTGATTTCTATCAGGAGGGGCTTCTGGGGCTGTGGAGAGAAAAGAATAGCATCAGTTGTAACGTGCAGACTACCATCTGGATCCCATCCTGAGCCTCTTCACCATGCAGCTATGGAGAATCTCAAGACTTTGACAGCCCATCTCACAGAGACACAACTGCCAGCATTTTTGTGCACAGTTCTACGAAGAATTATACTGTGGGCAACTAACATTCAAATGATAGACAGTGATTATGAAAAAAATAACTTGAATGTTTGCAGTGACTGATCTAACTTGGCAGGAAGAAAGATTCTAAGGGGATACCTTAAAAGCGATTATCTTCATAGCTCGTCCCTGTAACCGATGGGACTATGTCTTACTATTGATGTCATAATCTAGACAGATAGACCTACTATTTTTCTCCTCTAGCTCTATTATACCTTCTTTCTCTTGCATGTTCGCTTCACACCCTCTTCCTCCACTCTTACACTCCACACAGTGACTGCCTTAAGACTCGCGAGGTGCTTCACATTCTCTTCAAGATTCAGTTTTTGCCCCCCAGCCTTAAGTTTTGGGGAGACTAAAAGAACTAACAATGGCTATGAGTTGGTATCAGGGGACCATCCTGGAAGACGGCTTCATGAGCTAGCTTCTGGTGAACTTCTAGTCTCATATGGAGCACACCAGGGATACCAAGACTGCTGGGCCGGGGCAAGAGCACAAAGAGATTGATGTGTGTGTTGCTGCCACCTGATCCTCCTCATCCAGGGAGCAGCTGTACCATTTATTTCTCAATCTCTTTGAGAAATGGCAACAGCTGAAGAAAGGATAGGGACACAATCTGAAGGGAATATTAGCAATACAGCCTCTCTGGCTTCTCTTGGCTGGCTTATAAGAAAATATTAAACCCTAGCTCATTCTCAATTTCCCCCACTACCATGCATCATGGAAGTTTGGCTTTGAGCTCCTTTTAGCATTTGCCTCCATGGACCACCTTGTCCTTGGCTTCTCTGAACCCACACTCCCTTGTTTATGCTTGCATCACTCATCTTTCTTTGCAAGTACTCCAACATCATCATAGTTTCTAAATGTCATTGCCTGTCTATGATGTCTGTCTATGGCCTGTATATCATTTGAAGTATCATCTAAATCTGAGTTGGAACATTACATTTCTTATGTCATTTCAGGGTTTCTCTGTGTAGTTTTGAAGTCTGTCCTGGAACTCGCTCTGTAGATAAGGCTGGCCTCGAACTCAGTGACCCACCTGCCTCTGCCTCCCAAGTGCTGGGATTAAAGGCATGTACCACTACCGCCTGGCTGGAAAATGCCCAAGTCGGGAGATTACAAAGAAGGGCAAATTTGGTGATTTCAAAAAAGACAACATTACATAAATTGCAAAATGACTACCTGCTGGTCAGCAGTTGTTAGGCCTGTAAAATTTAGAATATTCATTAAAAATAAAAAAATTAATCTAGTAATATCATCATCACTTGTCTAGTGTTATCAGCAAGTCATAATGACACATCTTATATGTCTAACATGACTAAAATTACCATCAGAGTCACTGAGTTAAGTTCTAAAATGTTGCTGGCTGGGTTATTCTTTTGGATACTATATAGCAGACACTTTCCAGTGTAATATCGCTTACGTTTTTCCCAGGTGAAGTTCTTTGACACTTGAGAGTCTCCATATGCAATGTGACACACAATGCTGTGGTTGTGTGTCATATTGAAATCCAGTTTGCTACTGACAGTGTACAGTTCAGTTTCAGGATCCTGAGAAATTGTTGTATTGATGCCACTTAATTCTTTTCCGTCTTCCAACCAGGTGAGGCGAGGCTTTGGGAAACCTCCGGAGGTTAAGCACATTATCCTTTTAATGTCTGCAGATGGCTCTTCAAGCTGAATTATGTTAGGAACTAGGAAGTCAGCTAGAGATGGAAGAAGCATACAGTTATACACAGGCACAGATCTGTGTGCATAAGTTTATGGTAAATAAATTATCAACTTCAGTAAGAATAACAAAGTAAGGTCAAATTTGCAAGTCTGTGTAAGTCATTAGTAAAACAGCTGGTTTGAATTGGCCCAGCCGATTGTCTCCTGCCTAGAAGGAGGTAGGAAGTTCTTAGAGAAAGGAACAGGTTCCTGTGGATAAATGTTGACATACTACTCTCTATTGTAAGAGAAGAAGAGACACTGAATACTTATTGAGCCACTGTTAACTCTGGAAATTCTCTTTATGACAGCCTTAGGAGGTTGATCTTAGATTTAAAAGGGTTGTGGATCAGGTGTGTTCCAGGCCAACTAAGGCTATACAGAGAGACCCTGTCTCAAAAAACAAACAAAATAAATAAAATGTTAGATAGCACTAAGTTGATATGAATGCTGTTTGTAATTTTATTTTCTAAATAAACAAATTTGGGGAAGCCACAACCCTGTGGCAGAACTGAGATCCACAGTCACATTTCTCAACACCAGAACCTTCTATCTGTTTATTTAGTAAGGAACATGTGTGAAGCCGCCTTCCAACCTGAGACGCAGGAGATAGGACCTTAACTCTCAGCATTCATGTAGATGCTCAGTAGTCCCTTGCTTCTTAAGAAGTAAGTTCAACGGAGCATGGTGGGACACACCTGGAAGTCAGGTGTATTTTGGAGGCTGAGGTAGGAAGAGTTTGAGACCAGCCTGGGCTATACAATGAGTTCTGGACCAGCCTGGGCTAAGAGTTAAGACCTTTCTTTTTCTCTTTTTTAAAGACCTGTACTCAGATAAAACTATGTCCAAAATGTACAATATTGAATCTGTAACCTCAGCCATGGCATTTTATTAAATCCTTGCTACTCTAGCATTTTAAAGGGACAAAGAAGCCTCCTGGAGTTGATGTCATTTGTGTATTTGACCTCCAATAAGGTACTAAAGTACACTTAGAGCAAAGTGTGGAAACTTCTCCTAACCACTTGCTGGCTCACTCTTAGATGTTAGGGCTTTAACTTCTCCCCTGCCATGTGGGGCTCAATACCCCACTTCAGTCCATAGAATGAGTTTTCTTCTTAGAAGTCTGAGTGCCACAGAGCTCATATGAGCAGGGGTCAGAGGTCACCAAGAGCAGTTTGTCAACTGACGTGTGTCTTGTGACTGAGTCAGTTAATTGGCTTTTAGTCTTAGTTTGCTCATCTGTAAAATGGGTTAATAATTACGTGCTTCCAGGGCTGAAGGGATGAAATGACACCATTACTAGAAATCACTTAGATGGAGTCTGACACACAGGATGTATTTAGGTAGATGCTGTCGTTTAAATAAACCAGGTTGCCAAGGAACCCTTCTAAAACTTTATAGTGGCACTGGGAGGAATGAGGGTAAGTACTGACAGAGTACCAAGAAAGGGAAAACCCTGAATTATGTTGGAGGGGAGTCACTTTAAATAACAACAACAATAATAATAATAATAATTACTTGCTGGTGAATCTCTTTGAGTTTGAGGGTAGCCTCCAGGTTAGCCAAAGCTACACAGTGAGACCCTGTCTTAAAAACCAAAAAAAGAAAAAAATAAATAAATAAAAAAATGGGTCTTGTTCCTAAATAAAAGTTGATGTATTCCTGAGCTTTTTATAGTGTGCATTTTTATTTTCTACTTACTAGTTTATAACACTTAGTCAAATTACTACACTGATGGGCAACATAAAGATGTTTCTTTTGACCATGCATCACCGGCTTTAACCTGGAGTAACAAATCTGACCACCTTATGATCTGAGTCACAACTCAAGCTCACTCACTTCTGTGTTCTGCTTTTCTGAGAAACGTTAGCCCAGTGAGAGCCATATTTTCCATTTCTGACTGAGCTCACAACAGCCTCAGCCTTGTGTCCCAGCACTTCTACAAGATAACTTGTTTAGGATAACTACTCGGAAGCCCCTGCCAGACTGTGAACTGTCTAGAAATTAGTTCCTAACTTACTTGCAGAACACCCAAGTTCAGTTGCCGGCACTCACACTGGGTGACTCACAAATGGGTATAACTCCAGCTCCGAGGACCCTTCTTCTGGCTGCTGTGAGCATCCACACAACATATATACACAGTTTACATTTAAGAAATATCAGGTTTTGGTCAATCTTAGTGGAGAAGATTAGGATATCTTTGTAGGGGGTACAAATTATTCAGAAAGTCAAAAGTTTGTGACCTAGTTAATTTGTTACCCAGAATAGATACTACTCAAGTGCTATTCACAGTATAGGCACATTGCAGCAGTTGTGTTCCTGTAAATCAGAAGGCATTTCAGGCCACTAGAGTGCCTGGCATGACCTTGTGTTGTTCAAGGAGGAGAGAAGTACATTGATAGGTTTGCCACCCTGACCAATCAGTTAGATTCTCTGTAAAATTGGAAACTTGCTCCTCAGATATGAAATGAGATGCATCTTCCTTTGATAAAACTGTCAGCTACATCAACAGACGTGTGCTGTTTTGAACACCACAGATTAGTAAATCAGAGAATCCTACCAACCTCTGACAAATAGCGCCACGGAAGTCAAGTGCTTCAGCACATAAGACCCTTTTTCTTTCTTCTGAACCACACAGGTATATAGGCCCCTATCGGACAGGAATAGGGGCAGGATCATAAGACGGAAGTTGTCAGTGATGTCAAGCAAAGTCCGGTTCTTATACTTTGGCCACACTTCCCTCTCTCCAGAGATGAAACTCAGCACCATTTCGTTATCTTTTTGCCAGTAGATTCGGAGTATTTCCAGCTCCTCAATGGAAAAGTTGTAACCACAGGGTAGTGATACTTTTTCTTTCACTGACTTGGACACTTGGAAATCACCTAAGAAAAGGCAAGTAAGAAAAAATTGAACAACCCAAACTCATTTCATCAAGTGACCAACAGTGGTGAGCCACTCTAGAATGGATTCCCCCAACACATTTTTGTTGTTGATGTTGTTTGTTTTGTTGTTGTTTTTAGAGATAGGGTTTCTCTTTGTAGCCTTAGTTGTCCTGGGACTTGCTGTGTAGACCAGGCTGGCCTTGAACTCACAAGATCCTCCTACCTCTGCCTCCTGAGCGCTGGGATTAAAAGCATAAACCACCACCACCGGCTTTCAGTTATTATTTTTATTGTGGTTAAAAAGAACCACATAAACAGCCATGTACACTGGATACCTATAATCCTAGCACTTGGGAATACAAGCAAATACCATCATGCCTGGGGCCCTATTACTTCTTATGTACTCTATCTAACATATTGATAGATAAAGATAAAATGGCCTTGACCAAAACTCACCTATAGACTATACACTACATCATAGTGCCTAGCATACCCTTCCTTTTTTGTTTCCTTTGTTGCTGGTGGCCATATCAGAGGAATAGTAGGTGACAACTGACTTCAGGGGATCAGAATGGCAAGGCCCCAAGAGCTTTGGCCCCAGAATGTCTCTTGCTATTGTCTTTACATGTTTGCTGCTGCCATTTTGCTCTGGAATCTGGCATGGTGTGAATGTGTGTGGTGGGAGGCCCATTGCCTTGAATGTGGTGTGATTATCTCAAGGAAATATCCCGTTCTATTCTACTGGGCAATTTTTTAAACCTGTGGATTATTATGAAGACAATTTCCTCCTAAACTGTACTGTTTAAAGTGTTGTCCCTGCCCCTGATAAAACGGTCTGCAGAAGATAGAAAATAAAAAGAAGGCAATGTCCTGAGGAGTGGGATAGACTGTGGCTTAGATTAATGAAAAACAATTGAGAAAAACAATTGAGTTCCAGAAGCTTCTTTAGCTCAAGTTCTTTTGATCTTAATGTAGAGAGATGTGTTCACTGGTTTTTCTGTGCTTCATAGCTAAAACAAAACTCTAAGGTTAGGTTAATTATGTTAAGATACTTTTGTTAATGGATTTGAGGTAAAAGAAAATCTTGTAAAACAATTTAAAGTAATATTTTAATAGCTGAGTGAGGGATTCATTGATGTCAGGGGATAAGAATAATGACAGCCTGCCTATTGCTAGCTGATGTACCTTTCTTGCTAGGAGAGGTTGGTGATCAAGGGTGATGATTAATTCCTTGTATTCATTTCTCCTCTCAGCTTCCTGAGATAAACACACACACACAAAACAAACAAACAAACAAAAAAAACCAACAAAACTGTTGATGAATGGGTACTCATGCTAAAGATTTAAAATAGAGCTGGCTGATTCTTTTTCATATATAAAAGTTTAGATCTGTGATTCTACTGAGATTTCTTATAATAGTACCCTTTTTGATAAATAATAAAATGATTGGTCCTTTCTTTGTAACCGCAAAGAGCAGCCTACCAACAAAAGAATTGGCTGAGAAAAATTCCTTGTTTGCTTACACTCTGTTCATTTATAACAAGTTGTTTGGGTGGGAATATATGTGGGTTCTTGGGAAAACTTTTTTTTGTCACCTTTAATACACAAAATGTTTAATCATATAAGGGGTATGGAAAACATGCTGGGTTTTTTGTTTTGTTTAGTTTTGTTTTTACTTTTATTCATTGTAATCTTTCACTTGAAAAATAGAATGTAAGTACATTGTAATTTTTATATTGCTTGAAAGATTTTGCTAGGGTATACAAGCTGTAAGGGAAAAATGTTAGTTAGAAGGAAGGAGATAGAAGGGTTACATCTGGATAGAGGTAAAAAAAAAAAAAAAAAAAGAAATAAAGAACACAGAGAAGGGATGAACCTAAAAGTTTGTATGTGTGTGTTTTCCCTTTTTTGCCTGCCCCAGAGAGTTAAATTTAGCATCAACCCCCACCAGGCCCCTCAGAATTAAGTGTTACTCCCTCAGATAGAAAAGTGAAGTTGAGTGATAGTCCACTGACTCTGTTGGATCCCCTCAATCCCTGAGCTGCTATAGGCTGTAGTCATTCTTTGAAGGGAAACAATTGCAAGTTCATCTGCTCTCCTGCCCTGTCCTATGAGGTAGAGGTCATAGCACCTTACAGGGGTCTTGGCAGAGACTTTGAGATTCTTAGGAAGCTCAGGGTAGAGGGGACTATGAATCTATGCCCTGTAGCTCTTTATCACAAAGGAATAAGGAAGGCAGATAAGAGAAAATACAAATTTAAAAGAGGGCCTAATGTGAGATGTCATTCTGTAAGTATGTTTCTTATTGGTTAATGAATAAAGCCCTGTTGGCCAATAGGAAAGCAAAATAGGCGGGTCTAGGAGACAAGAAGGATTCCGGGAGATTTAGTAGAGAGAAGTCCAACTGTAGGATGGGACAGAAGTAAGAGGTCCCGACCCTTTCTCCTGTAAGAGAAGACCATGTGGAAATACTTAGATGGATAGAAATGAGTCAATATTTAAGACAGAGCTAGCCAAAGAAACTCTAGTCATAGGCCAACAATTTCATAATTAATACAGTGTCTCTGTGTGTTATTTTGGGACTGATGTGGCTCTGGGACCAGGCTGGCCGGAATCTGCTTGTAACAAAATGGCGACTACAACATGGGTACTAAGAACTTCCACTTAGAACTTGACAAAAGCTTAAAAGGGGATTTTAGAAACAAAAGAACAGAGACAGGCAAGGCTTCTTGGTAGCAGCATTTTTCTCATCTGGGCTCTGTTTCTCTAGGGACAAGCAGAGACTCCTTTAAGGGAGGTTTGCTAACTCGGCATGAGTGGCAAAAAACTGCAGGGCTCTTTAAAGAGGCTCTGCTAACAACTGGTGTGTATGAGAGCTGGCAACAGCAGGGACCACATCTCCAAGCTGGCAGCATGCTGCTGGATGGCAGCATAGACCAAGGCAGTGAGCACAGCTCTCACTGCTGTCAGTAAACGTACCCCTGCCATATTGGAAAGCAATGTTGTTTAACAGTAAAAGACTTATGGCCAGAAAAAGATAAAGATTTACAGCAAAGATAGATTAAGATAAAGAAAAACCTCTAAAGTTTACAGTGTATTTTAAAATATATGTAGTCTTGGGAGAGAAAAAGAAACAGGATAAAGAGGTTTAAAAAAATAAAGAAAAAGAAAAAGAAAGCGAGTAGCTGGGTGTGGAGTTCGGGGTGCCTCCCGAACTCAGGAGGCAGAGGCAAGCAGATCTCTGTGATTTCAAGGCCAGCCTGGAATACAGAGTGAATTCCAGGATAGCCAAAAGTTACACAGAGAAAGCCTGTCTCACAAAATGAAAACTAGAAATGAAATGAAATCGAGTAATAAAAAAGCCAAGTGAAGATGAAAAGCACACAAAGAGTCTGGATACTGTATGCTATTGTGTTGTCTTTAAATTGCTCCTTTGCTAAGGAAGGAACAGCAACTGCTAAATACATTTGATTATCAATGCTGCTAAATTAATCCAATTTATATATATTAAAAATGCTTTGACTTCTTGTTTAGGTGTTTATATAGCTCATTAAAAATGTAATGTATAATTAAGTACATATGGTAGATAGTTACTTATGTTAGACAGAACTTATAGTTAGTTGTGTTAGGTTTTTATAGCTATATAGAGATATATTTCAAATGGATAGGCATTCTTCAAACCTTTCCAGGACTTACAGAATATGGCATTTAAAATGGTTTAGGGTTTTTCTTGGCAGTGAGACATAACTGCTCCTGGCATCAGAAAGGAAAATGGACATCGAAGAAACTCATTATGGAGTTTGCTTCCAATATTGCAAGACTAGCCATTTGGGCAAGATACTGCTCTTGTCTTCACTGATTTTATGCTGTATAAACTTGACATGCAGGACCCACAGGAAAGTGACTGCTGAAACAAGATGGACATTGCTACAGAGTTCCTGCTTCATGGAAGAGTCTGCCAGACAGTCTGCAGGACACAGAGAAAAGTGATTGACAAACTGCCAATACAGGTGGACAGTTTAAAGTTTCCTGCTTTGCTGAGAAGTCTGCCAGACACACTATGGCCTATAGGCTGAAGATGGAACATTACAGAAGAATTTTGGGTGACTGACCAGCAACTTGTCTCTGTCAATTTTAGAGTTTATATATTATCCTTCTGTGGTCTTTGATGGAGTTGAAAACAGATAGTTATGGCTATAGTTTTCCTTAGTTAGGATTAAAGGTAAGTTACATGTAAGACTTTAGACTCACAAAGATAGGATAGATGATGGAATATTTTCTTTAAATATTGCTAAATGTTAATGAACTAAATATTGTTAACTATAGTTCTTATTTGATAACTGTTTTGTTATATATTTACTATGTTAAAGTTAAAGCCCTTCTTTTTATTTTAGGCAGAAAAGAGGAGATGATGGGAGATGTCATTCTGTAAATATGTTCTTCTTATTGGTTAATGAATAAAGCACTGTTGGCAAATAAGAAAGCAAGATAGGTAGAACCAGGAGACAAGGAGGATTCTGGGAGATGTAGTAGAGAGGAGTCAAGATGTAGGACATGAGAGAAGAGGTCTAGACCTTCTCTCTGGTAAGATAAGACCATGTGGAAACACTTAGATTGATAGAAATGAGTTAATATTTAAGATACAGTTCGCCAATAAGAAGCTCTAGGTATTGACCAACAGCTTTATAACAATAGAGTCTCTGTGTGTTATTTTGGGACTGACACAGCTGTGGGACCAGGCTGGAAGGAAAGTGCTTGTAACAAGGGCCATATTTTAAATAGACAATACAACAGAACATCATTATTCTTTGTGTCCCCATTTGTGAGTCTCCAAAATTATTTATATTTTATTTGGAGTGTGGCAGGATCTTGTTATGTGTCTCTGGTTGGCTTCCACTTGATGGTAATTCTCTTGCCTCAACCTCTTAAGTACTAGGATTACAGAAATGAACCACCATGCACTGTGGAGATATATTGTTTATGATCTTATAAAGTTTGCC